TAGACGAATCTCTGTGTTCGATCATCGCTGTCTCCGAAGGATTGCTGACATTCAGTGGCAACACCATGTCAGTAATGCAGAGGTTCGGCATCGTGTGTTCGGGCACAGAGATGATAACTCAATTGGTGTCACCATCTTGAAACACCGACTTCGGTGGCTTGGACATGTTCTCCGAATGTCGTTCCAGAGGATTCCACGTCGTGCATTATTTGCCGACTCTGGGACTGGTTGGAAGAAGCGGAGAGGTGGTCAGTGCACGACATGGTGTCGTGGTATGAAAGAAAGCTGCAAAGGACTGGCTTGTGTTGGTCCTTCACGACTCCCTGGTTGGGGTCTGAGAGATGGTGCAACACAGTGGCTAGAAACGTTATCAGATATGGCTCAGAATTGAAGCCAGTGGCGATCCTGCTGTAACCTTCTTGTACTTTCTTCATAAAAAAGTGGTTTTATCTTCCTTAACCGAAAGATTTCTTCTGATTGTACCCTTCTGTTCCCCTACTATTGCTATTATTATTATTACACTACCCTACACCAATCTCTTCGTTATTGTTTTTTATTATTTTTTTTACGTTCCTCATTTTTTTTTCTTCTTAGATTCTCATTGTTTTGTGTGGCGCATATATATTCGGCGCACTCCCTTACCAATATATATGTGTTCAAATAAATAAATGTTCATCCAGTCTTTTCAACACTGCTTGTACATGCTGTTCGTGTGATTGCAAATCGGGGCTGGCAATTAACAAGTCGTCTATATACCCCTGTGCAAATGGCATATCTCGAAGTAGGTTATCTATGAATCTTTGAAATGTCTGTGCCGCATTTCTCAGGCCGAATGGCATGCGTACAAACTCGAATAAGCCAAAGGGTGTAGTAATAGCTGTCTTGGCGATATCTTCATCAGCCACCGGGATATTGTGATATGCCCTGACTAAGTCAATTTTAGTGAATATGTTCATACCCTGTAAACCGTTGGTGAAATCTTGGATATGAGGTATTGGGTACCTATCAGGTACGGTTTGACGGTTTAGGGCTCTGTAATCCCCGCACGGTCGCCAGTCACCTTCATTCTTCTTTGGGACCATATGCAAAGGGGATGCCCATTGACTATCAGAGTGACGGATAATACCCAATTGTAGCATATAATCAAACTCGGCCCTAGCGATTTTGAGCTTATCTGGTGCTAGTCTCCTGGGTTTTGCAAACACCGGTGCACCTTTGGTTTTGATAGTGTGACTCACTTTTAGTTTGCCTTTGGAAGGCTGTGGGTTTGGTTTGGTTAAGTTTGGAAATTCCGCGCGTATATCTTGGAATTTCACTGTTGTTACTGGGGGAGTTTGAATCAAGTTAAGAGAGCTGATGTGACTTTCTTTGCCTTTTGTGTAATACGAAGTTTCTTTCAGTGTTAATCGCCGTTTCTTGGTGTCAACTAGAAATTCGTATCTCTCTAGAAAGTCCATCCCCAGTATTGCCAGATCTAAGTCGTCTACCGTGAAAACCCAAGGGAATTGCCTCCTGAACCCCAAATCTAGGGTTAAAGTTTTCTGCCCAAATGTCGCGATTTTAGTTTTATTTGCAGCTTGAAGTGTAATTGATGATGTTTCTCGACTAATCTCAGTTTTATTTTGAGGGATGATGCTAAGAGCAGCGCCAGTATCCACCAAGAAATTCAAGCTAGAGTTTCTGTCTCTAACATAAAACAAGCGACTGTTTAGGCGCCCCTCCTCAGTCGTCGCCACCTGGGGAGGGGTTACTCGTTTCCCGCTGTCTTAGAATTATGCTTAGGCCAGGTGCATGGTTGCATGCACTTGGTTGAGTTGACACCAAACTTCCAGTGGTACCAACAAAACTGCCCAGATTGTCTGGACATTTGTGACCTGTTTTGTGACTTGGATCGTGGTCGTTGTGGTGACCTGCTCCTGTTTCTATGACCCATTTGCATTCTGGTGACAGCCTCAGCGAGTCCTTCTATGACGGGGTCTTTTGCTGATTCTACTTTTTGTGTGTGATTTATTGTGCCTGATCCAGTTGGAGGACCTCTTTCCATTATTCTGTCGGCTATACGCGCTAAATGAGATAATGAGGTTTCAGGATCCTGTGCATCCAAACAGTGTTGGACGTAGCATGGGAGAGCTTGTATCCATCCTTGTTTTAGGACTGCTTCACCCACTGTGTTATCACCCACTAATACTTGGAGGTGACGTAAAAACTGTGACGGCGACCGATCACCTAGTGTTTCACCTTGAAAAAGTTTTTGGATTCTTTGACTATCTGATAATGATAAACGGTTTATTATCTCTCGTCTTAAGATGGTGTATGGTTGTGGTGATGGTGGATCTAAAATCAAGTCACGGACTTCTTTGGCGACTGAAGGAGGAAGGATAGAACACAAGTCTCTATAGCGAATCCCTTCAGATTTGATATTGTGTCTCGTGAAATAATGCTCTAGTTGAGCAAACCACAACTCAGGATCACTACGATCAAATTCTGGAAGTCGGGATTTCGTAGTCATAACAGTGTCTATCTCCACTGGTGACAAATCCTCCAGATTATGGGTTTCTATTGAGTCTGACATGAGGTATGTGACAAATATAGCAATAAAGTTAGCACAAAAAGTGGTTACTATAACACGAATAACTTAAGATAATACGGAATAAACTAGTTATATACTCAAATTAGTTTACGGATAATCAGGTCTACTTTTACGATTAAGTAAAAAAAATGTTAATAACAGAAATGAGGTTAAATTTGTGTTCAAAAAGGGCTCACCAGTTTCGTGCCTTAAGGTAACCCTCGTGTTATTGATAGAAGAAACCAGAGAAGTAGTGAATAGGTCTTTATTTCGATCTTCGCGCAGTCACAATGGAGTGTGGGATTATCTGTTCAGACAAACAAAGGCTCTCAACATTCAATATACGATAATAGGGAATATAACGCTTATAAAAAATAAGGAAGTGAATGAATATTTGAACAATACTGTTTTGGCATAAGCTTGGTTGTTTGGGGTCAACTCTTAACCAACCAACCTGAGCTGTTACAGTCTCACGGTAAAAAAAGCCAATTTTTAGGGTAGAACAATGAATATCAGTTTTGAAGTCGATGTCCTGTTTTTTATCACCCAAATAAGTTAATTTGAAGTTTCTTTAATTGAGTAGTTTTATGGTCAGATTAAAAAAAATGTAGACCATTATATTTAGTGAAGGTAACATCTTCATAGTGATATCTGTTTAGGAGATAAAATAAGGAATCAACGAGTCACTTCTCTATTTCTATTATGTACAACCACACTAATTTTGACGGTCCTAACAACCAGCCCTGGTTTTCGAATAAACCAACTCGTAAGTGGAATGAAACCAATAAAAGCTTAAAGTTTTGTAAAGCGTGATCAATAAACGAAATCACCAATGATAAAATGAAACGCCCACCACCACATTAACTTTCTTTGACCTTGTATGACTATGTCTTGTTCATTCACCAATCACAATTTTATGTTCATTATAAAACAATATTTGCCTTTTTGACTCATTTTCCCCTTTCTCTAGTTACTGTTCGGTATGTTATTTATGTTTCTGTTTTTCCCTGTGCTCATAGACTTTACTGTTTATTTTGCATACTAACAGTGTTAATTTATGTTTTACAAACAGATAAAGTTTATCAAACCAAACAGCTTACTTGTTCTCACTTTGGCTAAACCAAGACAGTATTCTACAGTCTAGAGAATAGCTTAGAGTTACACCTGTAGAAAATTGCCTCCCACTGTTTGCACATTGGATTTTAGTTGAAACTGTATTTTAATTTTAGTTAGACCTGTCATTTAGTAAGATTTCTATATACTATGGGCGTTAGTGCACGTTCACGCAAAACTGACCCTGCGCTTACAAATTCTGTTTTCACATCCGTCCACTTAAACGAAGAATTAAATCCTGCAGTCGAATAAATAAATCTTAGGAAATAAAATATTATCTTTAGGCTCAAAATAAAAGACAAAATGAGGGATAAAGTGTAGCGTGCTCAAAACTCTGAGTAAAGTCAGCGTAACTTTTTAATATTCAAATTTCGGCACTCAGACTTTTGATATGTAAGGCGAAAACAGGAACCAATTTGATTTGTAGTGGTAAATAAATCCTTAAAACCAATGACATTTAGCTGACCTCATTAGTTTTACTAGACACATCCAGCTGCAGGCGCTCTTTCACCCATCCATACCAGTCCGTGTGTGGGCACACCATTCTATGCACCCTTAACAATAGTTAACCAGCTTGTACCAGATGATCTTCGACATATCAGTAGTCTTCTAAATATGTTTTCAGACCCCTTCATTTCCAACTTCAGATTTGACTGTGTCGGTATAGTTATATCATAAAGGTGTAACTGATAAAGATGTTGTCAAATTCCAAATACTTTTGACATCTTTGTAGCCATACCGCCCGCAGAGGTCTGGATTTGCGCTCGAATGCCTTCACTGACGTTTTGTGTGAATGGGCGTTTCGCTGTGTCGTCAGTTTACTAGCCAGTCTTAAGTTGCTTGGCTTATGGGCAAACAAAAAACGGTGAGATTGTAGTATACACTAGAAGAAATGATATTTAAGTGTCTCAAAAACCTATGGCTGTTCATTATAAATGATAATACAAATGAGACGATTGATGTTAACAAAAGACTCTTTAAGCATAAAAGTATTTACAAGAGTGTCTTCAAAGACGGTGCTGGATCGAAAAAGCAGAGAAGTGTTTACTTTTCTAACATGAAAATGAACATAGATGTTACTACATTTTCAACACCTCACAACATTGACGATATGTGGTATTTCACTGTATTTACCGTATGGATCACTGTTTTTCTTGCTAAAATTTGAATGAACTGTCAGGCAATTCGAGCCTTGTTCTTTATATTTAACAAGGTATTGATTTTCAGATTTTTGATATTCAAGTAGTTTGTTTTTATGATTCAAAAATTCAATTGAACTAGAGACGAAAACGTTTACAAATTTAAATTTGCAAAATAGTGTGATTCATATTATTCCGATTCATATGTTACCCGAAAGTCGTCGACATAAAGAAGTCCGGGACAATGCATCCAATGTTATTGATTCCGCGCAAGATAAACCTGTAAGCCTATGTCGATCATGTATTTATATGATATATTTAGGAAATGAAATGTTTGGATCGTGAACTCAGAAAATCATTGGTCGACAGTAGATTCTACTTTCTCTTTGAAAAAATTTCTCTGCACTTTAAGATTGATAAGAGCTATGTTTTGGAATGTATACTAGATGGTGAACAAGTAACTTCATTGGTGTTCTTACAATTAGGTATATTTAATAACATCTTTCTTCAATCCCGAAGGTATGAAAGCTTTATTTATTAGTCTTAAGTCTGAAAAATCAGGTACGTTGCGTCCAATGAGTTTTACTTTTTTTTCAGATGTTAATGAAAGGATTGGTGTTTTCTCGCGTTCATTGGTCCCAGCTAGACCACGTGTTGTTGTTTCTACAGTGGCTGATGCATATGCACTCGGTTCGTGTGCTGTCTTCACAAAAGTCAATGCAGAACTTCAAATAACAGCTGAGAACATTTCAAAAGTATTGGGTTTATCTCTATGTTTGCTAAGAATTTTTTTATTTTTGAAAGTGGCAACCAGTTTTTTTTCATTTAACAAGTTACTTTGTAAAATACTTTATGAAGCTGATTTTACAAGGGTTTGTAAATCATGCATTTAGACATGTTAAGCAGCTTCAACATATTTAGGCGTAAGAAGTGGTAAAAAGTTCAGATCTGTTTAGCAAGGTTATTTCATGGAGATCGCTTAAATTATAATCAGGATTGTTTATGTTGTTATACGTTTCTCTATTCCTAATTGTCTAAAGTCAGTTTTTTATTAAAAAAACAAAGATTTTACTTCATTTTTCCCGTTTTAGACGACATTTGAGCATCTTTTTCAGGTGGAATAATTTTTAAGTTTATAGAACTGTTTCCTCAAACTTCTATCATTTTCCTTAAGCATGATTCTTGTTTGAGTTAGGGAAGGAAAACGTATACATTAATAATCATTAATGCCCTTGATAAATAGATAAATATTTCTGGTCATCAAACATCGAACAATGTCTTTTAATTTGTAATATATAGTCACACTAATTATCTGTCTGTACGCAATTACTAGAGTGCAACAGAAGAAAAGACAAACGGTAGAGGATCCATTGTCAAATGATAATTTATTTTAGAATTTGGAACTAAGACGCATCACTATATGTGTATATTAAATGATGGCTTTTGAAACATTTAAATCAATTAAGTTACGAGTTGAATCATACTTTGAAATGTTCAGCCAAGATTAGTCATGATTATTTTGGAAAATTACTTTTTGTTGTCATTTAAACCTTTACTTACTAAGTTCGTCTGTCACAACTTATTGCTGCTCACCTTCAAAGAAAAACGTAATCGATTCATTATTGAGTAGACAGTAACATTATTATTCAGTTATTTGTTTTACTGGATGCATATTTACTCTACCGAGTCTGTGAATATGGGGTGTTTTTATTTATAAGAAAGGTAACGATCATCAATACAACCTGTTGATTTTGGTCGATGTAAAAGCATGAATTATTATGCTTCAAAATATTTTCGTTGCGACTTCATAGAAATATATTTACCTAAGATGTTAAAACACGAAAAAGATCTTTCAAGGACATGGACGGTTACAATAAATGAATCAACTGAGATTTCAAGCTAAACAGCATAAAATATAAAATCTGAACCTTTCAAAGTATTAGTGACTAGAAAATTATAAATAGGGACTTATTGTAGAATTTAGTTGACCACAAACATTTACAAAATTTTAGTTAAATCGAGTAAGGATTTTTTACGAAACAAAAGTGGTTAAACGATCAAAATCAAATGTATGAACCTATTCAATAAACGATAAAGACAGTATTTTGAACTCTGATGGCTTAATTCAGCTTTCAAATTTACCTTTTTTCCTGATATTTTAGGAATTGTAAATCATCGAATCGCACAAACTAAGTACTACTTCCTCACACGCTGGAACTTAAAGTACCTTTTAGCTGGACTCTGTAATCGATTTTTGTCGAAACCATATGAATGATTGCAAAATTGAAATTATTTTCGGCTATTTATTCAATAGCTAAATAAAACACCTACTAGAACTACTTTAAAGACACCAAAAAGACTGTCTTTTTTCCAAATGTATCGTCACCTTGATCTACTCAATATTCATCAATACGTCTTTTGCAAAAGGTGTAACTAGCGTATTAGAATGATCTGAAATTACAGTAAAATTACTTTTTATGATACAAAACTGTTACAACAATCTTAGAAATTTGCTAAGATATCAAAAAGTTTGTACTCGTCTGTTACTCATGTATAATGCATAATATATGTTTGTCTTGAGAAACAGCAAAGAGATAGGTGGATTTTAGTATTTGCAACTTAGTTGTTTTGAGATGTCTGCCGAAATTTGAGGAATTTATTGGATCAAAAATTACATGTTGTGAAGTAATCGGATGAACGAACCGTTCCATGCTTCCTAGGAAAGTTTTAGAATTCGTAGAGGTTACAGACTATATTTATCTGGATTAAAAATCAGCGGCTATTGTGGAAAGAGCAATCAAAAAATGCTTTAATTTCAAGGGTTTGGAAATAGACCATGAGTTACATGAGGGTTTAAGACAAAACATCTGTTTTATCAAACGATTTCACATTTCTTGACATTTCACAAGTTGAGTTTCCGTACAATTTAAAATCTGTGAATAATTTTATGGCAATCCACTTTGCAGGATTTGATTCTAGAACATTCATTCAAACATTTTTGATAGTTAGGTGAAAACTGCTTTGTGCGCTTTAGTCTTTATCCACCATCCAGTTGATATATTTCTCAGTTAACATTTCTTTGACTTGAACTCATATATCATCTGTCATTGATCTGAAGAAAAATCCTGGACGCACGTATTGTTCGATATACTTACACAGTAAATAATCAGAAGTGATAATAAGCGTTTATTGTCTAAATTCTTGTTATCTTTCTAACTGTTTGAATATTCTAATGATTTTTATTTAGTGATGAGATGTGTGGAAGTTTGAATTTAAACAAGTTTGCGGCTTTTCCGAACGATCTAAGATTTTGTTATCGGTACAGCTCTGGAAAATATATTCATGACAACTAATACCCGAATATCAGATATAACTTTAGCCATACATTGTATTGACATTCTAACTGCAACCAGCATTTTCTCTACAGTGATATAAATATGAAAGTTTTGCGGTACGTTTTGTAATTAAAAGGCTTACTAAAAGAGACAACATAGATCATATGAAGACTACTGCCTTGAACACCACCACTTGAGTCATACATTTCAGGGTAACAGAGTAAAGAACACTTAGGTTATACACATATCTCCAAGCAAAGATGACAAGTTAATTCAAGAGATTCTCAATGTTCATCGGTTAACCTAATTTTTACGTGTACTGCTTATACTCAAAAAACCCACTTATCGATGTGTTTTTAGTTGAAACAAGTTGGAAGAAAGCTATAAGTCGTCAGACTGAGACTTGGCATCATGCCATGTAGTTACTGGTCGTCAGAATGAGCCGTATGGTAGGTGCAGATTACGTTTTTGGAGTCCTCACAATTATCGTAAGCAATGGTTTTAAACAGTGGGTTGCAATAGGGCAGATACATTCACTCTTTGTCTTCCCTTAGATACTTAGTTCTAGGATTCTTCTGTATCATTTCTTTAGCGAATCCATTATTTTTCGAACCACGCTCTTTCATTTCCGTTGATACTGCGGTAACTCAGTATTAATTTTGTTAATTTCGTCTTGCTACCCTGATGAGTTGTGAGAACCTAGACCGAAGCACTTATGCTCCAGGATGTAAATTGCATATGTTTGACCAATTGAGGGAAATCTCTGGTTTAGTTTCAACTCGTGAGTTTATAATTAACAATATACATGACAATCTTCCTTAAAGTGATTTATCTGTATCAGGTTTGTTGATCCAAAATAGAACTAAGATGGTGTGAATTTTGATGAATCCTTGTGAATATTATTACGTTACGTATTTAATTGATTTCATACCGGAATATCTTTTATCTTCTAAATCGAGATATTGTTTTTGTACGTTTAAAGTATTCAACACGAAAGTTCCAAACAGAATGAAGCAGAATTCATGTTGAACCAGAACGGAACTAAAGGGGCTGAAATACATATTAAGTGGATTCGAGAGAGATTTTATAACTGGCGGCTTTCCTTTTTTTATTCGAATATTTATTTCCTGTCTCTGTTCTTTGAAATATATTTGGTTATAACTAAATACTGTTGAATTTTATCGTTACTCGAACTTCATATTAGGTAAATATGCCATTTAAAGGGTAATTATATATTTTCTGTTCGTAGTTCTGATATATACAACTCTACTTCTCTCTACTATAGACCAGTCGTTATCATTGGCTTTTTTAGGAAGTGAATTTTCTGACAACAGACTTAGCCAAAGACTTTTTGAATGCGTTTGGAAACCTGCTCGATTCTTTAATGTTACCACAACTTCAAGCAATTCCGAACAAAGTATTCGTGGAGAAGACAGTTCCAATAGACGTACAAAAGTTGGATTTAGTTGAATACACAAAAAAGTTTGTGAAAATTCTTAAGGAAACATCAGAATTCTTGGAAAACAGAGTAATTTTTATGCATTTTTATTTTATACTAGTTAACTGATTCGCCTAAGTACTTTCTGAGTTCTAACCAAATCCGAGTAACCATCTGGTCATTTAAAATTGGTCAGCAAATTTTAAGTAGTTACATCTGTACTCCATCTTAAGTTTTTATTTGAGAATTCTACTACAATAAAGTGCATCAACATCAAATTTAACCGACTTCATAATAGTCTGAATGACTTTAGCGTTCACATAAATCACGGTACAAACAAGGTGAGGAATAGAACTCGGAAGAGGTTTTAATAGGCGTGAAACTGTGCCCCAAACTAATTTCTCAAGTTTAAAACGGTTCAAGAAAGTTTATATTTTTCTATTTTGTTTTTTTATGAGTAAATTATATTTTAAATAGCACAATGATACTGAAGTGAAAAATCAGTTAACATAATTGAAAGTGATTTATTTCTCTATTAAATTTCAAATAGTTGACGGCAGTGGATTGGAGATTTTCAACTTGAATTTAGGACCTTTCAGTATTCAGACAAAGTGTATCTTCGGTGATCAACTTGAGCGAAAATAATGTTTTATGAAAAAAGCTCGGTTTTATTATTTGTAACTCATCACGTTGTCAAAACGTTTTTTGGTTGTATTACGAAAACGGAATTTAAACTATATATATAGTATCTTATCTGTATACATGAATATTGACATTTAGAAAAATGTAATAGCTCTAATTCATGAAACAATTTCATGACATCACGCTAATTCATTTAACTTATTGGGAAAGTAGTAAGTTTCCGATTCAGGATAGAGTTCACATCCAATATAGAGTAATTTTAATCCGATGGGATCAAAATATCGATTTCGAATAAAACTCTTCATCAAACTAGGAGATAGTTACCATAAGTGTTTGGAAAAGACATTCAGAATCATTTGTAAATAGTTGATATGGATTGTGTAACTTGCTTGAATAATGATCATTCTAATTGAGTTTCACGTTTACTGTCTCGTATATAAACGATTATGAAAGATAAGAAACAGAATTTTAATTTATCGGGATCCAGCATCTTTTTGGCTTCTGATTTAGGTTCATCTCCTAGGCTAGACACACTATGATATATATTGTAAAATCTGTCCTTGTTAAAATCGGATCTTTATAACAGAGTAGCAGCTCCATGATTTCACAGTATCTGATAATCCTTTGCTTGGTAATAAAGAAGTACGATTGTGAAGAACTTGAAGCTGATTTACAGCAGCTTTGAGAAGTGTAAGTTCATACACTGAATATATGTTACGACTCTTGAATCTACAATAGATAAAAGCAAGTAAAGTATATCGGTTGAAATTGAGTTCTTTTAAGTGGGCAGTTTAATCGTGAAGTCTTCACTATGTTTCTAGGCTAAATCAGTACGAAATTAGAGATGAAGGAAAGCTACGACGATGGTAATGGAAATTTAAAATTTACTTATGTCCAATTTAATAGTTCTTGAATATAAATGATATCAAAGTTTACTTTCATGAACTTGGCACCATTGACTTTACGAGCAAAACTCTTGATCGTTTGCCTGATGTTGATGTATGTACGTTTAAAATTGGTGAAATAAGAAAGCTAATTTATGATTTATTTCAAAATTTTTTTTACAACAGTTAACCATTTTCCACATTGTTTAAAAAAATATTGTGAACAATTTTCTCTTTTTACCTTCTTTTTCAATCTTAGTTTCACTTTAAATCTTTTCAAAATAAATCATTTGAAAAAATCCAGTCAACACTTGACACTAAAAGAATATCATCTGTAGTCAATCCTGACATGCTGAAGGAACTAGAAATCTATGCTGAGACTTGGATTAATCAACTAGAACAAGTGTGTAATGGATATATTTTTTAATTTTTAGTAAAATATCATGGATAACGTTCAAGTTTCGGTTGGCTTGATGATAGAATAACACATAGACCAGATGGTATTGAAAATTTATTTATTCCTTATTTTGGGCTCTAAACTATTGGTGAAACCATCGACTCTTAGGTAGCACGCAGTTGTTTGAGTGATGAAAAGCTTTCCAAAGGATTTCTAGACTTTGAACTCAATATAAGAGCTAGATTGAGGGTGTATAACAAAAGAAGCTGCTTAGTTGTAAAAGTGGCTTGTATTTACAGTTGGCCTTAAGGGATTATAACCATTAAAATATAGTTCTTGTATTACTTTGCAACCTCAAGTTGTTTGATTTATTAATTATGGTTCATAAAGTGCCTGTAAAAGACAAAATCAACGTTATTTTTTAAGCATAGATAATGCTAATTTAATCAAGAAATGACTATTGGTTTGCTATACTTTCCAATAATCTATTCACATAAAAAACTGAACCGTGATTATGTATACATTTTAAAGTAATATCATTGTTTTCAATATAATTTCCACTGACAGAATTCACTTTTGATTGTCTTTGAAAGTACATTGAAAAAGAGAGCAAGGATGTTCGGTTATAAATTCATGAAAAGAGGTTCAGAAGAATATATAATAATTAAATTGATAGGAATCTACTAGAAACTCTGGTTTCAGTCTATCAACAACTCAAGAAATCTGCAAAAGAATCAAAAAGAGATGTAATTTTCTTCTAAGAAGTTGTATATAGATAGTTCTGATGTTAACTGGTTGGTATGTTTTGTACAGAATTAGTTTAGAAGCTAATATTTATCTACTAGTTTGGTCAAGAGATCTCTCTAGACCTAGTTCATAGCTTCAAAATAATATCAGTTAATCTCAGGTTGGAGATTAACAAATGTATGTTATCAACCTTAATGTTGAAAGCTATAGTTAATACAGAATGTGTATTTTATGTAGTAGAATATCTTCGCCGATTAAATAAATACCGGTAACAAGATTTGATATCCGGCTATGAAAGATAGCCCACAGTGAAATGATCTATATTAGAAAAATATTCCATAACATCAATGACTTATCTTCTCCATACTCTAATCAGTCTTATATGTAAGACAAGTTATTCCTAATTACTCTTGATTAAGTATATGCATAAATTTTTTAATTAAACAGAGGCTTTAATTACGTTCATTTTCTGGAATTGTCAAAAAAGACTAATTTATTAAATATCCTGTAACTAGTAGGGAATACATGTCGAGATATTAGAACTTTCACAGTTTAAAGCCCTAAGGGACTCCTCAGCAGTACTCATCAAAGATCATGCACGTGGGAATGCAACACTTTATTTATAGACCACTGAGCCGGAACCCGATATCATTGATGTGTAACTTTAATCAATTGAATATTGTGAATTTATTGTCAACATGCTATTTCAACAAATTATGTAAATGTATGTTATTAAAAAACGGACGATAACTTGCACTTTACTTTAGATAGCAGAGCTCTCTCGACTTACAACTTAGATTTACCGATTTATTCAAATATAGTAGACCGAGATAAATATAAGATGAATGTAATTCACTTATTATCCAAGTTTGGGTTACATTTCTAGTAGATCATCATCGTTCGTCTGTTCGCATTGGAAACAGTGACAACATATCACTCGAATATTTTGTCAATATGTTTACAAAATGTACATTTATGTAAAATTCCCGCTCATTTTATTATTCACATAAGGTAATGGTTATTGCTGATCAAATCAGAAAAGAAGCTGATAACACCGGCCCCCGAATAGAGTTAGAATATTGGCGAAGACGAATGATCACATTCAATACAATCTTCGAAGAAATGAATAAACATAACTGTAAAATTGTATTTGGCATACTTTCAACCTTCAATTGTCCATTAGTCAAAGTTAGATACTACACAATTTTTGACTTTGTAAATTTTATAATTTCTAACAAACGAAGCAAAAGATTATCACTTAGCTTTCGTAATTTTTGCTGTTTATTTACTGTTCATTATTGCTCCCAAAAGGATTTTCTGTGAAACTGTTTTATTTTTTGAGTGTATTCTGTTTTTCAGAACGATAAATTTATTCAAACAGTTCGGGTTCAATAAGATATATCTTATCTCAACAAAGTTGGAGAGTTTAATCTAATTCACTGCTTTACAACTTTTGATGGTGTATAAAGTGTTAAAATTTCTCTAAGCATTCCATCACATATAATTTAGCCACTGAAATTTAATTAAGAACAAATTTCAAACATTGTCTACGATTACGAAATAATTAATTATACGGTTTACTAATCTGTTTCAGAACCATTGCATCACATGGATAATTATTACTTCAAAAGAAATAATTAAACTTCATTCAGATCTAGTAATTTTAAGCTGAATAAATAACAACAATAAATTCTAGCATAAATGAATGTTTTGCTGTGATGTATGGTGCTAATGTTGCAATTTTCATTTACAACTCACTGTAGGACTTAAATTGACTCCTTTTTTTGTAGATTTACGCTGAATCGGTTCTGATACTTATTCTTTGTGTAAGCCTATAATTGTTTACTAGTTTTTGCTGTTTGGATTCAAATGATCCCCCAATTGAAAATGACCAGGTTCGTTTGTACAGATAAGTCAAGGTCGGTAGATTTAATGAATCCAATCTTTCATTAAGTGTAAACTATTAAGTTTATGAGATTGATGAAACATTGCATATCAGGAGAGTGATGACAAATAAAATTTTATGAACAACTGGAAATAACTTAGTACACTTCATATCAGCGTCTTTACGAATACCATAAGAATAAAACCTTTGAAAAATCCTCACTACATATATTTCGAACTACTATTAGGTAAAAATTTGTATTACATACCGACGTTTTGTACCAAAAGTATAAGCAGTTTGATTTACCAAAATCTTGTTATCCAACAAGTGTCTTCAGATTGAACATCTTAAGATTCTTTTCTGACAGTATATTAACCACTTAGGATAATTCTAACGGGATGAATCGAGAGACAATTTCATATACACCTTTCGTCTTACTTCATAAAAACACACTTGTACTCATCAACATGACCTAGAAATATTATTTTCCATAAAGTTTGTAATATCCAGTGACTTCATTTCAGAAACAACATTTACACTGCATACAATTTTCTTATTTCTTTTCAGTGATTGTTCAAAAGACGGTTTCACTAGATTCACTAAATTGACTACCACCAAAATATTACTCACTTTTTTCTGTCTTTCCCCGATTAAAACCATATTTAATCGACTACTGATATTTTATTGAAGATTCCATTAATTTATTTTTCAGAGATGGCTTATATTAGAATCCCAAGTAATGGATTACACAAATGAAGCTAAAAATAACCTAAAATTTTTAAGTACACTGGAAGAATATTGTGAACCATTGTACAGATGTGATCCAGTAAGTTTTCGTTTCAAATAATAACAGTATTAGTATTATATTCATAGTTAAACAAATATACACATATAATCAATCACAAATTGATAATAACGGTACATGATTATGATATAAACTGTACATTAATGATCCAATCAATTTCATTTAAAAGTTAATATCAAACTATTCAGTAATGAAATGTTAGTTATTTATCTATTTAAGATTTAACCTCCAAGTTCATCTCACTTATATTTTTATAATCATGTTGAATATGTATTCATGGTCAGAAAGTTTTGTACTACTGTAAATATCTGTTGGTAACCTATATTCTGTTTGGCTAAAATCACTGTTCAGGAAAATGTTCTTTGATACTTATATGAATTCATATGTGTGTCTTTTTGTGTCTTTTTTTCAAGAGTATAAATATTTTACTTTCTTGAGAAGAAATTAATGGATGTTGAAAATTGTATTTGAATATAAAACGACACTGAATGAAGAAAATGTTGTATCAAAATGAAAATTAATTCGATATATCCCAAAATATCCATTTGTGCCGATCCAGTCTGAAGTAGACTTTTTAATGTATTAAAAAATTACAGTAGATCTCACAGTAAGATATGGGATCTTGGTAAGAAATATAAAAAGTTGTAATAATTCATTTCGAAACGAAACTTTTAGATTCTGAAACTTGAGAGAAAATATTACTATTAATACAAAAATCTAACAGTCACTACTATAAATCTCCTATCAGTTGATATGGATGAGGAGTTACTTCAACGTTTATGGAACCTCTTTAATGACGTTAGCTCTATATAACATTTCTTTGTAAGTTAATTAAATCAGAAATGGAAGATCATATGATGATGAATTGGAACTTCCATTTCGCCTACATCATCAGTGTCAAACTTGATGTAGATGATGACTGACTGATGACACTAAATCTTAAATTTAAAGTGTAAAAATAAAGCAAAAATACCTGGTTGATTCCTTTTTGTTGTAGGTCGGAATGTTGGACAGTATACCGAAACTTGTGACAATGATTCGTCTAGTTTATGAGATATCTACATTTTATAATACACAAGAAAAAATCACTTCACTATTTGTCAAGGCCACTAATCAAATGATATTTGCATGTAAAGCATATATTACTAATAATTATCAAAGTACAATTTGGACAGAGGAAACAGAAATCATTTTGAAAAAGATTATAGATTGCTGTAATTTACATCAAGTTTATAAGAATTCATTTCAACGAATCAAAACAGAATTAGCTGCTAAACCGAATTCAAAACAATTTGATTTATCTGAAATACATATATTTGGTAAATATGATTTATTCTGTCAAAGATTGGGTGAAATTAATGACATATTCCAAATGATCTCATCGTATTCTTGTTTGCTAGTGTCAAAAATTGAAAAATTAGATCCACTTATTGAGATGTACAATTTCGCTGTAAATAAACTACGAAATAGTGAATTTGACTTTTTGGACCAACGAAAAACCGAAGTCGATGACTGTATCATTGAGTTTAAGAAGAAAATGAGTGATATACGGGTTAGTTTACCAAATCATTTTTATCTGTATATTTCAAAATGTACCAACATTTACTTATCTGGTTTAGAGAAACACGCGTTAATCGATAAATAATAACTTGGTTACTTTCATTAGTAAGACAGATGCGATCTGTCATGTAGTGCTTGAAAAACAAGCCGACTTAAAGTGTAGTACCGAATCTCACAAAGCTAGCTTACTTTTCATACTTCGAAAGTGGTTAGTTTTTGGCATTTATATGGTTCAGCCTAGTTCACTGGTAACAATGTTGATTGCCAAACTGTATGTGATAGAATTTCTTAGGAGGTATCAGCTTCTTTACAGTACTAGATCCACTTTGTTGATTACTACCAATCAATACGAAATCTATGGTCTATCAATCGACCAAATGCTCACAAATAAAGTAGGATTTATCATGGATAAAACCAAATAGAACTAGTCAAATTCACTGAGGCAAGAGATACAATATGTCAACTACGCAAGGGAGAATGTAATTAAACAATTTAAAGCAAGTTCGCAGTACAACTGTTCTACTGGAAATCGTTTGAAATCTTTTTAAAGCACCTCAACCAGCATTAGTATATGCTGCTTAAGGGAACATATATCTTTCATGATTAAAATCTTCATTCCTGTACAGCTGTCTTGTTTGATCATTTCTATGTAAGTTAATCGATTTTATGTTTTCTATATATCAAAAGTAAACGTTTCACAATACGGATAATGAGATGCTTTGCACAGAACAGTACAACAAAATTATGGAGATACCGAAGACAAGGTGAAAGAGGATAGTGCAAGTGTTCTGAATGAGAAATGTGATCAAATTAAATACTGTTTATTTAACTTGGCTTTTTGAAATCTCTTGTTCCGTAATATATATTTAACAGTAAACTAGATTCAGTATGGTCTAATAGAAATTCGTTTGATTGTGAATCTCTATGATACACACAAGAAGTGAGAGAACTCATGTTTATTTTATGCCTTAAAAGAGCTTTGAACAGCACGTTGAGAGCGTTAGTTTTACGTCAGTAAACCATCTGTTCCGCTTTCATTTAACCTAGAAAGAGTTTAAGATAGGTAGATACTATCATTACGACTTACACAATGTGTATGGTACGGCAACTCGAACTGATGTACGTATGTAAGAAGTTCTAAGTTGTTACTGGCTGACTGACACAATGTGTATAGTTTTAGGCCAGTTGTGTAGTTGTCAAGGTTTTACAATTGCTTATATTGCTAGAATTACTACGTATCAATACTGGTAGCTCATATCAACGATAATTTCAGCATTTTCATCTGAATTATTGATTTGCCCATTATATATTTAATTCCGTATTTGTTTTCACTTCTATAACTTCAGACTAGTTTAAGATTCCTACTCGATACAGAAATGAACAGGCATCATGATCTACAAAGAAGTTTACGTATTATTGGACAGTTTGAAAAGTTAAACTTACCGAATTTGGGTGTAGATGAAGCACATATAAAATCATTGCATCGTTTTTCTCAGCTTATAGAGCATGTTAGTAAAGAATACAGTAAATTTAAAGCTTCACCACCAATTGGTCGTGATATACCTCCAATAGCAGGTTTGTTGTTATCTATGACACTGTGATCTTAAACTTTATTTTGTAGTTGCATAATTATTACTACTGGTTATTCTGTTCATTCTACCAAATAAAAATTTCGAATAAGAAACAGTGATAGATATAAATTCAGCTAGTTCATCTTCAAGTATCAAATTTGAGTTCACTATAGATCCGATCCTGATGTATTATTCAAAGCTATAAAAAGGATAAACTACTTTGAAGTGTTAATTTACAATGTTATCATTCTTTCTAATAATTTTTCGAAATCTCTACTCAATTAGATAATGTCATTCATGTGTTCTAGATTAAGGAAAGTCTTTTCGATTGACTGACTTACAAAGAAGATCCTCTTTAAAATGAGCATCTTCATTATTTACAACAAATGGATGGTGACTAGTAATGGTATCCATGATGTGTGTTTTTGTCCTATTCAGAAGTCATCACCAGCATGTGCACGCATCCCAATGTTGATATTCACACTATGACTCGAACCAAGTACGATCTACTTTATTCGCATAACACGTTATCCAATGAGCTACTGAGTTTAGAAAGTCATTATTTTTTCCAGTGCGCATGATGTTATTATTATTATTATTATTATGGGCATCATTTTTTACTAGAATGAAAAAGTGATTTAAAAGGATACGGGAATGTTAGTTCGCTCGTTTTAGGAGCACGTACGTTCCACTTCCTATATACCTAAATCTGACACCAAATACTAGGATTTATCTTGAATTTCAACTTAATTGGCGCAATTGATCACGCTTTTCCCCAAAAAAGTTTAAAATTTCTATCCCTCAACGGAGGAATGTTTATGTTCTACTTTCGAAATTTATGGTCTTATCATTGACAGCCTCAACGACATTCAATAACCATAAATGTTGTTGAAATCCTTCTCATACTGAGATTTTTCACGATTGACGTCTTCTGGGTTGTAAAATGTGTCTTAAAACCTAGAAAACTGAAAAATAATTTTAATTGAAATTTGTTTAAGTTTACAGAATACTCCGTAGTTTTAGGAACCAGGTATTCCAAATTTACTGGTGCTACAAGTTGTAGAATTTATAATTACTAGAAGTGCTATATTGGTGAATAAGTGTTTATTGACGTTGTAAAGGCATCACTGTAAGCTTTGCTTCTAGCTTGATATATTGATGTCATGTTTCATCTTATCTTTATGTTGATTGTTTGTTGAAAATAGGTTTCATAATTTCACCTATGGTAATCTAGTCTGCTAGTATGAGCACGTAAGTATGCAAGCGAACGATAATTGATAAACATTAAACAAGCATTTGAATCTAACCACAAGATGGGGTGATGATTGTTTTGAATGCGTTACACAACTTGAACAGACAAAATCTCAGGCATTGAACTGGCTAACAAGTTCCAATCGAAATAATTGTCAGTTTAATGTGCATATGATTTTTAACATGAGTTATCCCAGAAGCATTAACCTCAGTCCATTATCAGCTTTTTTCATTCATGTTTTAGTTGGTATCTTTTTTTGTTCATTTTGTAGTTTGTAGTGTACTAGGGTGTTCTACAGCTAATCAATGCCCTCTATGTTTCATAAAGAATGACAATTAAGGTTAAATTCTATGAACCGAAACTTCTTACAGGTTCAAATTGTTAGATTTTTGTGTCTCATGATCATTAATTCTTTGCACTACATCAAAAAACCTCAAATAAACCATAAATCATCATTCTTTTTCTGTTGTTTAATGTTTTCATAATGATAGGTAAAATTTCCTGGGCAAAAGAGTTATATCGAAGAATTGAAAGTCCAATGCTTATGCTCACCGATAAAATCAAATTGATGCGATCAAAGGAAGGCAAAGAAATTACTAAAAAGTATAATAAGTTAGCTGAAGTTTTGATCACCTACGAAATGGTTCATTATCGTAATTGGATTAACCAGGTTAATGGGTTATTTAAATGAACTTATTTTACATTAGATTTTCTTGTTACCGATGAGCTAGTTTACTGTAAGAACCGGAATCCAGTTTATAACCACCCTTTGAACCAAGTTTCGTAATTGTAAGCATTTTTTAGTTGAACTCGACTGAATCCATATCTTATTTCAAAATTTAAACTTACATCACAAGCAAACGATTTACGATCCAGTTATTTGCCAAAAAGTAGTTTAAAGACTTTAACTACCATAGAAGTCTTGGACGATTAATCAATCAACTAGATTTCTTTACAGTAAATCTCTGATGATTATGAATAAAAAAGTAGATTCTACGATCACTCTGATCGCTGTTTCCCGAATTATTTCCTGCAACATCACGATTGACTGGGTTAAGTTGCAGTATGAAAATTGTATGCAATTTAGACATTTCAAAAATCGTTTAAACATATGCAGTTAAATTTAATCTTGATGTATACTGTGTTATAATTTCTAGTGTTTTGCACACATGACATGAAATACAGTCGATAGGTACTTTAATGAGACATTTTAATCGATAAGTAACTTAGACTCCAATAAACTTTGGTTTGTACGCGATCACTATTCAGTCGAAGTTTAAAGTTTAAAGATTGTTATAGCATAGAAAAACAGGTTTTTAGCACATACTTTCAATCTGTATCTCAATGTATTGATTTCACAGTTTTGTGTTAGACATCTTAATATTGGATTTTAAAAATCTCCAAGGAACATGAAAGCAAACAATTGTTTCTCATCAGGCTCTACAATTCTGAATCCAAAATTATTAATTTTCTGCGACGGACAAAATAATTAAGTCATCTTATAAATTGAAAATAGTAAATTTCATACTGATTGATTCATAAAACTACAAAATGCTAACGAAGTACGTCATTGGTAATCTTAAGAAAAATGATGCATAAAGTACGGGAAATGTTATGTATCTCGAGCGGATAAGTTCTAGCAAACAGATAAAATAATCTATAATATTAGCGGTAACTGATCTGAGAATGGCCGATTCCAATTTGTAACATGTATGAATTCAACTCTAACATTTAGTGTATCATTATACAATAAATAGGAATTTAGAGCTGCAGGCTTGTTGAAGAAGTTGTTGTTCCAATTAATATTTTGTGTATCTGAATATTGAGCTCGGTTTTTCTCAGAATTGTACGTTAATTTACAAGTCACTAACAAAATTTGTAACCTTAAAACTGAAGTACTGCTGGTCACCAAATCACTCATTTTTTAGAAGATTTAGAGATCCTGATATCCGTTCTACTAACTGAGAGTATTGTGAAAGGGATAAATGATATTAGAATTTGATTAAATATTGTTTCAGATAACTAACATAAACTGGTTTTAGTATTTAACTACACATTTTACCGATACTTTCTTTTCTAAGTTAACCCTTTCCCTTTTCTGTCGTTATCTTATCTCCGACACTGGTTTAACACATATTGTAGTCAGTCACTTTTTACACCCCCCCGAAGTTGTTTCTGGAACTTTCTAATACAAAAATTCAAGTACAAAGAAATCTAGTATGATATGCTCATTCTATGTCCCATCTGGTACAAACTAAATGCTATAACTTCGGGCCTGTATGCCATGTTAATGTAAAACGTAACGATACCGCCAGTCAGAGAGCAGCGAAAAATTATCACTCATTATTCTTACCGGGACATAACACTAAATTGTAACAGTTTGGTTCGTAAAGATATCAGTGATTACTTATCTTTTTTCTATATTACTTACTTAACCGTGCTCTCTCTTATGGTCGATAGGCCGTCGACCGAACATTTCCAACCAACTCTGCCCTAGGCATTCTTTCCTAGTTATTCCAAAGTACTATTCATCCTGTTGATACCTGTCTCTAATTATCTTCACCACGTATTCTTTGGTATACCTCTTCTTCTCTTACCTTAGACATTTCAAGTTAGGGTTTGACTTGTTATTCAGTCTGATGATTTCCGTGATATGGGTCCTATTCACCTCCATAGTCTTTTTCTGATTTCCTCCACAGCTGGAAACTGGTTTATTCTTTACCATGTTCTATTATTGCTGATGGTCGCTGCCTTATGGATCTGAATTATTGTGCGTAGACAGTTGTTTATAAACACCTGCACCTTTTTGATAATAGTTGTGGTAGTTAATTATACGTTGATGTTAAACACTCTTATTTTGCTGTTGTCTGACATTCCTTTTGAGTTCCAGGTACTCTTCAGTTGCAGAGATTCTCTCCTAGCTTTCCGAATCAGTGCCTTCACATTTGCATCAGATCTTCCTTTTTTCTCAACAATGCTACCTACGTATGTAAAGCCTTCCAACTCTTTTGGAGCTTCATCATCGAGTGTGATTTGTTTGTTGCTCACTGTACTGTACTGCAAAATCTTCCTTTTACCTTTGTGACTGTTATGGCTCGCATTTCTGGAGGCTGCTCCTAAATCTTCCCAAATAGAACGTGTAACATATTTGCAGCTGTCTCTATATCTAACTTCAGTGCTTTGTCTGGTAGGCTATGTTATCCTGCTGATTCGCCACCCTTGATTTTTCTAACGAACTTACTGATTTCTTCGATTGTTGGTGTGGTAACATCTTTTAGGAGGTCTGTGTGTACTACTTCGATGGCCGGTGGTTTCAGTGGATCTGGTTTATTAAAAAGCTCTTCAAAATTGTTCTACCTACTTGTTCTACTGTTCTTGAACTTCAGTGACTAGTTTTCTTTTTTTGTTCTTGACCGGTCGCTCTGGTTTACCATATCTTCCGGCTAGCTTCTTCGTTGTATTCTAAAGTTGTGCCATTTCCCCTTCTCCTGCAGCATTTTCCACTTATCAGCTCTAATGCTCTTCTTCACTGGTTTGTTTGCTTCTGTGTATTCGGTCTGTGCCTTGGCTTTCTCTGCTCTTACTCGGCGGTTGTTGATTAATTTTTCCGTGTTCTTCTTTTCTTAAATCTCACCTAGAGTGTCGGTGGAAATACGTTCTTTATGCTGGTGGTTGTTGGGGCATAGCAATTCCAAGCATACTTAAGCTAATACTTCTTTGTCTCTTTCCCAGTTTCCTCTATTTTGAGTAGATCTTGTATGACTTCTACCTGGTGCTGAAACCCATCTTGAGTTCAATATGAAAACCCTTCAAATCTCAAAACAACATTTAAATGATTTTTCCTGGTTAACAGGATTATTATCAAGGATTTTCCCATGGGATGAAGTTGTTGACTTCATACCCAACCCTCCTTTATCCGGGCGAGAAAAGACTACAGGCGGCGTTATATTTCTATTATAACTAGTTTGAGTAATCTGTTTGAAGCAGATTCACTGATATCACTTGTTAGAGTTTATCAGTATGCAGTATTTAAAAAAGAATTACACATCTACTCAGTGTGGTAGTTAAAAACAAAACCTTTCTAGGTGTATGACACGGATTCGTCAAAACTGAAGAAGGTTCAGTAAACGAGTAATAATGCCGGAGTAGTGTTTGATTAGCTCAACAATCATTCGTAAGTCCTTTCCAGTCAACATTAAGTACTTGAGCACCACACCAAGCTTTATCAACTTACCAATTCATATATATAATTTCGGGTCATAACTTTAATGAAAATAGATAAATAGTGATATTTTAAATATTCAATATGGGCACTGTTACACCTTATCAAACTAAATGCCTTATCGGCCTGCCATCCGTTTTGAAAACATTTTATTTATTTATATTCGACTAAATATCCTGCTGCTGTAGCATTACTTTTAACTTTAAGTTATCAGGTCACACCTAAAATGAGGGATACTAATTAACTAGCTTAAATTCTTTGTTTTTTGTACTTGTTAAAATAAGAGTAGATTCAACCAACAACTATCAATCAACCTAAATCACCTAAGTTACAAATTGAAGCTTTCTAAAAATTGGCAATAAAATACAATATCCGTAATATTGTTTCTAATTATTTTTACCTCCTTTATGTATTTTCCCATCAGGTGAGAACAACCAATGAATTTCAATACAAATTACAGAAAATCATAAAATATGAGAACCATATATGAAATACTTCATTTGCGAATTTCCATCATTTCTCTTTCACATTCTCTTCCAATTCACAATTTATTTCTAGTTTAGTCTCCGCTTTCTTCAAGTCAAACTTCATAGGCTTTTGCTGCTAGGTTATCCACTTCCGATTGGTGTTACATAGTACTTATATATGTTGATATAAGTAGTATACACCACAAAATTATTATTATTATGTTCTAGATATTTAAGCAGACAAATAAGTCTGAACGAGCTTTTTAGATTAACCTCATTTAGCGTAACTGTATGAGTACTCAAATTCCCAGTGTATAAATACTTTGATATGCTCACGTAGATTGATGAAAGTTAACTTCGACATTTGGCGTAACGTAATTAGTTTACTTAGAACTCTTTGCCTAACCCTGTTACCATTGGTTTTTTAATTCCACAGAATATAAACAGAGATATAAAATCCAATCATTATCATAAGTTTTTAGTCAGATATTGTGTTTATGAACGCTTTCCAGGATTGCCCATTTTTCCCACATGTAAACAATTTCTGTTGTTTCGAACTTCCTCTTGCATTAGATTGTATATTATGCATAAAATAATATACATTTTTTCCCATATAGATATCCTTTGCAAAAGTTGGTTTACGTGATCCTTTACTTTATCAAGATGAAAGGACTAATCGTATTATTGTTGCACTTGACCCAGAAATTTTAGTTGTCTATCGAGAAATAGAATTATTTTCGAAATGGGGATTAGATATACCTGAAATTGCCGTGGAATTAAGTAAAAAAGAAACCCAATTAAAATTACATTATAATAAATTGAAAGTATGTTCGAACGTTTACTCTTCAATTTACTTTATTGCATGAAACGTTTTGTAGTGTTTTGTATAAATAGAAATGTATGAGACGTTTTTTGACACTGATTTACACTAAATTATTTTAAGTCAAACGGGTAGTGTGGGCTAATGATCTTTCCTATGTATGAATAATTTAATAAAAACAAAACTTGGTACAGAGATCCTAAGTTCATATTTTCTTAACTGAAAACTTTAGTTTCCGTCCTTATGTAAGTACATTCTGTTGAGGTTTTTCTCACAGTTTATCGAGATGGTAAATAAATGTACATATTTCTTCAGTTTCTAGTTATTTCCGTCGCTTGCGCTTTCCACAAATACTAACTGCTTAAATCATGATATACAACCACTAAACACTGACTGAAGCTCAGTTAAATCAAAAACGTATGGAATACCTTGCCTTATACGAAATCTGTTACTTTCAATTTGACTTTTCAGTGTTAGTGGTAGTTTGATAAAAAGATAATATCAATATCTATAGTAATAAGTATTCATCAATCACCTTAGTAAATCTCGTACTCACAGATTCGAACTTGTATCGTTCACCCAGCATGTTGCTTACTAAGGTGAGATTAATTTCGGAAGTTGTAAACAAATTTTTGATGATTTGTTTTAAACCAAAGATAAGGCTTTAATAATTTGAAATAGTTGATAACGATTTTTATTAGTTTTCATTTTTAGTTTTTAATATTAATTATACTTGTCGTTATTCCATTATGTTATTACCATATATTGTAAACAAGCTTTCTGGTAATGAAAGTTTAACTAGGAAGACAGGTATCTAGCTTCTTTGTCTTTATTGTAAAAAGTTCATGTTGGCCTTTGATGAATTGCAACCCATATGCAAATTATGATAGAAAAGAAGAAATACAGGATAAAAAATTTAGGTGACCCAGTATGAGTGGAATCTTTTGGATATTTCTTAGACAATAATTTCCCTAGGACCTTTTAATTTGAAGTCTTAATCCTGTAACTGACAAGAGGTATAATTTGCTGGTTTTACTTTGTCCAATGTCACTAACATTTTATTTATAGTTGCCTAATATTATTAGTTTAGTACAAATCGGTGTTTTAGTTTTGTTACCAAGTAATACTACTCTTTAAAATAGTGGAATAAATACATATCTCTGCTACATGAACATTTTGTTTAGATACAATCATATATCTCAAATGGCCTTTATTCAGTTTTTAGTATTTTTAACATGGAGTTATTATTATTTCAACTTCTTTCAACCATTAGTACTGTTTAGCAAACCTATTAATTATCGATTTTGAGTGGTTTTTCCATCAATCAGGATCATCAACGAATTGATGTCTTTAAATTTTCTTCTAATTTTTTTCCAACCTAAAATACTTAAACAGTCGTTTTGCCTTCATTTTGTTAACTATTTAGTCAATGTTGACCAGTATAAATGAAATAGAAGTTAATCTAGATCCAATGTTTATCAAATTAATGCGAGCACAGTTCGCACATTTGCAAAATTTATTAAAACCTGGTTTATCTTTATTGAACTGGACAAGTCTTGGAATCAACCATTTCATTGGTGATGTAACCAGTTATATAAATCAGTTGAAGTTACTCAGTGAACGTGCAAATGATCTGAAAAAATACCGAATAGAACAAGTAAGCTGAGAAACAGAATGATTGATGAATGTTTCCAACATGTAACTTATGATGATGTAGACTCACTGACATTGCTTCAGTATCATTGAAAAATGTCGTGTATTAAAGTATTTTCTTGAAACTGTATAGCTATGTAATTGGTGTTGGTTAAATTCTGCAAAGTAAATAAAGATCCATTCTAACACACATGTTGAATAGAAAGCGCGACTTGAACTTATTCAAAACCGCGACTATAAATCATAGGAGAATTTATAAAACCTTTCGCCTAAATTTGAACGAATAGTTTCACTAGTATTTGGGTGCCAACCTAATGTAAAACATTATAGAAGAAAATTATATTGGTAAAAATCCCAGCGATTGAGTTTTAAGTAAATCCAATGTTTCGCTCAACAATTCAGTCCAAGCTTTTTCAAGGAAATATAATCAAGCATCAAATTATCGAATATAAATAGGTGCATGGTTCTCCGGTTAACTGTATACTAAACAGGTCATCCAATCATATTAACAATGTTGAAAGTAAGGATTTGTTGCAGTGCGTATAAGACATCTAGTGTGTAAAGAAAAGTGTGTTAAGATAACGGTTGTGTGTATGCGTGTGACTGAAGTGAAAGAACGAAATTTCATTGACTATATATCGTCTAATTAGTATTTTTTGATGAAATCAGATAATTCTGTAAATTATATGAAAGATTAGTTCAGCGAAGAGTTCTCTTTTTGGTGAATTCATTTTCAAAGCTGTACAATCGCAAACGTATATATATGTATATACTTATTGTTCAGGATGATAATAACTACAATAATAGTGTTAATAAGATTTTGTCAAACATGATAACAGTGAGTTAGACTAAACAAAGGTAATAAAAAAATTATTTCTTTAGTCAAGGAAACTAATAATAGTTTTATTGTTAAGGGCTTAAACATTCATCATGAAGATAAATAGGGAAGTTATAATTAAGACGGATGGTTTAGCATGATAAGATAAAATGTTGAAATTGAAATGAAATGTAATTAGGAGGATTATAGAAACAGAAATAAACCAGTTGGGAGTAGAAGGTCTATGGAGAAGATGGAAGGGGAAGCAGATGTTTGTAGAGGAAGAAAAGTATGAAGAAGAAAGAGAATTATGAAACATTAAAACGATGGCAAAAGAAGAGTTTGTACCAGTCTCTTTCGCACACACAATTCTGGTTTTCCCAGATGTATAGCTATTGCTTCGACACTGTTAAGAGGATGTAATCTAATTGTCTTTGGAAGACTTCTACTTGCCCTGTATATGACTTTGAATGCAGAGTCTGCTTTGGTTGAGTGGCCTGTGTTCACAAGATGAGCTTTTTATTGAACCGTTTCCTCCTATTCTTAGCCACTTCGGATAATGTTCTTGAATTCTTTTGGATAACGTATGCATCGAATGACTATATATCTAGCTCCACATGAGCAGGTAAATTGGTAAATGCACATTGAGTTGGTCAGACGCAATAATTTATCCTAAAGATTAGCTGGAGAATACTATTCGCAGTGTTGCTGCGAAGAATGCTCTTTTTAAAGAACATCCAACTGATTTATTTCTGTTTCAGCGATCCTCCTGATTACATTTAATCTCAATTTCAACTTTTTATGCAATTAGTTCCCTTTATGAATTTAAATAAATCCATAACAAATATAGATGCAAAATAATATGAATTCATTATATTTTGTGATTTCTCATCAGCTGCTTACAACCAAATATGTATTAGATTCTAACACCAAATAACCTCTGATCTGTTCTTGCACATTATATATATAGTTATTATTGATAACCTTTGTCATTCCAATTCTTTGCATTCACTTATATCAATTGTTTCATACTACTTCTCACTTCAATGTAAAATTCTATTACATATTTGGTTGTAAGCAACTGATGAGAAACCACGAAACATAATGAATTCATATTATTCTGCATCAATGTTCGTTCTGGCTTTATTTAAATTCAACATTTTATCTTATCATGCTGAACCACCCTTTCCCAATGATAATTTCCCTATCTATTTTTTGATGAATACTTAAGCCATTAACAATCAAACAGTTATTAAACTTTCCTTGTTTAAAAATTTTATTATAATTAATATCATCCTGAAAAATAAGTCTATATATTTGCGATTGTACAGCTTTGAAAATGAATTTACCGAAAAGAGAACTCTTCGTTGAACTAATCTTTCTTACTTAAATTATATGAATCAAACATGTTACAGCAAGCATAAAATGAAGATCAGTAAACAAATAATTTTTGAGTATAGAGTTGTGGAGATTGTTAAGTTTTTATTGAGATCATCAACAGATCAATTTTAGACCACATCAAAAGCTTGTAAGCACTAGATGGCTGTTTCGTCCTGATACGCGACTTCTTGGCAGTGCGCATCCACGACTCCTCTCGCGAGACTTGAAGTCAAGACATTCTTTCGCGCGCGAACCCTTAAATTCTGATTGGTGTTATTTAACTACAAAGGAAGAACTAAATCATTTCAAACTGGTATAGTTTGTCACCGTTTAACGGTCAGCTAACCACAAATATACTGTGATACTGTAGTGGAGTAAATCAAAATAATTAACATTCCTCAATGTATTGTTTGGATTGTCGATTTACTGGGAGCTTAAGTACTAACAGTTTCACATTTGCTACTTTAACCCATTGTGTCGAATTATTCGTTTACAACAGAGAATCGGTACATTCTGGTTTTTACCTAAAAAAACATTTCACTCCTTACAAACTGATATTTTAGTTATTCATAGTTGAAATTCATTCTTGATTTACAGACCTACTCTCAGAGGAACTCCATTTACTCAGTACAGGGAAAAGTGAATATAAGATGGAAGTGGAACTTTTTAAAAATTAACATTGTGATTTATATCTGGTTCCCAGACACTTATTTGTTTTAAATTTTTAGATTTTAAACGAAATATCTAATATAACTTTATGCGAACTAAGTGATTCAGAACCGTGGACCATAGATTATTTCTTAGAACATACCAATTATCTGTGTAGTAAAGCTGGGGATATCTTGCAAATCAAAAGTCAAGTTATTCAGGATTCAGTGCATGAATTGATTGATATGCTTTGCGGTGCGTATCGATTACAGTTGATGCAAGAAGAGGAAAAGGACGAAAGAAACATGACTTGTATCAAAGGATCTGGAAAATCAACACTGTCTTCACAAAAGTCAATATACCCAGGTAATAAGATTCACTTTAATAATGATGATTCATGAATACACCCTATCTATTTTAATCACTCATGATCGTGTTGTTAGTCTCTTATTATTAAAGCTGTGGATTAGTGAGGAAGCCACTCTACTTCTAAATATTACGTTGTGAATTCAGCGTTCACTCCATGTAATTTGGTTTGAACAGCCAGATAGTATCCGTACCCCTCATACAAGAGATATATAAACATGAATACATTAACTGATTTTGGATTGCCGATTTGGATTGAGTAAGATTAGTCGAATTTCCGATTAAAATACCTATCGCTTTTGGTCAATATAGACAAATGATTCATCAGTTTACATGTTATCTTAATAAAAAGTGCACCATTTATATTTTAAATTCCATTCATGTGAAAGATACCACAGCAGTTAAGCACGTTTAGACCAAGGCTGCATAATTTCAATCTGTGTATCTCATAGACACTAGATAGGGTGGGAGCACATTTTTGCATTGTGTACTCTGTGATGGACTAGAAATATGCTTTTATGTAAGTCATAATTTATATAATACATATGGCTGTATTTTTCTGAGTATGAAACATTAAAGAAGTTATGAAGTTTATGGTTTTGAAAGCTAATTTATAGGAACATGCAGAAACGATGCTTCATGCACACTTCATACTCTCGTTTACCTATAACATATTAAAAGTATTTTCTGGTTAGTGCGAGAATCATGGAGCCACAGTGATTGCTTTACCTAATATGAATCTTGAAAGTTCAATGCAATATGATCTACTTAAATACCACAATAAAATGTAATTTTTAAATAAATAGTTTTAGAAGAGGGAATTTGTGAAACATGTGACATATGTAGACATGAGAGTCAGGAGAATAAATATAAGTATCATTAACCTAACAGCTGAAATGAAATAGATGTCATTCGAATGATAATTAAGAGTTCTGGGCAGAAACAACCTTTATAAAATGAAATAGAAATAGTTCGGTCAATGTAAACGGGAACTCCGATAAAAGTGGAGGTATAACTAAGAAAAGGTTCTAATAGATTTTGGAAAGTGGATGTTTCTGTGGTGTAAATCAGATTTAGTCGTTACCCACTGGATTGTGTAAATCTCAAAAATTGGATCTGAAGCTGATTATATTTCAGAATAGTGGGCGTAAATGATCCGAGTTGTTTTTCAATGAGCAGTGTTAGTAAATACTCTAGACTAAGACGAAGATAATGTTTCGTCGAAGGACCAACTTATGTTGCTCGGCAGGATCAAGTGATGTAGTCCATATACGTAGGAATAGTCAGTAATGGAAAATCAACTTTCACTTGCTGACATATAGGAGGATGAATATTGGCTTCATGTATCTTCTCGTTGTTATTTAGGACTGCAATTGATCAGTCTCTTGTTGGCATCTGTGCATCCTGTGCGGATTGCCTCGATACTGCCTTAAGTTATAAGCATTTTAAACAGAAATGGACTAGCAGTGGAATCCAGGATGCGGGTTCCGTCCTACTTGGGACTCGTCAGCTGGATGTACCTGCATATATATATGAGTGCTTATGCACTTGATTCGGTTTACACCAATAAATGTTCTATGAGACAACGTTTGGCCGACGTTGAAGTGGCCTTGAGAAAACCCACCTACCTTCTAAGGTCCAAAACGGTTATAAATTAGCGTAAGGAATTAGGCTTGGGATCTAGGGTTAGTAGTTGGGATAAGGAATTAGAGTTGGGGTTTTCGTCACCAAATGACATTAGCTATGATGTCATGATGCTGTTTAGCCATGTGGATAAGTTTTGCAACAAAGTCTAAGACATGAAATCTCTAATTTCATTGGTTTTCCTTTGGATTATAGTTTGTGAATCCGTATCAGTTTCATACACTCCACATCATAGCGAAAACTTCCAATGGACATCTAGAAAATGAGCAGAAAAACCTTTGTTATTCTGAATAGATAAATGTCGAGTTGGTCCTCAATTATAACAACCGTTTGAACATAATCTAGAGCTTCTTCCATTTTTCCCACCTTTTATTTATTATTCAAAGTCCTGGAATCGAAGATCTTTAGTGACCAGGAGTCGAATGGGAACTCGATATTTAGGTGTAAAACTTACCAATTGTCTTTATAAAAACGTTTGGTGATATTAAAAGTCAATTCCTTCAAATGTATTTCAGAGATTACTTGCAAACGGGTTCAAGTATTTCAGTTATCCACTATATATTTGGGTAGTACAGTAATCCTGTAGTGAACAAGAACACAGGTGGAGACAATCGATTGTATTTAGCACAAAGATTACAGACTATTTCAATAAAATGTGAATACCATAAAGTCAATCGTCAATTTGCAAAATATCATTCTATCATATCAAACTGTACTGTTCCCGTTGCAAACACTAATCCATTGTCTCCCATTCCATTGTACATGCGTTTTCTTACAATTCCATTGTGCTCTTGCTCTTCCTTTCTTGATCTTCGCCATCTTCTGCTGCCGGACATTACGTTCTTTTAACGCACGTTATATACTACTTATATGAATATAAGTAGCTCACAACACAATCCAGTTATGTCTAGAATCAGTCAAAGCGGAACTCCAGGATTACACTCTTCATGCAGACCGCATAGTCTGCGCTTTTCCAAAATATAAAGGCTTTAATCAGCTGAAGTTTACGGATGTTAATAAAGAACTATGTTTTATTCTTGTAGGTATCATTACCAAGGTTTGACTTGATAATTTCGAATAAATTGTGCATTGGCTAAATTGTTATAAATAGATAAATATATTTGTAATATCCCAATGAGCAGAAAAATTAGAGTTTCTGACGTTTCGTGACTTACTGTAAGCCATTTCTTCAGAGAATAAATAACCAAATCAAAATTAATCCAAGTTTAAGTAGTACAAAAGGACAACGCAAGAATATTATGTGCGATCAATCAAAAAAACAGGTATATTTTATTCTTTTCAACATATCCACAAGCTATGCTCCATTTATTTCAGTTTTATTTTTTTCTCTATCAGGCTTCGGAAATTTATTTAATTTAATTACTTGTCGATGAATCGAAAGAATTCTCTCTTGATTTAATGAACCCGTTGGTGATCATTCCTGAAAGTTTCTTACTACTATAACAATGTCGAAGAGCATTATTTGTTGATAAATTTAACTAAATGTTTTTATTTTGTAAAAATATTGTTTAGAGAGTGCAGTTTCAAGGACAACAGGTACAAAAAGTGCAAGAGAATGTCGTAAACGATTAGTTGAAGATGCTGCACTCAGGGTATTAGAGCATTTTCATCAGAGAACTGTGGATACTTTAACTAAATTAATTCGTAATACTTTGGATAATCTTCGTAAATGTTTAACTTTGCCTTCAATTTTAGCCTATGGTTAGTTGATGATTCTTTATACTGTATTTTGCATTATTCTACTTAATTTGCATTTTAAATGATTTGAAGGAATAATGGGATATTTTATCATGAAATCTATGTGAGATGAATTAGAATTGAAAGTAGTAAATTAAAGTGAAAGAGTGGTATTGATTAATTAATGTAGGACTTACGAACAGTACTATCCCATGAAATAATTGTAACTGAATCTAAAATTCCTGGTGTTGCTGAAAATCGATCTATGATTTGATTAAATATTAAACTATGAGATTATTGGTCTATCAGTATCTAAGTCAAAGATTCCCTGAAAATTAAACTGTAAAAATATAAAAATTGGTCACATTTATTTGTAACGAAAACTTTGGTGTTTTAAAGAAATCAGAAATCACTTAATTAAAAACTAGGTCACATATTCATGATACTGATTAGGAACATAATCATCTGAAGTAGCTTAATAAATATTCCCAATCTTAGTAAATATGTTTACGAATGATAACTCAAGTAATGAATTATGGATCACAATAGGCCATTTTTAATGTTCTAAGGGATTACTAGTGTGTACAAATTTAAATACTAATTTTTATCGGAATATTAACTCAAAGTTTTACAATTTTTGCTGCTTCTGCTACCATCGATTGATGTTGATTCTTGTGAAATAGGTTTGCTCAATTTTCTACAAAAATAAACTATGAATCTTGAAAATAGACAGAACTGAGTGCTTAAAGCTGACTAAATAGCTCATCAGAAAGCTTTACTCCGGTGAAAAAACTAATAAATAAATAATTCGTATAAAATCTTACAAAAACACTACCAATCGTTTGTTTTATGAGTAAAAGTGCATAATGACATTGTTTTTTTTAGGCCAATCATAGTTATAATCATGAAAATTTAGTTAATCGACAACTAAATAAATGTTAGTTCACAGTCTACCAGATAGAAACTAGGTCGTGAGGTTAAAAGACATTAATGTGCTACATTTGGCTTTAAAACGGGATAAATATACCTTTACAATGATTCAAACTGGATACCGACAATTACTACTAATTTTGGTCACCCAACAGTCAAGCTTACACTTTTCATGAAACTGAAACCGGTAATTATTGGTCTGATAAATGTGAGATCATTATGATACTAATACGGTGAAATGAATATAGTGTATTTAGATTACAGGTGTATGATGACCTCCAACACGTGTCCTTAGACGTCGTACGTGATATAACTATGCCACATACATGAATTCTATGGAAATGATGATGATAATTTAAAGATCCCAATCATATTTAAAGACTAATAATTGAACGAAGAATATTCTTTTCGATAAATTCTCTTCAGGTTCTACAATTATATATCCAAATTAATAATCCGAAAAATGGTCAGGTTAATGGCAAAGTACATGGTTTAAAGTATGTGAATTTAGGATTGTTAAACAAAATACAATAACATTATCAGAAGGGGTTTTGTAGAGATTTTTATAAATTTCAATACTTGATTCAATTGAAGCTGGCCCACCATGGAAAACCTTGAAGCACTGGACGGCCGTTTCGTCCTAGCAGGGAACTCCTCAACAGCGCGCATCCACGACCCCGCCCCCCGCGAGATTTGAACCCAGGACCTACCAGTCTCGCGCGCGGGCGCTTAACCATTAGACCACTGAGCCGGCATCCAACGGTGTTAATGTCCAACTAAGTACAATAAAATTGTTAGTGTTGATATGACTCTGAATGTTAACTTGAATCTGCATATATGTCAAGTGAACTTTAAGATCCATGATCAGAATAAATATGGGTCAGATAGGGTAAGAGAGAATTAATAGTACAATTACAATTCGGTCAAATGTTTATATAAATTGTGTGAAAAATTGGTAAAACGTAATAAGCAGGAATGAATGCGAAGTGAGTGAATCACGTACAGGGGACATTAATAATGATGTTTAACCAACAGTAATAATAATACAAAGATTTGTGACAATTTTATTGCATTTTGTTTAACAATCCTAAATTCACATGCGTTAAATGATGTGCTTTGCCCTTAACCTGACCATTTTTTTGGATTATTAATTTGGATATATAATTGTAGAACCTGAAGAGAATTTATCAAAAAGAATATTCTTCGTTCAAATATTAGTCTTTTAAAATGATGATGAGTCTATAAACGTAGTTCGTCCAATCAGCATTTAGTTTCTTTTGATTTGCATTTCTTATGACAATGGAAATGACTAGTATTTTTACGTCATGATCACTTAATCCACCAGTTAAATTAGTTTTTTCTACCCTCAACATCGCAAAACTGTTATTCATTGGTTTCTGATCATAAGCTACTATTCATATGATGCCGTTCCAATGACATCAAATTTATGAAACTACCATAATGGCCAACTTTAAAACAATGCACCTTTAAGTCATCAATTTATAGAAAGGTATTTCTTTGATAACTCATATTTCTCATTTCAGATAGTGTGAATTCAGATGGATCAGTTCAACTTTATTTTTCATGCCATGCACAGTTATCCATACCATCAATTATACTACATCCGTCTCTTGATGATTTTCAGAAAGCGTTGAATACTGCTACACATTTAATTATATCTGTTACTCGTCACATTTCAGTGTGGGATTTAAGGCTACGTAATCCACATGGCTTAAAAGTTAGTTCATTTTGTTTCTTATTTATTATTAAATAATATCCTAGTATCAATGACGTCCTTGCATCATGGTGATATTCATTGATATAATAAATAGACCCTGGTGAATAAAATTGGACAACAGTGTGATATATTTGGAATAAACAAAGTGAACAATCTAGCAAATTGGTCCCCAGCTAAGTTAAATCTGTTTTCATGAAATGAAGCAATCTCTTGTAATAGGTTTAAAAGAAACAGATAAGCCATATTTAAGAAGAATTTTTAATCAATTGCATATCTATCATTTACGGTTAGATTGTAAGCGAATCAACTACAAACATGTCTGACTTATTTGCTTTAAACCAAAAATGTTATATTTTAGTCTAATTTTGTTTCCCAGTGTAAAGTAACAAACCTTGTTGAAAGCCTTTATCTGTTTGTAGGAGCATTCTGAAATTGAAGAAAGCTTTTCATCAATTGAAGAAGTTAAAAAATCAAGTCAAACAGACAGTTCAACGCATTCGGGTAATGAATTGACTAGAGAAATAACTGTATCATCTGGGACTAACGAACTAATAACCTATACAACAGATGAGCGCTTCAGTGTTGCAGATGATGAATATGAAAATAAAGATGATGAAAATTACTTTAATAAAATTTCTCAAAATAAGGAGATAAATAAACTAAGGGGAATGCTTACAAATGCTTTCTCATCGATTCAGCAGGTACGCTACAAAATGTCATATTTTCTTAATTTGTAGGACAAGCAAACTTTTGATGGAAAATATCCAAAATTATCTCGTTAAAAGTCTGTTACTAAATCAAAATTTAGAACTCATAAGTCTAGATATTTCTTTTTTTATAAATAGAGCACTACATAGTCTTTGGTGATATCGAGTTATTCCATTTTGTGGCCTTGCTGAATCCCTTAAATGAAAAAAATGTCACTGAGAAGATATTATATTTTTGATAAAAATCCTGATAACGAAAAACATTGATATATGTTCGCACTTTATTCAATGGGTCGAACTTGCAAGTCTTAGATTCCATATTATCTATGGTGTTTTAGAACTATGAACATGTTATAACTGTGGCTGCAGATTAGATGGCAGCGACTTATTGATCGGATCAATTACACGTAAAACCCTATGAGCAGTCTAAAGTTCTGATTGACCCTGCTTCCATTTCTAGCTCAGCCAGTTGTGTTCAGAACGCAAGTCTCAGCCTCTGAGATATGAATCATTATATTTCAAGCATACTGAGTTTATATACCAATCAAACCGACCACAACGTACCAATAAAATATTAAACAACATTTGTACAAGAATTAGCCAGATGTGGCTGTGAATGAGGGAGTTAGCGATTAACAGACAGGGAATAATTCATGAATGGTAAATCGTATAATAATAGTTCATAAGTCAAAATAAAACTCATAATAAGAGGGACATGAATATGAACAGTTTGGTTATTTAACAATTATACGGTAAAAATATACTCATAATATTGGTCATTAAATGGATCCCAAAAATTACCATTCATTATTCTTATCGGGATACAACAGAACACGAGTGAGTTTTAGAGGTTTCTATATCCCTTATAAGAAGCTGTACCAATCAGCAATAAGTAAATAGGAATTACAGAGAGAAGTGTGTATGTAGAACACTAATTATTAAAGCACTTTATTTAAAAATGCAGAGTTTAAGAACCTAGAATCGACTGATGACTGTTGGAGTCATTGATGTAATATTATCGTACTTGAATTTGTAGGTGAGATTGCTGATGTGTTACAGTCAGAACTTATTGTTTACTCTATTCACCTACTGGACATCAAACATGGCGAATCGTAAAATCGTCAGTCTTAAATTTCCCATATTGTTTCCCTTCGACTAATCCCCCTAGCCTCTTTCACAAATATAGCTAGTGTTGGAAACTAAGATGCTTACATTAAATGCGAAACTGAATAGTAAACAACTCCAAACAATTTGTTGTCGTGAAACGGATAAAGAATTTTGTTTTGATAAAGATATCTAGAGCCAGGTATGTTTGTTCACTGAACCTCATTCACCCAGAAGATGAGCTTATCGAATATTTAGAGATCCAGTATCCTGATACAAAAAGCCTCGTTTAGTGCTTGTAGGTTAGAATCGGATTGCAAAAGGTTCATCTATAAACTTGATCTTATTCGTCAATGATTATGTTTCAATGTCGTTGAGCAACACTATCGACATCTGAATGATACTGGAGACACAACGAAAAATTGTGTTTTTACATATCTAGCCACTAACTGAAGTTTGGACCCACTAAGTCTCACCAAAAGTTATTTAAATTACTACAGAAACCCGAATCATTGTATCTAGAAACTACTAACTTTTGAGCTTTTGACTACCTTTTTAGAGAGTGTACTTTGAAAGGGATTAATAAAACATTTTGCAGGTTGTTACAGAACTATGCATGTGAAAATAATCCGTAATTGACTTTAGTGTCTTTAAAAAAGCCTAGAAACTTTCAGTGTATGACATAAAACACTTTTAAACAAGTACTTGAAGGCAGTATTACCTTACCAACTTTAAACACGATAAAGAGCACAGTCAGCTTTAACATATTTTGATGAAAAGTGATGAATATAATCCTAATGCGCTAACTTCAGAAGGTTTTAAATATTGTGTTCCAAGTTTATTAGTTATGCTGTTTGAGACGGTAAGTAGTTGATCGCAATTAGACTGTTGATTGTTTCAGTTTACAGGAAAAATGTTCTTGCGTAATAACCATTAAAATATCAGCCTAACAAGCATCGTTTTAAAAAGGCTATGATCCATTTTCACGTAACTGTTGAGTGAACCTTAGAAAAAAGAAATCTGTAAACATAAAGTTTAAGACCTATCCGTGTGAGTGAAGATCAATTCTTATTTCCCTTCCGTATCTCCAAAACAGAGACATTTAACTGCATTCCATTATATCCCTGTATCATGGGCTAAAACTGAATTATGATTACATTGACAGAAAGTTCTAGTGAAAATGTTTATGATCTAAGCTGATGCCTGACAGGTATATCATTTTAACAGTTATTTTTTTGACAAAAAATGAGTAATTGTTCCAGAACTACTAAAGCTGTATTATCTACAAAGGCTATGTTAAGTTGTAGTTTCCTAAATTTGATGTCTCGTGTTAAATGAACTACTGAAGAATTCCAACTTCCTTTGATCAACAGTATGAATTTCGAATGACTAACAGTAAGAAAAATTTTATCCAGTAATTTATAGTGATGTTGAATTATCTATAAGGTGATTGGACTCACTTATCTGGATATTCAGTCAAACATTTTGGCAGGGAACGTACAACCATGAAGATTCATTGACACAAATAAACAGAAATAATGATTAGTCTATTTTGTTTAGTTATGCTAGGTTTCATTTGAATATAGCGTGATCAGATAATGTAAAAGTTTGGAAAACATTAAATTCAATAGTTCGTCATATAAATTCATGAATTCGAACTGGCATTGTAAATGTTGAATAATTTTTAAAATTTCTTGTAACTTCACAAGTTCTCTCTTCTACTATAGAGTGCAAAATCCTCACTTCGGCATTTTGATCAATATAAATCGTTATGGGAACAATCTAAAACGGAAGAATTCGACAAATTCATGTCAAATAATCCATCGGTGACTGATTTTGAAGAAATTATTCAACAGTTTTATGAGAAAGTAAGTTGATCTATTGGATTATCGGATTCTCCACCTCCTCATATTTTGATAAAAAAGCGCTTCAAAATGAAAGGTTTGTAAGATTTATGAGTTAAAAACGTTCACATGAATTTCAGAAAGATTCTTTCAGTAATTGGCTACCAATTTAATGAAGAACAATCTTCTACGACCTGTAATATGTAAGGTTGCTTTAATTGTATCGACTCATTACTTTTGACAAACTACTAAGTTCATCTTGCAATTACAAATGGCTTATATATTTGACTTCAGTCAAATCATAAGCGGTTTATGTTTTATAGGAGCACGTCAAAACTGAAACTTGAATGAGGCTAGCTCAAACGTCCATAACTGATTTCTAGTGGGTGAACACATCTTATCATCAACCATTTAAATTGGCTGTGAATATTACAAAAACTAATAGTATATTAAATTTGACATTTTTCCTACTGTAGATCGAGTAAAAATGAAAGTAGTACCCGAATAGTCGTCTGCATAATCGGAGATTGTATTTTTTTTCTAAATTTTGATTCTGAGTTTTCCTTTAAATGTTTGAGTGGGTGAAAGGTAAACGCGATATGAATATTTAGCTGGATGACCTTTACTTTGGTTAAGCACTGATAAAATACAAGCACTTACAAAATTATATCCTGATTATCACTGAATTCTAATTTAAAACCTACATCTTGAAGTAGTACTCTGAAATTACTAAGTTCTTCCAGAACAAAGAAAATCGATATAGTATGTTGTGTCTCAACAAGTCTAACTCTGATAAATTGAAACTTGTTGGTAAACATTTTTAATAATGAAGTTTACGTATCAATAGAAAACGGTCGGATGTGACTAGCATATAATTTTGTTGGATCTTTGTTCTCTGAGCTCATGCTAAACGACTTGAGTAAAGATTAACGCTAAGTTCACATTGCTCAAGATTAACATCCAGTACATTAAGAGATATTTCGAATGTGTATATCATAAGTGAAATATTATTAATTAGTGTCAGAGTGAGAAAATGAAATTTCTATGCCACATATATGCATTTCTATTTTATCTTGAGGTGAAAATTGAGTGGTGGACTGTTATAACAGCTAACTGGTGTATGTTTATCAACCATGCCGTATAAGAATTGCTGATTTAAGGGAAATTCCAAAACAATTACATGGGATTCTAACAACTGCCAAATCTGGAGCATTTGTTATTTACAATGTTATTGGATTCGCGTTTTAGGCAAAATAAAAATATCGTACATAATAAATTGCTTAAAGCTATCACAGTTTGAATGCTCTATTTTCTTTTGTGAATTTTTAACCATTATATAGTATTTCGAGATTTTTCGATGTACTCCCTGTAGGATCAATTAATTTCCAATGAGCCTGATGTATGTGACTGCAGTCCATTAGCAATTTACACCAACCACTTAAAAGATGGATTACTTGCAGAAACAAGAAATTGGCGCTTAGAATACGGGAGATTATGCAGCTCAAAATTTAAAACTCAAGTTGAATCCTTGTTTGCAACGATCGAAAAATATGAAAAAATCTTATCAAGACCCATCAATGATTTAGATGATATAAGAATACTGATGAATGCGTTGAAGGTGAGAAATGGTCTATTTTCTATAAATATTTTAGTCTAATCAGTTAGTTCGGAAATGGAATTCAGCTAGTTAATTGTATCAGTTACTAACAAAATAATGTTACTTTAAAACGCTTTCCGCAATAAATTATTTTAAGACTGTCGACCTAATTCACATAACATTCCAATTGCAACCGACTAAGTTATTTCTCGACATATCAAGTATTAGGATAAACGTCCTAATCCTCATGCTGCTATAACGCTAAGTTCTTTTATGTTGACCTCAGTATCTTTCATTTATACTTGAACTACATTGGTAGAGTCTGTCACTATATTGAAATTTGGTAGGATTACTGAATAAAAAGGTGGTCCGTTTTCAGAAAACGTTAGTTAAAAGATGGTCGTGAACACTTGAGTGATTTTCATAAGAAAGCACAGAATTTCTCTTGTAATAGCCATAAAATAACCATTTTCCACGACATTAACTTTTATAATCATTCGAAGCCTAGTTAAAGCTTTAGAACATCAAACCTAAGAAAACAACAGATTTTGAAGAAAACTCTGTATACATTTTTCGAAAGTATGGTGTTTGTCAGATTGCGAGGAAGACATACGGACGTCCTGCTACGACCCTATTCATTCACCTGGAAGCGATATTCGACTCCATTCGTCTAAATATCTCTAGTGAATATCTGTTATTGAGCAGAGTATACAAGAGTGAAGAAACATACCAAATTCTTTTGACTATAATACTATTAAACAAATCAGACCTAGAGATGTTATGTCAAATTATGTCTATCTGCGTTGATACGATTTCCTAAAATTTGTTCACTTTTATCATAGAAAACTGGGAGGTGAAAGCCTTGAATAAAAATCGATTTCTATCCTTGTCTTATTAAATGATGAATGTCTTGGATTAATATTTTGTCCACCCCTATAGCTTGGGCGTTTTCGCTACCATGACCAATGTACTAGACAGTAGTAATTCTCTCTTCTTACTCCTTAAATTTCTAAGTGTCATCAATCCGATAAAAGATTGACAAATATTTTAAGTCGTTCCTTTTTAAACCGGTGTTTATTATGTTTTAAGGCTGTGGCTCTACCAATACTCGGTGGTTTTCAATTATTGCTGATCCCTTTATTGAATAAAAATAGTTAAAACTTGTTTGCTTTATTGAAGTTAATTGCACACTATATAATCCAAGTTACCGTTTCTCTTCTGGCCATACTATAATGATATTGAAAAAATAGAGATGAATTTATGTGCATTCTTACAAGGATCAAAATGATGGCTTTGAAATATACTTGTCTCTCGGAAGATCAATAATTCACGTTTTTATTAGTTGTTGTATTAATCACGTGCTGCACTTGTAAGATTTGGGAAGATTAAAGACGCATTACTAAATAAACGTGAAAACACATTTTGATCTTATTATTTATGTCGATGTTCTGGGTTGATGTACCTTGGAAGTTTGTTGCTCCATTATTATGGAAAACTGACAGTTGAGTCTTATCATTTTCAATATTAAGAAATTAATCTTTGATAGACTTATGATAAAATATTTCACTATGAGCCGAAAGAGTTCCTTAACAAGTAATTATATAACTTGAATAGGATTTACGTGAAATGGAAGCAAATGTTGACTTACAACTTGGACCTATTGAAGAATCCTATTCTTTACTGGCTAAACATTCAATTCCAGTTGATAAAGAAGAAACTGATAAAGCAGATACTTTGCGCTATGAATGGGAAAAATTATGTAAACAAATGCTAGAAGTACAAAATCAGTTAGTTGACGTTCAACCAGAATTTCGCAATAATTTATTAGAAAATATAACAACGTTTAATGAAAATTGTTCAACATTCTACGACGATTATGATAAAGTAAGTGGGTAGAAATCATTTGAACTCTGTCTTTATGTTGGGGATCTATCGTCCCCAACACTTTATAAGTGTCCCTTGATGAAAGGATAGTATTTTAAGTTACATATTTTAAACTTTTGTGTTTATCAAATTTTCTTAGAATTTAATTTTGTGCATCAAACTCAAGGTTCATTAAACTTTATGTTTGATTGTAAAACGTAACTAACAGAAATTTTCGGATCTAGCATTCATTCTTGATAGAACAAGGTCTGTTCTAATGTTTAGGATATTTTTTCTTTTATGGAAGTCATTCATTGACCAATAATTACATTTACTTATCTCTAGGGAAACATCTTGAAAAAAGGTCTTCCATTCCTGAAAATCATTTCTGACTAAAACGGTCGTAATTTGTAAAGTTGAAGTTCACATAAAAAGATTCCAGTTAATTAAGTAGGAACCAATAAATTGATATCTTAAAATAAAATGGGTCAATCCATTATTGAATATACTTTATCCCTTACTAGAACTAGACGCATCCATGTATTTGGATATTCGTTTATCTTTAAAGAGTATACTGTGCACGACTAGTTTCAAAATTCTTTTCTTGTTATTAAGGTGGAGAAGCAGTCCAAAAACTATAGAACTATCTTACATACGTGCTATGACTTTATCAATAATCTTTGAAAAACAATGAATTAAGGGTAATAGAGAGTACATGCTTGCTAATAAACTGTTCTACTAACTATCAGTAACTCCTAGTTATTAGTTTCGTATTGCTCCTTCAATTATAATACCGCTTCATACTAACTGTAGCTGCTAAACGCTTTATACGTATTAAACAGCTTCTTGGAATTGTATATTAACCTAGGTTCATATAATTGTCAATATGGCTTTAGTTTAGTCTCATTTTATATTCTTGTGCAATCCTAACTGTATAAAGCAGTTGGTAGTGATAGATACATGTTAAGACGAGACCGAGTTTAGCATTCTGAGCACGTATTTATTTAAATTCGAATTTGTTTCTTCACATTCGGATTTTCATTATTAGATTAGACAATTGAACTTTATGGAAAGTGATTCACTATATTCTTTAAAAAACCTCACATAGAATTGGGAAAATATCAGTCAGATCTTACCGTCAATAATAGCATCAATTTAGTTTATGCCACTTTTTTAAATAGCCACTTCTGCACTTCTGTTATCTGACGGATTTTTTGAGAAATAGTCTATCTTCTTTAAAGCAAGTTGAGAGAAACAGAAAAAATATAATCGAGAATAAATTCTGTTTTTTTCAATAGGCTGTTTTTTTCCGAATTACTGTACATAAGATGTTCTTTTTCGTTTCAAACTTGAAAAAACCGAAATAAGGTTGGACCAATGGTTAGAGGCATACCACCCCGAGAAGCATCTGATCGTCTTATTATATTTCAAAATCGTTTTGATAATCTTTATCGCAGTTATATCACGTGTAGTGCAGGTGAACAACTTTTTGGACTGCCGATTACAGAACATACTCGGTTAGATGACATTAGAAAACAATTAAACCTTCTACAAAAACTTTACTTATTATATAACAGTGTTTTGAACAAAACAGCTGGCTATTATGACATACCGTGGTCCGATGTTAAAATCGATGTGATTTCTCAAGAACTGCAAGACTTCGAAAATCGCTGCTTCAAGTTACCAAAAGCTTTACGTGAATATCCGGCATACGATGATTTGAGGCAAACGTTGGCTAATTTTGACCAGATCATCCCATTGTTAGAGTTAATGACTAATCCAGCTATGCGTGAGAGACATTGGAAACGCTTGGCTACCTTAACTGGACGGTCATTCAATGTTGACGATAGTGAATTTACTTTGCGAAATATACTTGAAGCTCCTTTACTTGAACACTATGACGACGTTGAAGATATTTGTATATCAGCTATTAAAGAGCAAGATATTGAGCGAAAACTAATTAATTTAAAATCTGAATGGAGTGCACAAGAATTTGAATTCGTTCAATTTAAACACCGTGGTGAATTGTTGCTACGAGGTGACCACACTTTGGAATTGATTAGTTTAATGGAGGACTCATTGATGGCCCTTGCCTCTCTTTTAAGTAATCGCTACAATGCGCCATTCCGCAAAGATATACAAAATTTCATCTCACGCTTGTCAAATTCCAACGAAATTATTGAACAGTGGTTGGCAGTACAAAATTTATGGATTTATCTTGAAGCAGTTTTTATTGGTGGTGATATAGCACGTCAACTTCCACAAGAAGCTAAACGCTTCGCGAATGTAGATAAATCATGGTGTCGCATTATGCAAAGAGCTCATGAGACAACGCATGTTTTAACATGCTGTATTGGTGATGAAATGCTTAGCCATCTATTACCACATCTAATGGAACAGTTAGAATTATGTCAGAAAAGTTTGACTGGGTGAGTCTCATCTTTGATTTTGTAACTTTAACAGAGTTTGCTTATATCTAGTTTTTTAAAAGTAACACTGAAAGTTATTCATTTTTGCAAATTTTCATAACCTTTCTTAGTCAGAAAACGTTAGGTCGTCATTTTTAGTGTATTCAAAGCGAGGGTCACTAACATTGTTTTTTCGTACAGTAGCTTAAAGTGATGCACACATGTCTAACATTATCTACGAGTGGCTAATTGACTGAAGTTTAACTGAATCCGAATGTCCCTCTCGAGACCATAGGTTGCCGATCAAGGGTTTCCGAGCCGATCCGTTCTAGCATGTTCTTGCAAGTTGTTGCCTCGTTTTATTATTTGACTTGACGTCTGCCTCCATTTCTTTGCGCCGTATATTCTTTTGTTAGCCTCTGTTTCTTCTCGCTCTAAGATTCCAAGTCAGAGTTTGCCTCGTGATTCAGTTACATGGTTTTCGTAAAATGTGTCTTATCCCACTCCCAGCGTTTTTACCTAATTACCACCTCAACTGACGTTTGATATGTTCTCTACCAGAGTACATTGTTGCTAATAGTCTCCTAGCGATAGATCTTGAGTTGCTTACAAATACCCGTAATTTTCTGGTGACGGCGGTGATCGTTCTCATAGTTTAAGCCCAGTACAATGGGATCGCTTTAATGTTAGTGTTGAGAATTTTGACTTTGGTCTTGGATGATAGCTGTTTTGATTTTCAGATATTCTACAACTGTAATAATCTTCACCTTGGTTTCCCAATTCGTCCCTCCATATCTGCACCTGATCCTCTTTGTTTATTAGTAATGCGTCTACTTCTTCTACAGTATTTCCATCAAGTACGGTTTGGTTAGTGCTGACTGTGTTGTACTTCGAGATCTTCCTTTTTTCCTTGTGAATGTTGGTGCTTACTTCTCTGGAAACTTCCGCATTTGTTGTTGTGTGTTGTCCGATAGAAGGGCTAAATCATCGCGAAAGTTTAAATAATCTAGCTGTGTTCAAGGTGTCCACCGAATCGTGTTCTTCTTCTGAAATGTGAAAATTTTCCTAATTCAATCAACGTCCAACAGAAATAGAAAAACCGAAACCATGCAACCTTGTTTGACACCAGTTTTCACTTACAATTCACCTTCGAGCTGGTCTCCTTGCATGAATTCCCAGTGCAATCTGTCAGAGAAGTTCCATATGAAGGTGATTCCGAAGTTATTGTATAGATATTAGTTTCACTCATAGGTTGTGGAACACTGATTGACAGTCACAATTCTGTTGTTATATGGTTGATCCTTACTCAGGCCAACTTGTTGATCTGGAAATTGGGCGTCTACTGAACTTTTCATTTTGTTCACTAACGACTTGTTGAAAATGTTTCGTGTTACCGACATTAATGCAGTCTCTTTAAAGTTCTCACTTACTGCAACATGTTTTCTGTATCTCGATCAGGTATTACTGTTTCCAATCTATCGATAGTTTTTCTATTGTCTTCCTGTTCTTCCTTTCTTGGATCTTTCTCGTTCTGCCTTCAGAAATCTTTTGTATATTCAGATGGTTCTTGAGGAATAGCAGCACCAGGTATGTTGAAGTTATTGCTTCTTTAATCCCTTTACCATTGCTCTTCATAGTGTTTTTTATTGTTACAGTAGATCTCATAGGGCTTGAAACCTGTTTCTGAGAGATATCTTCTAGTCGTTGAGCTCGATAGCATCTCAAAGGAAGACTGTGTTACACTTTTGTAGTGTTGCTTGCCCAAATTTTTAATGCTTCTCTAGCTTCAGTTTTATTTCGACCGCAACCAGTTGATGATATAGTACTATATCACCTCCTGTCTTTTTTCTTATCTTTCTGATAGACCTGAATTTCCTACTGATTCTTATGTGATCGATGTGCTATATATATATTATACTTCTGAAATTACGGGAACTCGGTTCCTCCTTATTTAGGTGATTTTATTGTAACAGTAATGGAGTTATATCCTATTGCATATGCTATGCATAATATGCAGTATTTCTTTCTAAATAACAGACGAACATGCATGAAATAATGACCTATATCTTATGGACTTTTTTCAACCCTATGAAAATGATTTATTGTTTGTTTGTTCATGTCTATCTATATGAGTGCCTTTAGAAAACAAACCATTATATTCTAAGTCTCTTTATAAATGGTTTGTTGATAACTTTCTTTTATACTAAAAATTAAGCAAACTAAAAACTAGGTCTATATCCATTTCTAAAAAAGTACATTTTAGCCTCAGATGGAAATACTTCGACCTAAATGATGATAACATAATAGCAATGTTTTCCTGTTGCTTGGCAACAAAATAGACTCCTCAATTTATGCTTTAATTTTTATTTAGATGAAGGTATATAGTTCGTGTAAGTAAAATGAAAGTAGGTAAAGTAACGAATAAAAGCAGTCTTAGAAGTAGATTTCAACATGGGGAATGTGGAAATACATTTTTATTTTTAAGTGGCGAATAGAAATATAAGAATGAGCAACTGAATTTAAACTTTAATAGATTACCCTTAAACTGTTCCTGTAGACAGTATCGAAATCAACCCTTAAAAACACATTGATCAGTTATTCATTTGACCATTTTTAGTGGTATTGAGAAACCATTGTTAAAATTGAGCATTTTGGTTCATCCGACAATGAGTTCTCAAACAATTCTTGTCAACCTAACCAATCTTCGTTCCTTAATTTTGTTCGATTTAAGAATAATGTAGTTTTAGTGAGAATTTGTAGTTTAAACTACATCACACTGTCGATTATTTCATTATAATGTCAAGACCTATTTGATTATCACACTGCAGCTTCATATCCAAAAAAACGAATGAATTTCGATTTTATTGACCAGTAATATGCATTTTTTCAAATGGTTACTTCCAGTTATTTGGAAAAGAAACGTCTTCTCTTCCCTCGCTTCTTTTTCGTTTCTGATCCAACTCTGCTGGAAATTCTGGGTCAAGCATCAGATCCTCATACGATACAAGCACATTTACTTTCTGTGTTTGATAACATTAAAAGTGTGAAGTTTCATGAAAAACAATATGAAACGATTTTGACCTGTTACTCACAAGAAGGCGAGGTATTAGAGGTGAGCTTATTTGTTTTACTCATGAGTAGTATAAAACGCTTTTGGAAAATCCCAAAGCTGAATAAATAGTTTTGTATTGCTTTAGTTAATCACTACGAGAGAAGTTAAAATCGAGTTCACCATTTGTTCGGTCAACTATTTTATCAATCCAACGGTTTTCATGATATTAGATTCAGTTTGTTTCGAAACTATATTATATTACGAAACATAAATGAAACTTTACCGGTTTCACCTTCCCTATTACTATACTATTTATCTGTTGAGTTTAGTTAACCAGTCATGTTGACCGACTTAACATTTACTTTCCCAACATGATATTTATAAAGCTAAACTTTGGTCATGATTGAACTGAAGTTGAAAGCCAGTCAGCCGCGGTGTGAAACATCCTATAGAACATAAAGAGTCTTTTTGTGGTCCGTAAATCTGACTCTGATTTGATCGAACGTTGATGTTAGCGAAATATACATCCCGGCTCCCCTCGTATATAATTATCAACTTAATTCGTGGTAAAGAACAACGGAATTAAAGGAGTCGAATACGAGAATGAATTTAGCACACATATATTTCATAAATTCGTTGATCCAGACAATCAGAGAAACGAAGCATAGAAGCAAACTAGAGAACTCAAGTGTGCCACATTCTTTTGATAAAGCGTGACTTAATCTTTATAGCCAGACAGGAATAAGCTAAAGACATGTGATGAGAAGGATAGTCAATCGACACAAGCGCCTATAAAAACAGTCAAGGTTATAAGAGAATAGTTAACAAGGTGAAAATGTCACTCAGGAAGAATAAATAAGTCGATAAGAACTTTCGTCTAAATTTGAACGAATAGTTTCACAATATTTGGGCGCCGAGTTAAAGTGAGACATTAAAAAGAAGAATATATTTGTAAAATCTCAGCGAATGAATTTGAAGTAAATCCAACGTTTCGCCTGGCATTCTGGTCCAAGCTTTTTCAAGGAAAATATAATCTAACGACAAAATTATCGAATATAAAAAAAATTATCGAATATATATATATATATATATATATATATATATATATTCGATAATTTTGTTGTTTGATTATATTTTCCTTGAAAAAGCTTGGACCAGATTGCCAGGCGAAACGTTGGATTTACTTCAAATTCATTCGCTGAGATTTTACAAATATATTCTTCTTTTTAATGTAATAAATAAGTCGGTTTGTCAGGAAGCTAGAATACTCTATGTGAGCTTGACATAGTACTAGACGCTACAGTCTTCCGAGTCCGTCAATGTCAATTTACTCATACCCAACATCGGATTGACTGGTTATTTAATAAATAGAAATCAGTGCATGTGCAAGAAGTATATCAGTGTCATAATAGTTTTGTCACTTTATCGGGGATTACTTATTTAATGTTTTATCTTTTCTATGTAGTTAGAACATCCAGTTAAAGCTGAAGGACATGTAGAAGTTTGGTTAAATAAATTATTGAAAGAAGCGCAGTTTTCATTACATCAAATAATAAGAGAAGGCTATAAAGTAGCGATAGATGATGATGTCAATATATTACAATTTCTTGCGACGTTTCCTGCCCAGGTTAGTGTCACTTGTGCATTATTCTAATATATGGCGTTTCGTTTATTTTTGTTGATATTATGCTCCAGCTTTTAACTGCCTTTAATTTACTCAAAAAAACTTGAAGAGGAAAATATCTAGTACTTTTTCTCCTGCCTAGGTCTACACCTATCAGCATCGCACGTTACGGCAAGCTATCGTTAAACGCGTCCAGCACATGCTGTATTGACCTCAGTCTATAAAGATTTACAAAGTTATCAACTACCTGACATCTGTAAAATAATCAACTTCTTTTCTAAATTTCAATTGTATGGTGGGAAATCGGAGATGAATGAACTCAGTGCAGTTACATCAACCCTATTTTTAGTCAGTACCCAATGTTTAAAGTTAGCACTACTCGCTTAGAGGTTTCATCTTACCAGAGCAATTCCTGGCAGAAATCTATGATCAGACACTAGTAGCTTAAACATATAACCTACCTGTATGAGTCATTTTTGTTGTATGAAAGCAGGTAGAGCTGACCATTGCTCAGTATACTTGCTCTTTGATAGACAGACGGATATTTCGTCGACTACTTGACGAACAGTGATTACTTTTTGCGGTTTACATGACAGTTCTACGTAAGCACCTGCCCAACCATTATTATTTGATTCAAGAACCTTCTGAAGGTCATTATACCTTTTAAGCACAATTTCGGATGATAGACATTTTCATTAGGCTTATAGGTTGATGGAGTAAAATATCGCCTTGAAACTAAGTAGTATGACTGCAATCAGTCACCAATATGTAAACTTATGTAACCAAGGCAATAAATTCATGGCAATGTTCGAAACCTACTTAATTTTCCTGAGTTTACTACTAACGATCTCCATCCAAGCGTTAAATAACCATGAGAACTACAATCATTGACACGAAATCAAACAAATGTACTTCTCTGATGCTTAATACTAAGTGGTTTTTGTCCCTATTATGAAATGGGATAGTCGGTAATCGAGAAAAGCTAGCTCCAATTATTTCCATTTCCCGAACTTTAATAAATTTATGTTGTTTTCAAAGTCCATCATCCATGAAGGTTTACCTAGTTATTCAAGTTTGTCCTGTCGTTCTTTATTGAACCAGACATTGGCTACTACACAGTGATCAGATAATGTAAATATCTTGTCCTTCAAGAGGTAAGTTGCTACCAGAGCAACCCATTAGAAACGTTTTAAACTGTGATCTTGTTAAACATCAGTTCAAACCCTATGGAGAACATTAGTCCTCTCAATATTTTCAATACGCCTTGATGTGCGTCAGCTAGGATCCAAGGTTTGATAAATGAAAGCTTATAACAAATTTGCAGTTGCTCCAAAAAGATAAGCAATCACGTTTCTGTAATAACTTCGATCTTCAGTTTACCAGAACGTTCAGACAAACTGGATTTCTATCCCACTACACTAAATGTTTTCAGACCTAAATAAGGGACATTATATCAGATTACTTACTTTATGACCAAATATAAAATACAGTTTTTAATTTTCCGTATTCTTGAGCTGTTACATCAACATATGGTGAGATTATCTCCAGGATTCAGAGAAACGTTTTTTTAAAGATAGTAGGTAACATGAAAATATTGAAATTATTTCACTGAATTTCTTGATTTCCTGATTACTTCAGAAAATCGGCGAGGTCTGCGGTGCTGTCTGAAATACTTTTTCAACAGATGATTGTTTAAGCCATATTGGCAGAACTAAATCAATGTTTAATACTATTGTATGGTTATCATGTTTCAGATTCACTTATTTATCAATAATTTCAAGGCTGTAATATTAATGATTAAACTTTCCTCTGACCTCTACTTTACCTTTAGGTGGGACTATTGGGTATTCAATTTATCTGGACAAGAGATTCAACTAACGCACTAAAAGAAGCCAGACATAATAAAAAGATTATGCAAATGACTGATCATGAATTTGGTCGTCTACTAAACTTGCTTATTCAGCAAACTACACACAACTTAACGCAAGTGGAGCGAACTAAATTAGAGACATTAATCACCATACATCTTCATCAAAAAGATATTTTCTCATCATTAGTAAGTACAGTTGATAAATAATTGTGTCTATTCATAAGCTCAACATTTTATAAAAATTATCACGAAAAATCAAGATTTAACTGTCTGTCTCGTCAATGTTTCCATTAAAATCCACCCTTGTCAACCACTGATGTTAAATTTCTTCAATATACAAACAGTATGAAACTAAAAAAATTACTGACTTTTCGAATACGATGGCTAGATTAATTTAGATTCGTCTGAATGAAGATTTACAGTTACAATTGAGATTTGCTGGGTCTGTGAACTAACAATATGACTATGTAGCGTTCTAATCACGCTTATTGACCAAGAAAAATTAGCGATATGTAACTGATTTCTGATTATTCATTTAATACAAACACATACTACATTTTTAGTCGACATTATATGGAAACCTTTAAAATTCAATAGATATTGGTTTAATGCATGAAATCAGGCTTGATTCTTTAAACGTCTCTGGTGATTTGAATCAGGCTAAAGAGGAGGGATCACAAACATAACGAAACGTCGTCTTTGATTACGTATTCGTTGCCATGACCGATCATTTCACAGATCATAAGCATACAATTTAGTGTCAAAACTGAGAATACACTGATTTCAGATATTCACCATTTAGCAAAAATTGACACTGTTTTAATAATTTTAAACAACTATTAGATTGGTGTTTGTGAAGAGTAAAACAGTTTTCAGTAGCTATATTTTTCCCCATTTAGTAAACTTCAGGTGTTCTATTTTGAGTGAAGCCATTAAATAATTAGTCAGACTTAATTACTTACTCACATGAATCTTATTTATTCTGAATAAAGGTTTATCTATTCGAGACGGCTACTGTTTTATCTGTCATATCACTTAATTTCAGATGCTTCCGTTGATTTTTCAGTTCAATGAATATTAAATCTCATGTACTTGAATTCTTGAGTTGATTGTCTCGGTTGAGACTAACTGAAATGAATTATACAGATGACTTTTAACTTTATCTCGATTCTTCGCATTCAATGCTAGCTACAAAATATCTAAAGTGAAAATAATAGCTAGTTAAAAGAACTGATTGCATTATGCGAATGACAAACATTCATTGTAAATTAGGATATATTATTTAAACAAAATTTCCATATTTCTCAACATCAAAGACTAAATTTTAAATGCAATAGTATTTCAACTCTGATACTTGAAATTAACCATTAACCTGTATGCATTTTCCATGCATAAAATGATCAGTTTAACTTTGGAAAGTTTATCCAAGTCCTGTTTGACTGAATTTATTCATTTGCTGAATGTGAAGGTTGATTCATTGAACTATAAGCAATGAAATTTATGTGGAACTATGAATTTATTCTGTTCCCCTGGGATAATTAGTATTATGTAAATTATTTCTTGAATCGTACGAAATCTTAACAAAATCATCTAATTTAAAGGAATATACAGACATAAATCTTTTTATCATTACTTATCTAAGTCATACTTCATAGAATTAAACCATTGCATAATAAATATAATGTTCAAACGTAAATTACTCACTTGATATTATTCTTACTACTGCATAGTTTTGGATAAGTAACAGCTTCCATTTGGTTGACTGTTTTAGGTTAAAGACCGTATCAAATCACCAACAGATTTTGATTGGCTTAAACAAACACGTTTCTACTATTTAGAAGATTCAGATGTATGTCTAATTTCAATTACCGACGTAAATTTCATTTATCAAGATGAATTTATCGGATGCACAGAACGACTGGTTGTTACACCACTCACAGATCGGCAAGTTTTCTTGACATGAATGGTTTTTATTAATATAACTTTTGTAATGTCCTACTGAGTAGAAAATTGTATTTCTGACGTTTCATGACTTAATGTAAGCCATTTTTTCAGGGTAAATGCATAGCCGAAATAAAATTAACACATGTTTAAGTAGTATAATGGAAACAATGCAGAATATTTTTAGTACTATCAAAATCATAATAGGTCTGAGCATGTCAATGTCTAGTTATTTTTGGTCGATTTGATTTTTAATCACATATTACCGTATTAATTTGTGCGTTAGAAGGTGGGTATAAAAAATGTATATGTTGGTGATATGAAGTAATGAGGTTGAAATTGGGTGTATATGTGTGTGCAGGTTGCGTGGAAAATGTGATCGTTTGGATAAACAGTCCAGGTTGGATGAATATTCAAGCTTTCTTTCCTATTGAGGGCAGAAGAATTTAGCATTACGTGAAACACTTCGATTAATCGCCTTTCTTCATAGTTGGAAAAACCTTGCTGAATTATTTTGATATTGTTAATATCAACTTCGTAATTATTGAAAATAGCATGTACTGCTATTGCTGATTTAAGCAGTAGATTTTCCAATTTTACAGGATTATCAGGTCTTTTTGTGTAACGTACGTGTTCCTTGGAACAAGTCAAGATATCACGGGAAGACTCTCCAATGTGGAACTCATTACAGTTGGCAAAACCTAATCTGTAGACACCATTATATGTAGATGTAAATGAGATCTTATCTTTTATTCTAATTAAAGCATTTTTAGTGTTGATCGTCTTAAAGAAAGCTTTGATTTTGTAGGTTCTCAAGACCTGTCGTAATTCTTCTGTAGCACCTTGAAGGTGAGGTAAAACCACAGTGCCAATCCAAAGATCTTTCATTAAAAATGTTATTTATTGAAGGATAGTTTGTTTTGTTTTCCTAGTGATATTCCATGGGAAACTATTAAACCGTAGAATACCTATTATATCATACTTGGTTTTATTATTAATGAGAATGGTAGTAACAGTGAAGTGAAGGAAAACACAAGTGAGGACAACCGAATGTATTTGACACAAAATTACAGAGCATCTCAGTAAAATCTGAGACCTATATATCAAATCGTTAATTTTCAAAATGTCCACCAGTTGTCTCAAAATGCCTCAGACTTCATTGTTCTTACATTTTCATACAAATTGCATTCTATTCCCCCTCTCGCTTTCTTGATCTTCACTCATCTTCTGCTGCCAGACATTACATTCCTGACTCGCGTCATATATTTCTTATATTAACATAAGTAGCACGCACCACAACAGTACAAGAAATAAATCTTTCATTTTTTATATCTTGATCATACTTTCTCTCGAGTGATCAGAAGTCGGAAGATATTTCTATCAGTTAAGCTTACTGATAACAGAATCAACAGTTCATTCTCAAAATGTTTCTCTACTCACCCTTTCATCAAATGTCTATCATTATAAAGATTAAACGGAAATTATCCGCATAGGAGTATCAAGATAGTTTTCTCTACTGATTTATATCATCTGAAACTACTTGTATCGATAGGTATCTTCCAATTAAACTGATCGCCATACACGTTCTATTTAAACTACACTACAACAGTTATTTCTATGACATTATTGATCTACTTATGTTATTCCAGTGATGTGAAATGTATCTAACATATATATGTTGAAGATATCTTTCTGAAACGCGGTTTGTTATATGCAGTATACTAGTCGGCACATTTATTAACGAAAAATGATTTCACAATAGATTTCCGTTCAACAAATGCCACTGGATTGTCATTTAATAAGAAAATAATTTGACTTTCCAACATCTTTGTCAATGGATATTTATTTGCACACACAAAATGTCTCACTTTAATGATTGCATTATTCTGGTTTTTCCAATTCGCCTCTCTGTCAGACGCTACGTATAACTTGGCATGTATGTACATTGGTTCGAGTTGTCACGCCCCATTAGCACAGAGCGATGGAACCGTCAGGCTGAGTCCCAGATTAGTAGAGGTTGTAGCAGTATCACTGGTAATAGGAAAGATTAGGAATCGAAGATACGATTCGAAAAGAAAATATACATTAACGGGATAGAAAAACGTTATGAGGAATTCAAGGGCTCAGAATTTGTAGGAAGACAAAGAATGTGTGCACTTGCCCCATTCCAAACGATTTTGAGCCATATCGTTTGAAATCTCTAACCATCGGTAATGGTGATCACGCGAACCTCAACCAGATACTCTACACTTATTAACATTGATCATCCAGTTGTTGATGAATTCATTGACTAACTCCATGTTTGGGTTTGACCATCCCTAGCTCTCTTCCAGCCTACTTCTACACCAGACGACGTCATCTGTCGAAGCAGGCAGTAGCTGGGCATGCGTAACACATGTCTCAACTACCTCAGATGATGAAAATTTACTAGCTCATCAGTCGATTTGCAATACTTACCTAATACCCTATTCATAACCCAGGCATTTCTTAATTAGTGATCCCAAAATAAATGAACAGTGCTTCGAAGACACCTGTGATTGAATACTAGTAACTTACGAATATCTCCTATTCTTAATGGCCATGTTTCACACCCATAAATTAGCATGAAAATTTAAACTTATACGTTAAAATGCTAGATATTTGGCGACATTCACGCTTATCTCACAGACCTGCGTAAAACATTGAGCAAACAAACATCTAAAAGTAGACTCATAAATTAGCTGTTCAACACAATACTCAAATCCAGAGGTTTCTGTAGATTGCTCCTATTAATCACAATCTAGACGTCTCGTAAGTTGCACTCAATCAGATTATATATCATTAGGATTTATTTCGCTCTAGATTTAAGCAGTCGAATAATCTCGATTTCTTTCGAAGCTAACAAACTTTTCAACTAACATTGCTTGGGGAAATATTATTGTAATTTATTTTGATAACAAGATTTTAATTGCTGAAAAATTCCCATTATATTAAAAACACAATTGTATGAACGAAGAATATTCTTTTCAATAATTTCTCATCAGGTTCTACAATGATGTATTTTGCCTTAAATCTGGCCAATTTTATGGATTATTAATCTGGATTTATAATTGTAGAACCTGATGAGAAATTATTGAAAAGAATATTCTTCGTTCATACAATTGTGTTTTTAAATGACATTTGTATAAAAGCTTGTTGACACCACATGTGAATGGTTACATAGCCTATTCACCTGTGAGCAGCGTAGGATATTTGCATTCAGTTAAATGGAATATTTTTAAGAAGTATTTTATTTAGATTTGAGTGGCTTCGGTATTACAAGATAATTCAACAACAAACATCTCTTAACTAGAAATAAATGTAATCTATTTTCTTAGTATTAATATGTTTGGAATACAAATTTACTCAGTCGCCATAACTGAGGAATAATGAAGCATAGATGATATTTAACTTGGCTCGATATCAAAGCTTTCACTACAAACGCATTGTAAATTAGAAACTAAATGGAAGCTCCGTGATCACTCAAAGTTTTATTATTTTCAAAACTTGTGTGGTCTTAAGAAAGTATATTTCACAATGAATTTTATTTTCTCAATGCCTAATGAAAATAAAAAGTCATGATTAATGACATAAATACAAATATATTCTACGTTGGTGGGAATATGTATGAATTTAGGAAATGAACTGTAAAATACCAGTAGGTACGTTATATTCAGTAAGATCGGCCTCATTTGTTCGAAGACTGTAACACACTGAACAGTTTGCTGATTCATAGGTTCGTTTCTAAAAAGCGTACATATTGTTTCACTAAACTATTTCATCAATAGAACCTATTTAACGGAAGATATGGTGAAACTTTTAATAAATAACAACTTTTTTGTGTTGGATCTTGTTTGCAACAACAACAGCCTATCAATTGCTTTCTTAACAGCGGAAAAGTTCATTTGAAATGCATAAGAGAGGGGGAGAGAGAAATTCATGACAAGAAACCGTTTTTCACTTTTTTTTTCGTCTCATAAGCGTTGTCCACTTTAAAAAAATATTCACTTGAATAAATAACTAGATAAATAAGAGTCAAGTGATCAAACATACTTATGCTTAGTGACCATATTAAATTTATAACAAGTTTTCAAATCTCACTACTTGAATTCAAACACACTCTCTCATTGTATATGCTGTTTTAATTTATTCTGAAGAACAACAGAAATCAAATGACCCCTAATAAACTGAGAATCAGTCAGATGATCAGAGTTTAAAAATTTTCTTTCTTCAAATTGTTATTAATGCCATGCAGAATTCACTGCGTTTTTGTGCTCACTCAATTGCATTATTTTATTGTTTACACAACATGTTTATATTTTATCTATTTTCTATTTATAATCCATAAACTGATGCTGTTACTTCTATAGTCTAGGCTGTACATTTCGTATCCGTTCTCATTTGAACTTACTTTGGTTTCCAGTAATCCAATACTACCAAAAGTCATAAGTATACGCTTCAAAGTAACTTTTTTAAACTGCTACTAGAACAGCTAGAGAATCGTTATTATTATTATTATTATTATTATTATTATTATTATTGTTATTACTGTTATTATTATTATTATTGTCTTTACACCTGATAATCCTTTTTGAGGAATTTATTCAATATCCACCCCAGAATCTACTATATTTGACCTAATTATTTTACATATTACGCAATTTCCGATTTGTAATCACAATATTCTCTCTCTCTCTCTCTCTCTCTCTTACCCCATGTTGACCATATTTATTCTGATAATTTATCTCACAATTTCATTTCACTTATAAACTGATTCAAGTTAACACTTCATAATAGTCGTCCCAACATTAACGATTTTATTTTATATAACAAACAATTCCTGATTTACATATTACAATTTCCAAATGATGATGTATTTTGCCTTAAATCTGGCCAATTTTATGGATTATTAATCTGGATTTATAATTGTAGAACATGATGGGAAATTATTGAAAAGAATATTCTTCGTTCATACAATTGTGATTTATTTTGATAACATTAACCATATAATGCATAGTTGTCACACAGCGCTACATAGTTTCTATGTAATTATAAATATAAAAATTAAACATGGTAAAGCGTATAAATTATTTTCGTTGTTTACTAATTTATGTTGACTAACAAGTTATATATCCTTTGTCTTCAAATTTATAGATGTTATATTACACTTGCACAAGCGATTGGTATGTCTATGGGTGGTTCACCAGCTGGACCAGCAGGAACTGGCAAAACGGAAACAGTGAAAGACATGGGTAGATGTTTAGGAAAATACGTCATTGTATCAAATTGTTCTGACCAGATGGATTTTCGTGGTTTAGGCAGAATATTCAAAGGTTTAGCACAATCTGGTTCTTGGGGGTGCTTTGATGAATTTAATCGTATTGAACTACCTGTGTTATCAGTAGCCGCTCAACAGATTGCTATCATATTAACATGTAAAAAGGAGCGTAAACCTCAGTTTGTGTTTACAGATGGTGAAATTATAACTATGAATCCACAATTTGGAATATTCTTGACCATGGTATGATCATCTTGTATAAATCATCTTTACATATTTGTCACTTGCAGATACTCTTAAGTTGACTAAGCTTTAGTTCTGGGTTCTTTTAGAATTCTTAATGAAAAATTAACATTATTATTTTCATTTTGGTCAATGTTTGTGTTGTAAGTCAAGAGGATTTCAACGTCTTAAATGAGGGGTGGATTATGTCATTCGGAGAACAGGAAACTGGAATTCAACAAATAGAAACAGTATGAATACAAGGGATTTTCTTATCTGAAAGTAATTTCAACAAGCTCATAAATTTTTGGCTCCATAGCTTATCAGTAATATTTGTCATAGTCTACTGGTTCATAACAGATTTAAATATATTAAGTGTCTATCGATATAGTGTTTTTTAACTTTGCGAATATTAATTTAACTGACAGTTAATCATTCATGCAAACCGTTTTATTTTGTTTTAATATGTATTAGTTATAAATCAAACTAAAAGGCTTCTAGTTCAAGTCCAAGATAAACATAAACTGAGCCTTTATTTTCGTTTGCTACTGACTTGACTCGCTAATAAATTTATTATTTTTACAACTATAAAAACAAGGCCAGATCACCTTGTTCTAGTGTACCTCCGCAGAATACTTCAAGATTATTCGTCTTATTGCCAGCGTTTTGCAGTAATATCAATAAAAGCTTTAGTGATAGTTTAAAAAATTGTTTAATTAATTTCAGATAGTCTGACTCAGTAGTGAGTATACCATTCGCGTACCAGATGACTAGTCTTGTATCAAGTTATCTTCACTTAGGTATAGTGTACAGAAAGAACATGTCCACATGTTGAGCTCACTTGAGATCGAATGAACTGTTCCCTGAAAGTCAGTTTAGTATTTTTTTGACTGTTTTTATTCACCTTATTAATTTCGTCATATTATAACGCACCATTAATCTTGGTGAAATTTGGTGTTTTCACACATTTAAGCGAAAATAGGTGGTTAGATATTCACAATTAATTTTGTATGTCCATATGTCTAGAATCCTGGTTATGCTGGACGACAGGAATTGCCTGAAAATTTGAAAATCAACTTTCGAACAGTAGCAATGATGGTGCCTGATAGACAAATCATTATACGTGTTAAACTTGCATCATGTGGCTTCATTGAAAATATTATATCAGCACAAAAGTTTTATACGTTATATAAATTGTGTGAAGAACAGTTGAGTAAACAGGTGGGTAGATTTTTCTATAGACGGTATGAATATAAATTAGGTTTTCGGTGGAATATTAAATGTTACTTAACGTTTACGTAATGATATACTATGTATACAACGTAAGTGACCTTTTCAATTTGGTTATGTATTGTATAGTTCTATGCATTTACGAACTCCTGCGAATAAAGGTCAACGCTTTTTTCCTTAACTCTAGACTCAGGTCAAGCGATTATTATCTCCACCACTCTGTCATTACGTTTCTTCGTCATGAAGTTTGAAAATCATGTATTTTAAATTATGCCATTTGTCTGATTTAAATAAATTTGTCATCTGTTAAAACTCTAGTTGAATGAAAAATATTTATTTTCAATAAGTTTTCCACAGAACTAGAGTTGTAAAACTTATGAGGAGTTTTGTTTCAAGTGTTTGTACTTTTCCTCTGTCTATTTGAAACACTGAATTGACAGATTACCGTTAATTCATTGATTGTTTGAACGGAGACCCCAGTGTTGCCTGTATTTCTGGTCTCTCTCCATCTGTTTGTTTGTCTCTTTCTCCGCTTCATTTTCGTTATGACAATATTCTGACAACTATAAACTTCTTCTTTCTTTAATTTTCCTAATGCAGATTCATTATGACTTTGGGCTACGAAATATTCTTTCCGTGTTGCGTACACTAGGTGCAGTAAAACGTGCCAATCCGAATGATACGGAATTCGAAACAGTAATGCGTGTATTGCGTGATATGAATCTCAGTAAATTAGTCGGACCTGATGAACCTCTGTTTTTATCGCTACTTGATGACCTATTCCCTGGTATGTGGTTTTATTTAAATCTCAATTTCTCGGTTTGTCACATTATTATTTGGATCCCAGTAAAGGTCACATAAAACTGATTGGATCGATGATGAGATTGCTTGTCGTGTTAGAACGTAAAACAAAGAGGAAGGGAAACTAATGAATCAGTCTAAGCTTATGAAAAATGATCTTATTTGTGCATAAAGATAATTTTTAATCGTTTAAGCCAACTCGTTTATATACAGGCTAACTTTAAGCACGTATGTCGTATACAAAAATTCATCCGTTGAGTGATATTTTTAACGAATCTACCATTAAGGAAGTTCTCGAAGGTCGATTTTATAAAACATTAACAATTTGTAAAACCCTTTCTTGCGAAAATTTTAAAATAGTCCTTATCTGTCTAAAGCTTAGTCTCAAAAGAGTTTTTATACTAATGCATAAAGCTATTGATCGATTAATTGTGAAGCTAATGTGCTAAAAATCTCAACATACATGTATACTGTATTAGTCGTCATTCAGTTAGAAACAGTTAACAAGAAATTGTAGGTCTGTCACTTTCATCTCTTGGTCAATTAATTTCTGTATGATTATTTGACTAAGAAAACTTGATCAACAATGATACAACTTCTGTTATCACATTTCTGTTATATCCTAGGGAAGATTACATTACGAGTAACTTCTGATACCTATTAATGGACTAATATTATCTATATATTCTTATGGTATAACTATTCAGTAATGAGATTATGTATATTTATATTCCCCTTATTATAAGCTTCATTTTGATTTATAATTTATTATTAAAAGATTTACTGTTCTTAAATTATACTCAGTTTATTAATTAGTGTCTCCCACGTTCACAGCCACTTTTTGGCTTTATTGTTTATAAATGTTATTTCCTACTTTATGGTGCGTTGAGGTCTGTTTAGTTGGTTTATAAACCCAGTATTTTTGAAATAAATGATTCGCATAGTGGAGGCTGTTATTGGTATTCCGGACTCAGCTGGACGGGCTAGGGGAGCAAAGTACCAAAAGGATGCTAGGCTGATCAGACAAGTCGAACGTCATTGGTTTAGTACAGTACAAGATAGAATAAGTCGTATTTTGATTGGCGAATAAATCACGTGATAAAGAGCGGGTTCTATTTCAAATACAAGTTGGTGTACACACTTTAGAAAATCTAGTAACTGCTAGGTTGGAGAGAGAGGTACAAGAGCATCTAAACTATCTGAACGTTTTTACTGTCTTAAATATTATTTACTAAATGTTGATAAATGAAAACTTCAACTATATGGGTTCCTTCTACTCTTACAAACATTTTTCTACAACCCTAGAACTAATGGAAAGCAAATCAAACTAACAATGACTTTCGATGGCATTTTTAATGTACTTAAAATTATTTTTTAGACTTTGAACTGAAATTTGAGACATTCATTCTGTAGCTTCTGATATTAAATCACTTAACTTCTTTTACAAACTACCATAAATTAATTTTCTCTACTTTTATGAAAGGTATTTCATTAGATAAAGGTGGCTATCCAGATCTTGAAAAAGCTATAAAACAAAATCTAGCAGAATCACATTTAATTAGTCACCCACCATGGTTTCTTAAAGTTATACAATTGTATGAAACTCAACGTGTTCGTCATGGTATGATGACATTAGGACCTTCAGGTACTGGTAAATCTTGTTGTATTCAAGCTTTGATGAAGGTAGGTCACTACAACCTTTTCTCATCATTTTTATATTATTAGCTTATCCCTCAGCTATGAGTTGATCATATTCGTTTATGTTATCTAAACTTTTTCAAGTCACAAAACAATACAATTTCAACTGGCACATACTGGTTATTGGTTTTTGCCCAAATGTGATTCAAACTAAACCACTCATCATGAGATTATAAAAAAGATTCTATGGTTGATTCTTGTGAGTAGCTGAGATTATGAAATGTTGATTGGTCCCGAAATAGGATCAAACATTTGACTTAAGAGCTTTATTAAGTAAAAAAAATCATGTTAGCCATTACATCTGCAAAGTGATTTGATCAAGTGAGTTTAAAAATTCACGCTTATTTGGACTTAATGTTTAATAATGAATGATAAGTAATATCATAGTGCAAAATATCGTTGCAAAAGATGACGATAAGAAAATACTTAACAATTCCAGCCGAAAAATAGGTTTTCTAAAACATATGATTTTGCTTAGCTGTTTGTCAATCAAACACTTAGCATATATCTGACATGTGTTAATATTCATTTGCTGTATATTACTGAAGCCCTTAATATGATTGATCAGTTTACATTCTCATTAAAGTCAGTCATCATATGCTTCATTCTCCAGCTACTTTTGTTCCGTTATTGAATCAGTGGGCTGTTACCCAGTGTTTCAAAAGTTCGAATTACCCTTTTCCTAGCATAGGTAATACTATCAGTAAATCTGTTATGGGTTACTAGTGGCACTGCAGTATATCTGGTCTAGGAAGGTTAACACCACTATAATGACAATCACAAATCATACAGATAATCATTGTAGCTCCAATAGACGAGGATAAAGTAGATTTAGCCAATAATCAACTTAGCAAAAAGAAGTGATTTGAACCATTTATGATACTAAATTTGTCTTGGTCTCTGAATTAGTGTTTTGTTTTCAAAATGCTACAAACAAAATCCTCACATTTGGCTTCTAATAACCAATAGTCATAAACCATAATGACGTGAAAAAATATTTAGTGTAACAAGTCTACATCATCATAGTAAGTTAGCGCTCGCATTTGAATATCATTCTTACACCTCGTTACATGCAACTATTTATCATTGATTTTAAAAGTAATCGCTTATACATGCGAAATTACACGAAAGTTACTGCATCAAAATTCATTTATACTTTTTAAATTTGTAATAACACCTTTCCAGTAAAATCTAAATTCTGTTCCACTCAAAATTAAATCTACTCTGACCCACAAACCCTTCATAAACTCGATTTTTCTGAAAGAGTAATGTATTAAAGAATGATGTGTTTTTTCTTAATCAGCATTTGAGGAGTTTCATACTTTAATTATTCAAAAACAGGCAATGACTGAGTGCTTTGAACCACATCGTGAAATGCGTATGAATCCGAAAGCGATTACAGCTTCACAAATGTTTGGACGTTTAGATGTTGCTACAAATGATTGGACAGATGGCATATTTTCCACGCTATGGAGAAGAACATTGAAAGCCAAGAAGGGTGAACATATCTGGCTTATATTAGATGGTCCAGTTGATGCATTATGGATTGAAAATTTGAATTCGGTTCTTGATGACAGTAAACTTTTAACACTGGCTAATGGTGATCGTATTCCAATGGCACCATGTTGTAAGATTATTTTTGAAGTGGATAATGTTGACAATGCGTCACCAGCAACTGTTTCAAGAAACGGTAAGTAAATAAATTGCATAGCTTTTAGAAGTTCCATAAATACTTTAAAACAACTGTCTATTTAAACTTATTCTTGCGGTTTTTCGTCTATAAAAATCACCTAAAGGTTGGTAGTGATAGTATTTATCTGCTCCAATTAATTTACCTCAAATTTTCTGTAAGTACAAAACCCCTATAGATAAGTTTCAATGGTGCTAATTATACCGTTTATTTAAGTCAAAATAACCTTAGTAATATACCATTAACTCTTGATAGACCATGGATCAATGATCAAAAATTTGAAACCCCGAGTGCCTAAGTTGAGCGGAAAGTTTATTATCTTGTTACAATAATCATCCCATGAACAACTAACAGTGATCTAAATTATTCTAAATAACTAAATAAGGTCAAATTGTATGTCCAAGTAAGCAGAAGTTGACAATCTTATCGAATAGAACAAAACAGAAGTTTTTACTGAACGAAAACGTTATATGCAACATTGAATTTAGATGAAAATGCTTACAATCAATATAAACGTCTTAGCTAAAAATAGTAAAGTGGCATTAATTAAAATAAATCAACAGAACGATTCATTTAAAAAGCTTTCAATTAGAGTACTCGGCCAATAACCAAGTAAATATTTATGTTTTTTTGAGTACCAGATAAAATATATTAAAAATTCTTGTATAGAGTCCAAGTTTTGCAAAATTCCAAATCTTAAACATTTTTCATTCTTCAGGTATGGTATACATTAGTACAACTACATTACATTGGTTGCCAATACTACAAGGATGGTTAATGTCACGTGGAAAAAGTGAAGCTGACCAGTTGTTACAATTATTTACGGCATCGTTTGAAAGTGTGTACCAATATGCAACTAGGCATTTGAACTTTAAGATGAGTGTTTTAGAAGCATTTGTGATTCGTCAAGCTTGCGATATCCTGAGTGGAATATTACCTAAGCCAGAAGAAAAGGATTCTCCCTCGGCAAGTAGATACACATTCTTTATATGAAGTTTTATTTATCCCTTTTCTAATAAGTTGAGTACAATATAATGCCTTACAAATTATCTCTGAAGCTATGTCCTCATGCTATTGATTTATGTACCGCAAACTTACAGGACCGGTAGATGCTGTTGATATTTCAATATTCTTTTTTTCATTTTTCGAACCATAACTGGCTTTTGATAAATGTTTCATGAATCCTAAAATTTCGTTGGCCAATAGTCTTATTTATATTTGGAAAGTGAATTAAAGATAACGTCGTTTCAGTTACATTAATTTACTGAAGCTTTACTTGTTTTCTAAAAAAATTTCAAAGATTTGTTTAGTACTAAAAAACACGATTAATGTTTATTTTGCATATACAATGGCCGACTAAGTATTGACGTTGTTTTATGTACTTCAACCTGAATGGCTCACATATGTTGTTAAACATTCATGGTCAGATTATATTGCATGCATCTCCGATTAAGTGATTGAGGAAAAATGAATCGTATTTAATAAAAAAAGGTTTCATGATTGTTGTCAGCTAAATTTAACAGAAAATATTTTTATAATCGAATCTAGAGGAGAGTCATATACTTGTTACTTCACTCGGTTAAGAGTGTTCTTATTAAACAGATAGAATAACTGATGGCTAGAACTGAACATAAATGTGGTGCATATCCTCAAATGCCAAATGAATGTAAAGTAAAAGTTTGGTGTTAAAAAAAAGATTTCATGATCTGTAGACTTTGATTGCTATACGAGATGTCAAATTATTCCTTGATCAAAAACAAGAAATAAGTTGTGGAATAGTTTTGTTTTTCAAGACATGTCTCGATACATTAATCTCTTTGTGTTTTCGTAACTTAATTGCTTAAGGTAGGCAACGGTATCCATGAGGTAACTATCGATTTTGAATTATATCACTCAGGATGTACGATATTTTATATCAGTTATTTAGGAACCTTAAATCTTATGTGTTAGCTTTTAACCAGTTTTCTACATGCTCCTATACCAAACAACATGCAAGTTTTACTAACGTAAGTCTCGTCCACAATAATCTCTATCTTATGAAACTTTATGCTTAAATTTGTGATTATTTAACTTTAGAAGTCAATTGTTGATTGAATTAACTTAGGTAATATGGCTGGAAAAGGTAATACGCACCCATTAACAGTCAAAATTAGTAACCTGAGTTCTATTTTACAATACTTCTGTTCCTACTTATTTCCCGAAAGGAAGTTTTCATGGTTACATATTTGTTTTAAATAACTGACTGAATATATTCATTTACTTTTTATCATTTGGTTATAACATATGCTAAAAACAGTTAACGGTGATCAACCTATTCGTACTAGTAATTAGTGATTAGCTAAAGACTGTACTTCGACAGGTTGAAATACTAAAACATATTATAGAAAAGATTTCAGTAAGCAAACGTTGTCGAACTTTATTTTAAACTTCAGTTAGAATAACATAACAATCAACTGACTAACAAGTTAAAAATCTAAATGCTAGATGGAATTCTAAAGTATTATGCATGAGATTCATGACTCGACATTTTTAAAATTCAGTAATGGGAACCAGAAAACGTGAAACTTTCTGCTTTATAGTGATTATAAATCGAATTTAAAGTTTAGTTATCTCAGTGATAAAGTTTTCGACAGAGGCACCGGTCAAATCGTATATAAATTTCAAAACGAAGTTACTTTACAGTTTGAAAGTGACATTTCTGATGAATGGTAACATTATTAAAACTTGTGTTTAGGGCTCTTACTATTAACTATCGTTCATTCAGTGCCACTATAAAGAGATGCTTATTTTTTCATAACATTCTTTTGTTATCAGGACTCAAACGTACTCTCTAAATACGATCAAATACACTTAATTGCTGTCCTGTACTACTTATAAGGCTAATTTTTTTGAAAATATCCACTGAAATTCAACTTGATACAGTTAATATTATCTTAATGAGAAATATATGTTAACGAACAGTCCAATTTCATAAATTTTAATTTCTTAGATAACATTCAAGTATATGGAACGTATATACATATTTGCATTGATGTGGAGTATTGGTGCTTTTCTTGAAGGTGATGATCGTGCTAAATTCGAGGCATATTTACGGAAACATGAAACTGTAAAATTTGACCTACCAGAAATCTCTACAGAATCACACTCCACAATATTTGATTACTTAGTAAATGATCTAGGTGAGTGGATTCATTGGGATACAAAAGTTGATGAATTTCTATATCCAACTGATCATACACCAGAATATTCCTCGTTACTTGTACCGAATGTTGACAATGTGAGGACAGAATTTCTTATAGATTTAATTTCCAAACAACAAAAAAGTGTACTGTTAATTGGTGAACAAGTAAGTTATGTTAACTAAAACCTTTACGGTAATTCATATGTTTGATTAAAAAGAAATTACAATAAAATGCTCCCGAAAAAATTAGTCACTATCAAATAAATATACTATAAAATAACATTAATTAAATAATGAAAATTTTTTAAAATCCACTCGAACAATCCTTTTACTGACCGAGCATATTTCATCATGTTTACAATACCTTGATGAATTTGTTCCCTGAACAATAAGTCATAAGCAGGTGATCGATAAAAGTTCTTTTCTCTAAAATTTGACTAATTTGATGGGAATTATCACTTGTCTGTATCAAATTTTAAGAGATAAACACATTCAGAGTAATTATCACATTCATATTTAGTCGAAAAGAGAGTCTTAATTGTAATCAACTACAAACATTGCAGTCTCCTAAACTATGATTGTTAAGCTGTGACTCGTCACTACTAAATAAACTTCTTTTAGTCTAAACTAAAGAAAAAATCTGATTCGTCATCCTCTGTTTTGCTTAAGGTAAATACTAATACGACGTAACTGATATATATATAAATTCATAAGCATAAAATTAAACTTTCAAACTTCATATGGCTATCTAAAACCACTATGACTTTGAAATTCTACATGTCTCTTATGTGAAAATCAACATTTCCAAGTGTTTAATGGAAGGAACTTTTCAATTTTCTCTGTCGTTATGACTTAATTATCTGACTCGTGACGAATAACCTCCAGTTTTGGATGGTAAACATTTTTATAGAACTAACTACTTTGACGAGAAAATGCATTCGGTGTCGTAACCTACTTCAATCACCTACACATTTTAAAAAGTAGAGTAAATGCCAGTTTCATATATTCTATCAATGATACAAGTTAATGCAGAAATGTTAACTTTTCTCACTGATTCACGTGATAAAAGTGATGTAATATTAACTCACGTATTTACATGCAAGTTTTCTTAATCACTTCTTTACTAGGGTACAGCTAAAACTGTGATACTCAATAAATATTTAAGTAGTCAGAATCCTGAATTTCATATATTCAAAACCTTGAACTTTTCAAGTGTTACGACACCGTTGTTATTTCAACGTGCAATAGAAAGTTTTGTCGATAAACGGATGGGAAGCACGTATGGTCCACCAGCTGGTAGAAAAATGACAGTTTTCATCGACGACATCAGTATGCCGTTGATAAATGAATGGGGTGATCAGGTTAGTTGAGTTATTTGTATCCTTTTTCGACATGAATACAATCAAGTAATGATTTGATGGCCGTGACGTCAACCTTTTACAGTACAGTACTTTGCTGTTAGGATCTTATTTGAGTAAGAGAAAGAGTATAACTAATTATTAATTACCATCCTGGTATATAATTAATATTATACAACAGTCATATTAGTCAATTTGTACAACTAATCTCCAATTCAGAAAGAGTAAGACTGAATCATCGCTAAAACTAGTATGGTGTTAAGAGATGGTTTCTAAACTGTAACATGTATCGTAGGAGTTATAACTGTTAGCTATTCCATGTTTCGATCTCGAAAGAACATTACCACCATAACTTTCTATTTCAGCTACAAATACTTTGGATTGTTTCATAAAACTACTAGAATGAATCAAAGTTTTCTGCTGATTTGTTTTAATATATCATGGAAATAAAAATCTTGAACAATATCAATTTTGCTTCAGAAAATATTCTCATTGGAGTGTTCTTAACTTAAAAATGTTAATTTGTTGATACAAGAAGTTTATTTACTGCCAACCGTCGTCATGTCTGGCATGACGTAAGACTCGAAACAATAATCCAGTATTCTATAATGTGCTTCCACTGTCAGTTAACGATCCAAACCAACTTTGAGTCAGGATTTCACAAATCTAAGAGAATATATTTATTCATACTCTGATTATAGGGGTCAGAATTTATTGCTGAGACTCATATATACTATCTGATGTTCATAACTACATTGTCTCTTTTAATTCACAAAATATTTACCAATGTTTAATTGGTGTATATATCTAATATAATATCTTTTGAGTTTAGTATAGTTGGCAATTCGAATTTGGCTCCTAATCATTTTTCAGTATTTCAATTGAGGAAACCCGCTCAACAAAGGTGTAGATTAATAAGAAGTCTTTTCATACATATGATTCTCTTTATAGTTTTGAAGGATCAAAAACAAAGATTTGAGCAGAACGTCATGAATTCATTTTATTTCGTTTAGTCCTCATCATCTGCTTACAACTTGTGATACGTAAAACTCATAATTACAAAATGGGTTTAAATTACTTACATGAAAGAGTTTAGTTGGAAATTACGTTTAAGACATATAAGTATTGTATAGCTGTGTCATAAAATGAAATGTATTAAACTGAATTCCTGTTACTCTGCTCAAATCTTTGTTCTTACTCTCTTTATAAGGAGTCACCAGTCAGCAATACTGTTTCAGTAGATAATAGTCAAAGTTGTTGAGATTTAATTCAGCGTATTTCTATTGATAATAAGTGCACTAACACTATGACTGTTTTAAGATTTATCCTCATATTGCAGTAAGCAATTCTTAAGAACTTACAGAGGTATACTAGATAGGCACATGAGTAAACACAACTCAACATGAAAGTTGTAAAACAAAAGGAAATTTTCAGTAGTAGTCAGTATGGGAAAGTATTTTACGTGGCCAGGACAAATTTTATTCAGGTTTGAATAGAAATTTACTTTGTTCCTTTCTCTCGCTTGTTTGGTAGTGCGCTTCACAAGTAGCATAATACTGCCCTAAATGAAAATAAATTTATCCTACTTTAATAAAAAAACACTATTGTAGTCAATAACCCAGATATGAAATATCAAAAACTATCGTTTCATTAATACTTAAATTCAGTTCATTGTGGTTCAAATAATAAAAATTGATTGAAGTTAAGAGAATGGAATGTTCCACTAGATAAGAGCAGGAAATGTCAATTTAGTAATTTCGTCCTTGAAATTAGGATCACTTGAAGAATAATCTAAAATCCAACGCAGTTTACTATACAAACGGAAAGTTCTCTATGGTTAACCTATCGTTTCTTAGAGTTGATATCGAGATCACGAACTTCTCATCTTTAGTGGTAGACAGCATTAGTCTTGATGCTAAGTGAGCGAATCTTTCGATGAAACACAAAAATCTCAAAATTTACGTCTGTTTTAAGAACTACTTATAGAAGTCAGTTTTCCATCAATTTAAAGCTGATCTAGCCTAGCTTTGTATGGAATAATTTCCTTAATAGTTGACATATATAAAATAAGGTGTTTATGGTACACATTTTTTTCCAGGTAACAAACGAAATTGTCCGCCAATTGATTGAAATGAAAGGGTTTTACAATCTAGAAAAACCAGGGGATTTTACATCAATTGTTGATGTTCAATTCTCAGCAGCCATGATACATCCAGGCTCCGGTCGAAACGATATACCACATAGACTAAAACGACATTTTTGCATTTTCAATTGCACCTTGCCAAGTAACACATCTATCGACAAAATATTTGGTGCAATAGCTCAAGGACATTATTGTCCTGAAAGAGGATTCACAGATTCTTCAGTAACCGAAACAGTCAAGCTTCTTGTCCCGTTAACACGGATTTTATGGCAAAAAATTAAAAATAAAATGTTGCCAACACCAGCTAAATTTCATTATATTTTTAATCTACGTGATCTTAGTCGCATATGGCAAGGAATGATTGGTACAATACCTGAAGTGATCAACAATACAGAACGATTAATGATGTTATGGCGTCATGAATGCTCACGCGTATTAGCAGACAGGTTTGTTTGTCTATTGATTCTACTGAATAAAGGTTTTTATGACATAATTTGTTAAATTACGATTTTCAAGCCATTCATGTTTTTGGTTTCTGATAAAGAAATTTGACATGATAAATAGTAGTAGTATCAATCAATAAATTGATTTTTCCCATTTAAGTTCTCGTTCATAACAATAGTATCAGTTATCGTTAACGATATCATTTACATACTTTCTAACCCCAGGCATTCCTAAGTTGATAGGTCATGAATATATTTCATCATGTTTAACTATTTCTTTCTTGGGTTGTACTCGGATAATATTAAGTTGATAAGAAACTGGTGGAGCACAATTTGAAGATTTTACACGAAGGAAATTTTTTATTTTGGGTGAAAGTTTAACTAAACTTTACAGTGTTGTGTTACTCTTTTTTTATGAATACACGGGTCATGCGTGCTGTTAGAGGTATGAGGGCGGTTATCACTTCCCGGTTGCCCACACCATGGAAGGGTTCTTCTGGAGGTACCTGAAAAGGAAATTGGATTAGAAGTGGTCTCAGTGACCTGAGAGCGTGACCGCAGTGCCCAAGGGACAACTGCTTGAGGCCGGTTGCGCACGGCCTTTTCGTGGGAGGTTTTTGACGTGTTAGCTCCGTTCTTCAAAGGGCCTTACCGCCGGAGACGGAAATCCATGAGGTAAGGTGAGGTGTGCATTTTTAGGGTCGACCTTTTCTAACCCCACCCCTCCTTGTGGGAAGGCAGCATCGCTGTCATGCTGGTTGTCGGAAGGAAACACCTTACTGCTGTCACACGTCTGTACTGTCAGCAGTACGACTTCGCCTTCGGACCTTGGGTTTGTTGCTTTTAGTCTTACCGCTCTTCAACCGACCTGTCTGACATGGTAGGACCTTGAGGAACGGTTGTTCCAGCCAGTATAGCTCGGTTGCTTCATCACGATAGGCAAGCCCGACCACCACGTCAAGGTAGCAACAACGGTCTGCTGGGATCACCGGGTAAGTAATAGTGAGGTTAGACGTAGGGTATTGGGGAATGATGGTAAATCAGTTGATGAGGTTATGAATCTTCATCGACTGAGATGGTTGGGCCACGTGTTACGTATACCTGAACACCGACTACCACGACGTGCAATGCTATCCGGTTTTGGAAATGGTTGGAAGAAAGTTTGGGGCGGCCAAAGCAAAACGTGGCATCAGTGCTTGAAGTCACTAACTTCTAGTCTGAGCCATGTTGGCAGATGCAGACTACTTGGTTGGGGTCCGCGTGACTTTCGTAACCAATGGTTGGAGACTCTTGGTGACATGGCTGAGAATAGATCACAATGGCGTCGGTGTATACACTCCCTGTCTTCCCTTGAACTAAGAGATTAAAATCACTTCATATCTTTCCTTCTACGAACCAATTCTTTCTTCTTGTACTATATCTCTATATCCAATCTTTCTCTTACATGCTATGAATCCGGTGTTCATCTTGTTGTGCTGATGCGGTATGGCAACCTGGACCGATGCACATATGTGCCTGGTCCTACGTTGTAGCTGACTGACTGACTGACTCCTTTTTTATGCTTCAATTATTATTTACTACAGATTTGTATCAGCAGATGACCACCAGTGGTTTCATATGACAACTAAGCGTTTAGTTAAAGAAGAACTTGGGATGGAATATATGACTGCAATTGAAGGCGATCCATCATACTTCGTTAATTTTCTTCGGTAAGATAGTTTTATTAGTTTTATCATATTTCAAATGTATTAGCATTATAATAAAACAACAGTAATGCACCTAATACTCAAGTTTATAATAAGCATTATCATCCTGGATATTGAAATAGTTCTTAGAGTTCTTCAAGAACTTGACTAGTAGCTCTACCGATTCTATCATGTTCTCAATGTAGTGGTATGCTGATAACTGAGTCATTGATGTCTGGTTTTATGAATATCAAGAATTTAGTGTCGACTATAAATAGTCGGTACCGAAACTTTTGTTATTTGGAACATCTAATGCTCCAAATTTCACTGCCTCTTAAGAAACTTGGTATATCAGAATCAATTTTATAAATGCTTGGCGTTTTGTAACAAAAGTAATTTTCAGGTTGGGTTACATTACCATTTCATATATCTGGAAAATGAAACCTAATAAGTCAGTATTTTATGTTCTAAAATGGAGAAAAACGTTTTCAGTTCGATTTCAAATAAAGTTATAGGTTCATATTTGCAAGAAGTATAAGCTAAATATAAAAAATATATACTGTTTGTTGCAACTATAAACACAGTCAAAAATGCTATTTCATAATGAAAATCGTTCATTAATATATCGAGGTTCAAAGTCAAATATCTCAGTGATGGTTACTCTATTTCTTCTTTCGATAGTCATGAAACAATTTATTCTAGTGACAACTAAAACAAACCAGCAAGAATACCCTTAACTAATAGCGTCATTCATCGTTTCGGTCAGTCGATGTTCATCATAATAAGTATGTGTGGTTTTTATGAAAAACTGTTATGAAAATATTCCGTTGACTGTGTTGTAATTTCTCTGTTAATTGTTTACACTTTGCTGATATAGTTAGTTGTGACGTGTTGCTTTGTATTTATACTGATCGTTAAACGTTTGGTGACTAGATTTTAGACATGAGTAACAGATTATCCTGAAAAGAATTCGTTTCGTTTAACATAAAGTTGTCCAAATTTACAAAACTATGTGATAACCTCACATGCGATTACACTTTTTACCTCATACAAAGTGATCCTCCTGAACCAACCGGTGATGAACCTGAAGATTATATCGTTGAAGTACCAAGGATTTATGAACCAGTAAGTTAGTTCATTTCTAAGTTAAATTTCTTATTTGTTGATACATATCACCAATCAGTCAGTTTTAGTCAACGTAGTGACTGGCAGGTATCTGCTTCATTCTGAGCTGCCAAACCACATCAAAACGATGAAATGAAACTAATAAGAATAGAAAGAAGTCGAAGTAATCACAGTAACAATGATAGTATAAAAAAAAACTAAACACTAGAAATATGGTTCGAGAATAAAAATTGTGCAAGTATGTAGCTCAAAATCAACTGAAAAGTAAAGAATGAATGCATCTGCTCTGTTGGTACCGGTTCTGAACCACAACATTAACACGGAATTTATTTCAATCATTTATTTTATTCACATTATTGCATTTTGCCGTCAGTTACGATTTTTAATTCTAATGTACTGTTTGTGACATGTACTTCATGAATCTTTAAGCTTGAGACTTTATAAAATTACTAATTTTTTCCATAAACTGATCTACAATAGCCTCAAGGATGCAATCGTTAAGTGGCTTCATTAAACGAGAATTTCAGTATTCCACTGCAGTGATAAAGAATAACACCTGTACTTTTTGTGTAGTATTGCATAGTGTTTTTTAGTTTAAGCGAAATCGCATCTCAGTCAGGCTTAAGTTCCCTTTTATATTACTTTACTTATAGATCGAATCATTTCAACAATTAACTTCACGTTTGGAGATGTTTTTACATCAGTATAATGAATCTGTCCGTGGTGCAAGAATGAATCTAGTACTTTTTCGGGATACATTAACACAAATTGTGAGAATATCTCGAATTATATATATGCCTCGAGGTAATGCTCTGCTGGTTGGTGTCGGTGGGTCTGGGAAACAGTCATTTACAAAACTTGCGTCTTACATCGCTGGTTATCAAACTTTTCAGATTACATTGACAAGGTTAGCATTTAAATTTTCACCTTTTCTTGCAACCTGCCACATGCATTACTTTTTTCCCTTTTGATTAAGCGTAGTAACTTCTTTATACTCCCACATTTAGAAACACATATGAACTCATTGGGCTCAAATGTCATCCTTATTAGTCACAACTGTTGCTGTTTCTATGCATTGGCTATTCATCTCCAGTAGCTCATCAATTTCTGAGATTGGAATTGAGAAGAGTAGTGCAATTATTCTTCATATGATAAAATTGCGAGTAATCTAGTAAGGGTTAATAGCTTTACTGAGCGGCACGTATCTAATTAGTTACCATTCTGGTCGATGAATGAAACCTTTTATTGCATTCCGGAGTTTTTCCTTGTTGGTTTTTAGGACTGAGTTGGTAAGCATATTTTGATATACCATTTTCCTGAATTATCTGATAAGACCGTAACATACTTAGTTTTACTTGATGCTGATAGCACAAAATAATCCACAACTATGTAGACGTAATTGATATGATAAGAGTTGTATTATTTGTTTGAACGATTAGGCTAATTTAACAATGAGGAAAGATTAGATTAAATATCCATAGAAAACAAAATCCGTTAGATAACTAGTTTCTACAATACTGGAACTCCTCATTAGTTATTACACTTATCTATACTTGGTATTGTTTGTTTGAATCTACCCATTGATGTTTAGGACTGCAGTTGATCAGTCTCTTATTGGCATATGTGCGTACTGTGCGTATTGCCTTGATATAACCTTATCTATACTGTTTATGAAATCTAGCGTCTTTATTTTTCGCAACTAAAATACTGCTGTCCGCACCAAGGTTCATACGTATAAAATGTTTGTATTATCCTTTCGATATTGGCGTTATTTTATTGAGAGAATTACTTGCAAGTTTTTAAACCCCATGATACTAATAATTTCTCTTGTTTTAAGAAGAGAAAATGCCAAAGACCTGATAATAAATCATAATCTATTAAGTCATTCAACTGCCTTTCGACTAAAATCAAACAGAACCACTCTTATTGTAAGAAAATATAATCGATTTAAAAAATTACGTTTCATAACAACTTTTTAAAGACTATAATGCCCGCTATATAGACTGAGAGTCTTGATATCTGTCACCAGTATAGTAGTGGATAGTTAGTTCTGTAAATAAGTGGAAGCATCACTGTAGCACTAATGAATGATAATTTTTTAAAATTTAAAATATAAACTCGTAATGGAAACAAAATTCATCCAATTGCCTCAAATTCTTATTTGGTTATTAATCTTGTATTAATTCAAAAATTTTCCTACCATTTGATAATAACTTAGGTCCTATAATACTACAAATTTAATGGAAGATTTGAAATTCCTATATCGTACAGCAGGTCAAAAAGGACGTGGTATCACATTTATCTTTACCGATCAAGAGATTAAAGATGAAGCTTTTCTAGAATACTTAAATAATGTTCTTTCCTCGGGTATTATGTCGAACCTCTTTACACGTGATGAAACGGATGAAATTCTACAAGATTTAATCCCTTTTATGAAAAAAGAGCATCCACGTTTAACACCAACTAATGAAAATCTAAATGATTATTTCCTCAGTAGAACGCGAAAGAATCTCCATGTTGTTCTGTGTTTCTCCCCAGTTGGTGAGAAGTTTCGTCGTAGATCATTAAAATTCCCTGGATTATTATCGGGATGTACAACTAACTGGTTTCATCGTTGGCCAAAAGAAGCTTTAATCTCTGTAGCTAATCATTATTTGATTGATTTCCCGATTGTCTGTAAAGAACAGACAAAAACTGCTTTAATCAATACGATGGGTATAGTACATGATGGGATAGCTGAAGCGTGCATAGAATATTTCTCAAGGTGAGTCGAATCTAATTGTACGTTGAATTTGTCAATACGGCTGTTTTTGTACACTATGATTTTAATGAAGTCCTCTGGCCTGATGACGCTAATTTGTGAATGCTTAAATAATAAAGTTACTCCGTCTCCTGTTATAAGGTTTTACTGGGGGTATGTATTGCGAAAACAACTAAGATGGGAATATGAACTGTTTCGGTAAATTGTGGATTCTTTCTAGATGTAGCTGAACAAATGTTAAAAACGAAGTGGCGTTGTATGAGTGATGAAGACCAGTTGCAATATCGGAAATAACGTTTTTTGTCCCACTTTCTGTTTAATTAGTATCACTTTCTTATAAATATCATTGGCTGCTTTCATAGCTTTTTCGTCGGTTTATTTGGCAATTCTAAATGATTTTAAAATGTTTTACATTTCACATAATTTTATGCAGCTTGTCTGACGTTTTAGATACTTTATAACGAGTAAAATTCTATATAATCAATATATAAACGAATGTATTTAATGTTTTTTTACTTGATTTTTTCCTTCAAAATTCTAGATATAGACGACAAACTCACGTCACACCAAAATCTTATCTATCATTTTTATGCAGTTATAAATCAGTATATTCGCAACAACATAACCATTATGCGAACTTAGCCCAACGCATGGATGGTGGTTTACAAAAACTAGTTGAGGCTCAAGAGAGTGTTGCTCAGTTGAGTAAAGAGTTGGCCGTGAAAGAAAAAGATCTTGATATTGCTAATAAAGAAGCTGAAGAAGTACTTCGGACAGTAGGTCAAATGTTTTACTGTCATATTTTAAATGCAATCATTATAGCTTTTCTTAGTGTTACGTTTACATTGGTCGTCAATAAAGTGGTTTTTCGCCAAATATTTAACTAACAAATAACTCCGACAATTTAAAGTATTTTGGAAATATTTGCATTGTTCACAATATGTGCAGAAATTATCTGACACAAAATTTTTGACCATCAGATCCTAGCCAGTGTGTAGTACTTTACCGTTTGATCCTTACTGAAATATGTGAATGTGTCAAATGTTCACTGAGTTAAGTAGTTCAATGTTAACTTAATTATTATAACTAGTTACACAATCCATCTGCTTGACTGTTCAAAACTGTTCATAAGTTTCCCATCTTGATAAGATCAATACATAAAATTACTTACAAACGTACATATGGACACTGTTGCAACAGTAATTGCTAAGTAAGTTCAAACTAATATTAAGACAATTCAATAAAGGCACCCATGATAAATGATCTGAAGATTGGCTTTGAAGACAACTTGAGAATTTAGTAAGTTATTGAACATCAACTACAGTATTATTCATGTTTGCTTACGTCACTATGACGTTTTTTGCTCCGTGAAATGCGTTATTTCCCCTTCTTCTTTTTGTCTATAATTTTGGTTTATTATCCTTTTGACAATTTAGGTCACTGTTCAACAAAATGCAGCAACTGAAGTAAGAAACAAAGTGCAAGTTGTTAAAGATAAAGCTCAAGCTATAGTTGATGACATTGATCGTGAAAAGGTTTTAGCGGAAGCGAAATTAGAAGCAGCTAAACCAGCCCTACAAGAAGCTGAAGATGCATTGAACACTATAAAACCAGGTGATATTGCTACAGTTAGAAGATTAGGAAAACCACCACACCTAATTATGCGTATCATGGATTGTGTATTGCTTTTGTTTCAACGTCATCTTGAACCATATCAACCTGATCCAGAACGGACCTGTCCGAAGCCTAATTGGAGTGAATCTTTAAAACTGATGACAAATACTGGTTTCTTGTCAATGCTGATGTCCTTTCCAAAAGATACTATTAACGGCGAAACTGTTGAATTGTTGGAACCATATTTAAATATGGAAGATTATACACTAGAAGTCGGTAAAAAAGTTTGTGGTAACGTCGCTGGTTTGTTATCATGGACAAAAGCAATGGCTTACTTTTATACTATCAATAAAGACGTGTTACCAATGAAAGATAACTTAATAAAACAAGAAGCTAGATTAGCTAAAGCTATGCTTGACTTGAATGTAAGCTATCGTTGTCACATTTTGAAGCAGTACATTCTTTCAGGTTATGTTCCTTTCTTAAAACATGACTCTCAATTGATAAATAAAATAGCACACCGTAAGCAGTCTGTAGGGCTTACTTAAATAGATTTAGCAGACCCACTGTTTATTTTATGATAAAGTAAAAGTTTTACGTTGCTGATTGATTACATGTACACTTTTTGACTTTATAAGTAGCTTCATCTATTTAGACAGCATGTTACCAGAACATTTGAGTATTAAAATAAGTGTCTGAAACGTAGTCCAAATTAATCTCATTGCATCTAAAACTCAGTTTTATCAATTTCTCAATAAGAAAGTAGTAAATGATCCTATCTGATCTTAACCAGCTCCTGATGGTACGAATTATCCAGAGTTTTTATAGGGTCATACCGTGTTGACAAATCTTTTTAAACTTCGATTAACATGCTCACTATTTTTGTTGAGTCATTAATTTTGGATTTTGGTGAACCTTCAGAGCTAGACTGATATTAAAATAATAACAATTGCAGTAATTTTGGAATTTGTCTCTACTTTGATCAAGGGATCGAATAGTTTTTTTTGCAAACTACACAGGTATAGTGACTAATCTTCAGTTATACTACAAGATCATCCCAGGAATAAAATAGTTAGAAAAGTGAAAATTAAATCCGGTGGGGAGTGACTCCTATGTTTATTGCAACTCTGATGGTACTACATTTCGTTTGTTTAACCCAGATCATCGGATTTGTTGTCTTCGTGTGATAAAAGTCAATGCTTTAACGTTTTTTATGTTTTGATATTGTTACAAGTAACATAGATTCATGCGGCACTCTGTTTGCGTATATAAATTTACTATCCCTCTCCTTAGAAAGTACACCAATTCAGTAATAATAATGTGGTAACTTAGATGAATTTACAATTATTTTAAGTTGCACGGTACTAATCGTTCTGTTAATATATATGCTGTCATTTTGTAGACAATCAAAAATGAGTGGAAATCTTATTTTTCCTCCTCACCTCTGTTATGTAAGTGACGTATATCATGACCAACATGTTCAGTGAGAGTTGTTAAACATTATTGGAATGTTTATCATCTACACTCAACAGAGACTGTACTTAGAAGATGTATTTTATTACGTTTCGGCCAAATATTGAAGAAAACGTCAGTAATTTATAATAAAATCACTTAATATGATCCGGATCAAAACGGAATTCTTTTATTAACTTACTGTGGTTGTTATGGACTCCGATAAACCTAGTTCTTCTTGTTTTTAATACTTGCTTTTATAGGATGCTCAAGCAATACTTGATGAAAAAGAACTTGAGTTAGCTAAAGTTCAAGCAGTTTATGAAGAAGCATTACGTAAGAAAAATACACTACTTGAGGATGCTGAACTGTGTCGACGTAAAATGACTGCCGCTTCAAAACTTATCGGGAGTTTAGGAGATGAACAAACACGCTGGACAGAACAGAGTCAGGCATTTAAAGAAAATGTTGAATGGTATGTGTGAATTACTGCTCTTGATGACTACTTTATACGATAGCTTTTTTCACATTAAATCTTTAAAGCCATTTTGTTTCAATATGCTTAATTGTTTGGTACTTTCTGTGACTTTTTGATAAACATATTTATGATTTCAGGAATATTGAAATTTTAATTGACCCCAAGCTCTTAATACATTACACAGTCTACAGTCAAATTAAGTTATTTACCTTAGTGTGATCATATGTATTTGCTTTTATATTATCACTTTTACATCCCTTATGATTCCTTACGTTATCACTTAACACCTAAGTTCTCTATATTCAATTCTTTAAAAGTGGGCATTCTAATTGAACACCGTACATGAAAACCAGAGAAGTTACATAACGAAGTTTCTAAGTATTCAAACAAAATTTAGAATGTTTATGAGAGAAAATTATTTACTTTTCACTATTATTTCCAAAAAATATTATTTCTGGAAGTCATATAAAAATATGGCTATCTGCTGTGATATTTGTAATTACATAGAAACCTATATATCATATCCTTTTGTAACCCGTTTCATCTTAACAAAAACTCTGTAGACTCATTGGCTTTAATGTGACATACTATGCAGTAAGTTTAGTGGAGAACTTTGTGGTGATAATAACTTTAAATGATTAATTCTCTTAGGCTTTAATGTAGATGCAACATGAATAGTATCCTACTTTGAGCAAATAATAATGCACCATTAAGCATAGGTTGTATTCGTTATCGAAATGCATTGAATGAGGAAACAAAAGTAAGTATTAAGAAATTGTATTTTACGTTGCAGACAACATAAGTTCAAAAACGAATACGAGCAGGCAAGTAACTAATCCCCAAGCGTATGAACAAGTATTCGTTTTACAAGGTTGTTGATGAAAGAGTGAACTTTACATCATATGAAATATATTCTAGATCCCAATCTACATTGAAAATCAACTGTTTCTAGAATATATATAGCATAAACATGTAAACTCAAAGAACTTACTACAGAACTATTATGAAAAGGGCCAAACTAACAGTTATCTCTATATGCGAACAAGAAAATATGTAGAAACACCTTTGTCTTATAACCGCAGCAAATGAAAAATCAATTCAAAGAGTTTGGTGAATTTCAAAATATTTCATCTAGTCAACTGCCTTTGCTAGAAGTGAAGATAAAGCTACTTTGGATATAGCTATAACCCATAAACTTGTGTAAATTCAATTCGATTCATGATGCTTGTACCAAACCATACACCGTATTATAAATGTAAAAGGCCAGAAAAAAAGTTCACATATTATTATGTTATACAAATTTGCATTAAATCTCAAAATGAATCAGTTTGAAAACCTGACATAAATTTAAAATGATAAATTTTACTTTCTGTTTTTACTAGTGAAGAAGTCAATCGTTTCTCACGGAATAGTTAACTCAGTAATTTAAAAGTATTATACTCTATCTAAGGTTTGAAAGTCCCGGACTAAATCTTGACCAAGTTTGTAGGTGAGCTCTGCTGAAAAGTCTCAATCAGACGTCCATTTTTTTCTCGTTTTCAACGGTTTTTGAGCTAACCTTATTCAGTGATAATATAGTTTTGAAGTAATTAAGAATCTGATCATTAATACTGTTGGCTTTTGATTGATCTGATCAAAATAGATTAACCAAAGTTTGTTTTTCGATACTTCCCAGTTGAATACACTCCATACTGTGTAGTCAAAATATCTGCTGTTTCTAGTTAGAGAGCCTACAATTACCTATAGATTGATTAATTACATTGGTATAAGTGGATTATGGAGACTGACCAGTTTGCAGTTCATTGCATGGACTGATTTTAGGTAGGCAGTCATTGAATGCCCACGTGGGACTTCTAGTCAGTGAGCAACAACGATCATGATGGGAACAAAACCTAATGTCTTCAGACTTAGTGGTAAACGCGTTACCTTTAGATCAATAAGTTGGCATCCAATATTTGACACTTCTAACAATGAATGAATAAGCTGTTCATATTCACTTTCTTGAAGGTCCTCTATACTCGACCTGACTTCAACATTGTGATTATTTGAGATGAAAGTAATTGTACGTGTACAATACATGTTTCAACAACATCGAAAGGACAAGATTTAATGAACATAAAATATATACATACGTTTTAGTTCCCCGTTAGGGACTTAATTTTTCTCATTTTTGCGCACCTACCAAAATTAGAAAATTTCTTAATAAGCGTTCAAAATTTGTTTTTTATTTCTGTCTACATTTATAGTCTTGTTGGTGATGTACTTGTTGCAACTGGATTTCTTTCTTACTGTGGTCCATTCAATCAAGAGTTTAGACAAATGTTATACCAGTCATGGCAGAGAATGTTAAGACAATATAATATACCAGGATCTACAATAGTTAACTTAATTTCCATGTTAACTCGACCAACTCAAGTTAGTTAATCATATATTTTACCTGTTTAGACAAAATTAAGCTATAAATATTAAAATTAACTAGTATACATTTCTTTTCCGGACAAATATTTGTTTTACTCGGTCCTGTAACAGTAGTTAGAAGTAATGGATCGTTGATATTTATTCATAGTTAGTCTTTCATATTCAATAAGTAACTCTCCATCATAATATATCGATTGCATTATTGGCACTTGTATAATAGCTTTCACTTCCTAAGATTTATTCACATAATCAGTCGCTATTTATTCTCCCTCGTATAGTTTATTCGGTTCATCGAGGTTATCACTTCGGTGGCTTCAATGATATTAAAAGTTTTGCCAATCAGCAGAGTCGTAATAACAAGTTTTACCTTGTCAATAGCTGAAAATATTCAGTAATCTAGTTATCCAAGAGTTTATTAACTAAAGAAAATCTGAGTAAAAATTCAAAACATTGTCATTCCTATCTGGTTCCGCTTGATTCAGACTGGAACTCGAAAACTTGGTTACCTAAGCACAGTATTAAAGTTTTCTTGGTTGTTTGTCCCTACCATTACTGTGATAGTCAGTGAGACTATAATTTATGGACGAACCAATTAGATATAAGGTAAAGATCTTGGACTTTGGCGCGAAATTCATTCATTCATTTGGTTAAAGAGCGCTTTTGGCCTTTTAGCTGATGTCAGTTCGTGATGAAAACCATAAATCTGATTCCTAACCCTTAATCATCGACAGTCAATCTTAATTCTGGTTTCTCACCATGGTTTATAACCCTCATTTGGTACTAGCTAGTATGTGGACATTCCCAAGGTCACTTTAGCGTCGCTCAAAGGTCGTCAATAAATTATGGTCTCACCGAATAGCGATTAGGATTTACTAACTACTGATGAATTCTTTATTCGTAATCGTCATCCACTTCTCGCTAAATGTTTGCTTGATAAAGATGTGTCCGATAATCTGTTTTTTATTTCTTTTGGGTAAATTCGTTCACTTATCCATCGAATTATAAGCTACCTTCAATTAACTGATTTCATTGACTCAACCGTGTTTTTATCCTTATAATATTGTATTCATACACTGTTTCGGACAATTTTTACTGGTTTAAAAGATTCACAAATCATACATACTACTTATATCTATCGACACCAGTAGCACACATCACACTATTTGCCAAAAGGTGTTTCAGTTCATCAACTAGGATTGACCTTCCATCAGGGTTTTGTCTAAATTGTCTTTTGTTTAAATAAGACCCTTTCTATTCATGAGTGGATTTAACTAAATTAACTGAGGTCAGTAATATTAAAAATATATGACACTTTGAGAAATTCCTTTACAGATTATTTCTATTACATCCATTCAATTTGTTGTATTCAGCTTGGCGAATGGAAAATTCAAGGTTTACCCAGTGATGAATTGTCCGTACAAAACGGTATCATTGTTGACCAAGCGAGTCGTTATCCCTTACTAATCGATCCACAAGGGCAAGGAAAATCATGGATAAAAAGTCGTGAGCAAAAGCATGACTTGATTATAACTACGTTGTGGAATAAGTATTTCAGACAACACTTAGAAGATGCTTTGTCAACTGGACGTCCATTACTGATTGAAGATATTGGCGAAGATTTAGATCCAGCAATGGATAATGTACTAGAGAAAAATTTTGTCAAACAAGGTTCAATTCATAAGGTATAGTGAGAAAGATAAGACACATGTTTATTTGGGATTGAAGGTTGTAGAAGTTTATATATTTTAATTATAAGTGAAAGTTTTGGAAAATATGTATCTTGTGTGATTTTGACTTTAAATGGAGGTCTAAATTAGTCTACTTAAAACCTCTCATATATTTCAAGGTGATTATCATAACATTATGACAGCAATCAACGAATCGTTTCTTTCATTCTGCTTTTCTTCAAAGACACTCCTGTTACTTCGCCCACGATGGATCCTAGCTCTTACAGATTTCGAAACTAAAATGACAGAACAACTAGTACGAGATTGAGAAAAGGTCATCAGTAGTGATAGTCACTATCATCTACAGAATCTTAGCAAAGCTTCCAATGTTTTTGGATCTCCATTCACTAAGGATAGTGATGCAACCTCTGGAAACCTGAATTTTGGAGTTATTACAATAATTGGAAATTACCAAAAAGTCCTATTTATGATATACTGATAAACCTAAAATAAAGCTTCAGAGTACTCTTCAGATATCATTTCCGAACATCTAAGATCAGACATAGCCCACCATGAGTTTGTGTCACTGAACCCGGTTACCACACTTGGTTATGTATTCGGTCGTGACTTCATTCTTTACTAATTTACACCTGGAGAATATTATGTGAACGTTAGGTTTGTTCTACATAAGTACGACAGCCAATATTATTATTACCAGTTACAATAACGATGTACCTGGAAGTGGTAACAACTAATAACTTACAGTTCATTTAAATAAACGATAACATTATCCTTAAAATATATTTGTGAATACTTAAAAGTACATTTTTCTATTCTTATATCAGTTTCTTGCTTATTCTTTGTTTTAAATTGTCTTAAAATAAATAAACTCCTCTGAAAACCAATGAGATGGCTTTTTAGTGAAATAAAATAGTGTAGCCCTATTAAGGAAGTTCCCAATCTTTGCATATCATGATAGTTTGGAGACAATTCGAATATGTTTCTGTTGATAAAACTGTTTGTCAAAGAGTAGCATATACTGCGAATATCTCGTGTAAACCTATTTAAAGATGGAAATATTAAACGAATTGTTTGAGTTTTAATATGTTAGGCTATGTTTGATCCAATATGATTTAAAAATTTCGTAGATTACACAAGAAAAGAATCCGTAGTCACTGATTAGAAACTGTTAGTAATATGTTTCGAAGTTACTTCAAATCCTGAGCTAATCTACAAGCCTGAATAACTATTTTTAAGGCCAAAACGTTCTATGAGTTAAATTGAAGTGCATCTCCAATGTATTCTTTCGGTTACTGTTTTAACACTTGGTTTCATAATGGCGTTTTGTAATTTCATTTAATTATTTAGGTAAAGATCGCTGACAAAGAAGTTGACGTATTACCTTGCTTCCGATTGTATATTACAACCAAATTACCCAATCCATCATTTACACCTGAAATATCTGCTAGAACTTCTATTATTGATTTCACAGTCACAATGAAAGGTCTAGAAGAGCAATTACTTGGACGTGTTATACTAAGTGAACGACATGAACTGGAGGCTCAACGTGTTCAATTAATGCTTGATGTACAATCGAATAAAACAAAAATTAAAGAACTAGAAGATAATTTATTATCACGTTTAGCAAGTGTACAAGGTTCACTGGTAGATGATGTAGATTTGATTGACGTATTAAGTTCTACTAAAGTAACAGCTAGTGATGTATCAAGAAAGTTGGAAATTGCCTCTGAAACTGAAATGCAGATAACTAATGCCAGAGAAGAATATAGACCGATTGCAACACGAGGTTCAGTATTATACTTTTTAATTGTTGAAATGAGCTTGATCAACTGTATGTATCAAACATCTTTACGTCAATTTTTAGCGCTATTCGATCAGTCATTATCAAGGTAATTTGTATAATTTTGATTTATTGAATAATCGCACTCCTAAAATGGTACGATGTAATTAATCAAGTCTGTATGTAGGACCTTAGTGAAAGTAAAATTGATAGAAACTTATTTGATTGATCATTAGTTTATTCATTTTAAAGTATTTTTGGTACACAGGTGTATCAAACAGCACAGGGAATAAAGAAATTCAGTTATAATGAAGGTTTTGGCACCTAATTGAAGGGGATTCAAATGATTAAAAAATCCTTTTACTATATAGAATTATAACTTCATAGGTGTCCAGAAGCCAATTAGATTTCTTTTTAAACTAAAATTCTTGGACTAATATGTTGTTTATGTTTAGCTAGTACTGTGGGAGGCATTACTCGTCACACTCACATTTTAAAAAGAACCGTTAGGAATGAATTTTCAGATTTTGTATTTAAATAAGTTATGAGTACTTAAAAACAGCTGATTTTAATCTATTTAAGTTTATTATCCATCGAATATTACGTTACTTGTTTTCAGTAAGTCTACTTATCATCTTTCAATTTAGGTGTATGGAATAGTGTGATCACAACTGAAGCTTGTGAAGTTTAAAAACAAAAGGTGAAAGGACTACTTTACGTAACATTACCGACTAATCTTAATTAAATAACCATTGAAAACATGAAACACTAAACAGCTGCTTCGTCTAAAATTTTTTTTTACTATGCTAACATTCCTTTCAATTTTTATAGCCTAACATATAAAAGCTTATTTAATTAAAGTTCTCGGGCTAACTTATCTGAAATCCACAGTAGTCTAGTTCATCTCAGAAGAAAAGAATTTAGCATACAAGTGCTATACTAAGTAGATAGGACGGATATCTAAAAGGGTTTTGACTACATTGTGCTCTGATTCATTGATTTTTCACATAAATATAAAACTGACCTATGAATTTTATCAATATTTTAGATCTGAAAAATCTCCAATTACCACGAAACGCATTACGAATGTGATTGACTACATGACTTACGATGTATGGAGATATATTATTCGTGGTTTGTATGAAATCGACAAATCGACATTTTCTCTCTTGTTAGCGTTAAAAATCGATATGCAAGCTGGACGTGTTAGGCATGAAGAATTTCAGTGCTTTATCAAAGGTATTCATGAACATAACAACATTAATATTCATTTGTTATTAATAAGAATTAGATACCATTAGATTACCATCGTTTTTCTCTGTGAAACTTCGCTACTCGATAGTTTTCGGGTGCTGGCATCAATAATACAACCTAGGACTAATGAATAGTTTTTCTCATTAAAGACCGTCTTAATTTTATCAAATTATTTTTCGGAAGATTAAAGTTTGATTACCAATTTTTGGTTGAGGTACAAATCTCTGGGTAAAGGGTTTCGATTGACTCTAGAAAACAAGTCTATGTTATGCAGTGTAGAGTAGCTTCAAAATAGAGTATAACAATTGCTCAATGCTTTGTATTTTCTAGTTCTCTAGTCAATATAAACTATTTAAACTATATCTTAATGTTTCAGGTAGTTTTCATGAAGTTCATCTAATCGAACATCAAGTATTAGTAAGCGTTTCCTCTTCCTTGTCTTGAAATTATCAAAGAATCGATCATTTATGAAGTGAGAGTTATTTAGTTTCCAAACAAATTATCATAGATTGTGGCCCTTTAGTATAACCTAACCACTTTGCCTTTTTGATACTGCAGCTTTACTAATACTATTCAAGAGGTTGTGTATGTTGAGAAATTGTAAAAATTCTACGCTCCATGTTTTAATCTCTATTTCAGCTCTTTTATGCCGAAACTTTAAGTAACAGTAAAGGCCGAGCTACTCAGTATTCTTTTACCTGAATGAACGCTCAAAACTTTTTTCCATAGTCCCCATTGGGAGCTTCGTTGCAGTAAAGTAATGGAACGATGAACTGTGGTTGTATAATAGCTCCATATATATGTCAATTTATTAAAGAGTACCGTGCAATGAACGAGAGTTCCTTTCAGCTTAACAGCCTTTAGTAAGATATTCCCACCCTTCGAAAAAGATGAGTTTGTCGATCAACAGTCCTTGTACCAAATTTATGTTTATCATAAATCTCCTTCTTTTTTAAAGGTGGTGCATCTTTGGATTTAAACACTGTTAAACAGAAACCGTTTAAATGGATTACAGATATGACTTGGTTGAATTTAGTGGCTTTATCAAGTTTAAATCAATTTGCTAGCATTGTAGATCAAGTTGTTAGTAATGAACGTGGTTGGCGTCAGTGGACTGACAAAACTTCGCCTGAGTTAGAAAATATTCCTGACGGTTACCAATCAAATCTAGACACTTTCAGACGCCTTCTACTTATTCGAGCCTGGTGCCCAGATCGTATAACGAACCAAGCAAATATTTATGTGGGTGACTGTTTAGGTAGAAAATTCGCTGAAGGATTTGTACTTGATTTAGATGGTGTCTACCATGAGTCAACACCACTTTGGCCAATAGTTGGATTACTTAGTACTGGTTCGGACCCCACTACGCAAATAGAATTATTAGCCAAGAAATACAGGGTAAGTTTGTTTACATTTATTACTATTTGTTTAGTAGTCATTATTATTGCCATTAGGCACACTGAACATACTTCAGAATGTTCTGCAGTACTGTATAATTGTAATGATCATCATTATTTGCAAGATGTAAAAATGATAAGCTGTAAGGGAATTGTAGAATTAAGTACGTTTTACCATGAGTCGATAGTGGCTTTTGAAAATCATGGTTCAAATGTTATAATCATCCTGAGACCTAAGACTCCCTAAGCCACCAATTTTAATTTTAATTTTAATTTGGACTTCCCTTATAATCTACGTATTTAACTATACTTTTTCGAAGACATATCTAAACTACTTATTATTTACCATTGACATTTTGATTTGTCTTTTTTCCACATTCATACATAATTCTTTAGAAATTATATAATGTGATATTAAGTCATCACATCACCTCAGTGCGAATAATGAACTCTTCATTCGAGTATTTATATCAACTGTTGTCAAACCTAAGACCCATGAATGATGAAAAACAAAGTTGGTTGAAATCAAAGTTAGTGGACATTACAAGTCAGTACGTTACGAAACCAGTTCCCTAATCTATGATGTTGACCAAAGATAATCAGCAAGCATTGAGGAAACTTATGAAAGACGGAAAAATATTGCTGCTTCGTCCAGATAAGGGTTCCGGTGTAGTCATCCTAAGCAGAGACAAATATGCTAGCAAATTAATGTCCATTTTAAATTATTCCACGAGATTTATCATTGATAATACTCAGAAAGACCTAACATATGCGACTTTGAAGCGTCTTTTAAAGACGTTGGGCGAACTGTTGACGAGAACTCTAATCAATAATCATACATATAATGAACTCAAACCTAAAGAATCATAATTACCTTATTTATGCGACCTACCTAAAATACAAACCCAACATCCTGATAAAACCAATATTATATATGACCGAATTACCCTTCCATAAACTCGCCTGCTGGTCGACTAGGTGCTTAGAACCAACGCGTAAGAGACTCACACCCTACAGTCTGAAGAAGATTTTTGAAGTTCAACAAAAGTTTGATGCCCTAAACACTTCCGATAAATTCATGTTCTCGTTGTCTTGACTTGTACGAACCCTTTTTGACTGTGTTCATAAACTTCGCCTTCACTACAAATTGCCTACGCGAAAGTTCATTTCCAGCGAGATTCATAGAGAGATATGCCAAAACCAACGTTCTTGTTAAATACGATGCAGCGGAAAAGAAAACCTGCTTCTTACACTTTCGCTTTAAAGGAGATGAAACAACTGGAATAGGTATGGAACAAGTGGAATAATTAACCACAGGATAAATGCCGCGTTAAAGGTTGCTTATCCATCAGCAAGCCTGAAACGAATCGCTCGCTCAAACAAACTAAAATTGGCATGTCCTCTTTTCTCAGTACCTCCAACTGCATTTACCAATTTACATGTACGTGCCAAAGTGCATACATTGGGAGAACCGAGAGGAGAGTTCATGTTCTAATTTCCGAGCATGTTCCAAAGAACTTGATACTGGGAAGCGAAATGGCTCTAAAGAGTGCAGTGGCTCGGCATTTACTTGACATCAGGCATACCATTGATATTCCTCGAGCCTTTAAAATTATTAGCAGACAAAGAGACGCAGCTTCTCTTCGGTTTGCTGAAGCGATTTCCTTAAATAAAAAAGGAACCCAAACTTGATTTATGTATTTAAAAAGAAACTGTAATAAACCCATTACTACCCTCGTAGTTTTATTTTGTTATGTGGTCTTCACTTACCGAATTTTTATTTTATGTACATTAAAACCACCCCTTCACTTATACATTTCCATTCACTTAATTCGGTTCACTTATGTAAACTCTTCAAATCTTGTTCACTTATTACGCAATCAGCTTTTTTTAATTCCAGGAATCTTGTGTAAAACCTTCATTACCTCTAAAATTATCACACAATATATCTTATCTGTCTCTGAACAACACATAACTATTGCATCACTCACCTTTCATTTTTTTAAATTCTAACACCAAATGACCTCCGACCTGTTCTTGCATATATATATATATAGTTATTATTGATAACCTTAGTCATTCCAATTCTTTTCATTCACCGATTTCATTTGTTTCACACCATACCTTACTTCTATGTAAACTTTCAATACATATTTGGTTGTAAGCAGCTGATGAGGAACCATGAAAAGTAATGAATTCATATTATCCTGCATCCATGTTTCAGTCAGTCAGTCAGTCAGTCAGTAACAACGTAGAACTTCGTACGTACATACATCAGTTCGAGTTGCCACACCACATTAGCACAGAGATGCAGTTGTCGATTCAAATCCCGTAGTGGTAGAGGTAATAAGAGTATAAGCAGTAATCGGGAAGATTAGGGTTTGGAGATGTTATTTAAAGAGTATAATCCAGTGAAATAAATTTGGAAATAGGAAAAAAGGGACATGAAGAATTCAGAAGATTAGAATTTGGGAGAACACAGAGAGTGGAAGCACCTGCGCCATTGCAAACGATTTTGAGCCATGTCATTCAGGGTTTCTAACCATCGGTTGCTATCATCTCGCGGTCCGCAACCAGGAAGTCTACACTTATCAACATGACTCAGTTCACTTGTCAGTGACTTCATGAACTTGTGCCATGTTTTGGTCTGGTCGCCCCTAGCTTTCTTCCAACCTACTCCTATAGCACTGAACATCGCACGTCGAGGCAGTCGGTCGTTGGGCATACGTAACACGTGTCCCAGCCATCTCAACTGATGAAGTTTCACTACTTCATCAATTGATTTTCCATCCTTACCTAGTACCCGTTTCCTAACAACTGTGTTACTTACTCGATGGTCCCATGATATACGAGCAATGTTTCGAAGACACCTATGATCAAATACTAGTAGCCTACGGATATCCTCTACTCTTACCGGCCATGTTTTACTGCCATAAAGTAGGAAGGAACGAACTGATGCCCAGTAAACACGTCCTTTGGTTGATAGACGGATATCTCGCCTACGCCATAAATGACGCAAGTTGGCAAAAGCTAATCGAGCCTTCTGTATCCGTGCTGAGATTTCGTCACAAACCAGACCACAAGGGCTGATGAGACTTCCAAGATAAGTGAAGCGGTTGACACACTCAACCACTTCACTCCCTATCACTAGTTCGGGTGTCGATGTAACCCAATCCTGAAGCAACATTTTGAATTTCGAGGGAGAGAATCGCATCCCGAACATGCTTGCATTGTTGCTTAGAGTGATCAGAAGACTCTGCATTTTGTCAGCGTCTTCACCAAATAAAACTATGTCATCTGCATATTCTAAGTCAACAAGTGAACCTCCCGGTACAAGTTCAACCTCTGGAAATTTAGATGAGGAGAGTGTTATCTAGTAGTTTAATCAACCTTTGACTTCAATCAAGAATATGTTTTTACATTTATTTATTTATTTTATGTGAACATATAAATATTGGTACAAAGGGGCACCGAATACATATGCGCCACACAAGTCACTTGATTTGTGTGTGGGCTATGATACTGTCCGGGTGCCCAAACCGAAGCAGGTGGTTTTCTTAGGAGTCCACACCGGAAGCCTTCGACCTAAAGGTCTGATCCACAAGGTAGTGAAGCAACTTTAGGAGATGCAGTCCCATGGTAGCCGGTGACCAACAATTCGTTTAGATGTCTTACACTCTGGGTCAATCTGTTCTTTGCCCTTCACTTTCACGTTTTCTACAGAGTGACCCTTCATGCTGATCGACCTTCATGTTGATTGACTCTTCATGTTGATTTCCTCCGAAGACGTAACATTAGAGATTGTTTTTGAATTCTATTAGATGGATACTTGAACCACAAATAAATTAGCCCTTTTATATTCCTCTAGTTTTTAATCATCTCAGGGAAGTAGGCGGTGAGTTATGCGTATTTTCTTTGATTTTCTGCTGGAGGTTGATTGGCCCTATATTGTCATTGTAATCCCTCTAGGTTAATTCCTTCGACAAATCAATATAGAAATCATAACGTGGCTTACAAATCACTAAAACCATCTCAGACTCAAGTGTTTATGTTTACATCTTAAGTAGTGAATTTTGTTGTGTTTTCATCTTTTTTTTCAGGTTGATTGTAAAATAATTTCTATGGGCCAAGGTCAGGAAATTCATGCTAAACGTCTGGTCAGTAATTTATTAACAACAGGAGGATGGATACTACTCCAAAATTGTCATCTATCATTGGCATATGTTGCCGAATTGTTACGTCAAATAACTGAAATTGAACATATTCATCCAGAATTTCGTTTATGGGTCACAACTGAAGTACACACTCAATTTCCAATTTCATTTTTGCAAACCTCTATTAAGTTTACAAATGAACCACCTCAGGGTATTAGAGCTGGCATAAAACGAACATATGCAACGTTTACGCAAGTAAGTGATAATGTAGAGGTTTAAATAACGTATCCTAACTTTAGAGACCAGATGAGCATGAAACCCTTACAAAAAATCTTCAATTTTAGATTCCAAACCTTAAATCTTAGCTGTTTCTGGTTTTAGTTCACTAGTCGAACATACATGACCAGTATTTTCATAGTTGTTTGAAGAAGATTATTAAAAGCTGAAATTTTACATGTCCACTCTTAGATTGTATCTTTATGAAAATAAAATATTTAATAGTCCGAACGCGTCTAAATTTGTACTAGTAAGAAAGTTGGAGAGTGATTACAAGCCTTATAAACACGAAAGAGTCAAATGTATCTTTTGAGCTAAAGATTTGGAAACTCATTTCTCGTATCATTATTTTAGGCTGTCGTGGAGAAAACCATCCCACTAGTATTCATTGAATACCCATTAGTTTATGAAGCCTGGACTTGCTCACCTCATGGGTAAATTGAACAATTTATGGCACAAATCAGATTCACTCTTGATTATTTAGCTTTTGTGTTAATATTGCAAATATAAACTAATTGCAATCAAATTATTCAATAACTCTTTGGTCAATTGCCCAAACACCATAACATTGGTAATTCTATAAAGAACCTAAATTGCACGAATTGTGTGGGCGAGTGACGATCGCTCAGAAGTACTGAAATATTGACACAAAGACCAAGAGGACGGTTGTAGAATAAACAGGACAGCTGGCCGATTAGAAAAAGTCATTTCATACAGAGAAAATCGCATAATGATGTACAAAACTCTTTTCCCAGAAATAAACAGGACTAAAGTTTGTTTGAAGAATAAATGTTTGTAAGATTCCGATTCGGTAGGTCACTTACTATCCAATATATTTGAGATTTAACATATTGCCCACTGTGTCATGTATAAATCATTCAGTGTGTTTGAATACCCTTATTAAAATCCTTCACCTATATGTAAAGATAAACAGAAGAAAGATTACGCCCAGAATTTGTCCTAAAAAGACAAAAGGGTTAAACTTCCTCCCAGTTTTTGGTAAAGCTTTGCGATTTCTCGTTCGTAGCGTACAGGGTCGCATTTAATCAGTCTCTCTGTTGGTTAATAGGACGGAACGCGCATCCTGAATTTGATTCTTAGCCAGAACTTTTCCAGCTGTAGTACAAATGACACATACTTTTAGCCATAAAAGGATAGACATTGGTACTCCTCACTATTGAGCTATGATGCATTTTGGTTGAAGTTGGATTCTACTAGATGTTTACCTGTTTTATCGCTGTTTCTTGTGTGCAACAGCAGTGTTTACTTTGGAGTGATGAATTAATCTGAGTGATTGTACAGACGTATTCGTTGAAATGACTGGGTTAGCTTATGCCCACTGAAAGTTTGTCATCTAATATCTATAAAATAAAGACCATAATCACCATCTTACTACTAAATTCATTTGCATTTTTACCTCATATATCTATGACATTTAGGACTATTTAGATATTAATAATCGACCTCAATGGAAACCAATGATCTACGCAATATCCTTCTTACATACAACAGTACAAGAGAGACGGAAATTTGGTTCGCTAGGTTGGAATATCGCCTATGAATTTAATACATCTGATCTAAATGCAAGTCTACAATTTGTACAGAATCACTTGGACGATATGGATCCAAAACTGGTAGGTGAAATAATGCCTTTTAAAATTTCGATGTGGATTAGGTCAAAATGAACGTTAATAAGCTCTGTAGATATGGATTTTTGTCTTAGGGCAATCTTTTGTTAAATTCATTCAGGTTTATTATGTTTTAAATATTGGTAAGAAATACGACAGCACGACGAATATAGTCCATTTTATTTAATACGTCATTCCTATTTCATTTTGATAATTCTCCTGTTTTGATTAAATACTGTAGTCCCAAAGCTTAAACTACACACTTACCTGACATATCACCTGTTGAAAATATTGCTTAGCTATTACAGTATATAAACATTTTGTACATTAATCGGTCAGTGGATAGTTTTCAATATAAACCATTTCTTATCCTTAGTATAAAACCTGGTTCGCTAAACAATAGTAGGCTAATTGATATAACATCATCATATATTATATCCTGTATCAAATGATTGGAGAAAATCTATGTAAATCTCTTCTGTCCCATTGTACGTTGTAATTTAGAGCATTTTGTTATTCCCGAGTAACATTACATTTTACTTAGAGGACAATCAGACTTAATAATACAATGATATTAACAAAAATAATACTATTGTAACAGTTACTGAATTCCAGATTGATTCTGTTAGCTGTTTTCTTCTTAGAATGGTACATAATCCCAGTCAGTGGTAACGAGTGTTAGTTTGGTTAATTGTTACTTTTCATTTGCTCAAATCCCTTTTATACAAAGGTTGTTAGCGGTTAAAGAACTAATTTCACTGACAAATACATAGATGTCTTGATATAATTGCTAAATATAGTGTTCGTCATACTATCACCATATAAACATTGATAAGTTCTACTCCTTAGTGGTGATGATAATATATTGATCAATCAGAAAGCAATATGGCAGTTCAGCGTTTCGTAATAGAGATTCATAAGTATATTTAGGGACGCTCAATTGTCGACAGTAATTTCTGAAAAATGCTAGTTCTTATCTCATAGAAGGCATGAATTTCATTTAGATAATGGATATCCTCACTAATATATACCAAAGATGTAATGAATCTGAGTATAGGATTTCTTGTTAGTTGCTCCAACTACTAAACCGTTATAATCTTTCATTCTGGTGTGAATACACGCTCTAAACAATTTCCCAGCACATTAAGAATGAATTTTTAAATTAAAAGTTTGTCAAGACAAGTGTCTGAGATTTAACTGTTTTCAGAGCGGCTTGTTTACAGCAATTAAACCATTACTAGATTGACTTTGTACAATGTCATCCGAACAATAAGCGTTAAGTGTATGTTACCTTCACTCGCCTGTGTCGGGCTGTATCTATCTTTGTGTGACTGTGAATTGTATTGCATCGACTCAAGTAATATCTTACTTCATTCAAGCCCTTATCAACCACCCAATTTCCTCTTAACAGTCCGTCATTCCGTAACCGTTATCAGTTTCACAATGATTCTATCGAATGATTGTTCCGATTTTTGCTTATAAAGCAATGTATACTTGCTGAATACAAACTCACTATGATTTGCAACTTGATATTGGCTTACTCGTGGTAAGGAATCGCAAAACAAATAATCATTGCTCAGTAGTTTTCTCGTTGTCACTTTAATTTTTTAAATTTATTTGTTAGGGAATTGATTGGAAATGTGTCACATACATGCTTGGAGAAATTCAGTATGGCGGTCGAGTAACTGATGATTTCGATAATCGGCTTTTGAACACCTATTGCAAATTGTGGTTCAATGAAAACTTATTTAATTCAGAATTTGAATTTGCACCAGGTTATAAAATTCCACATGTGCAGAAATTAAGTGAATTTATTAATGCTATTAACGAAATCCCATTATATGATTCACCTCAAGCATTTGGATTACACGAAAATGTTAACATAACGTAAGAGAATTACCATTTTTTCCGATGCTTTATCAAAAAATAAAGAGTAGCATACAATTACTTTGTATCTTACTCTTACCTTAATGTAATACCGATAACTGACTTTCCTGAGGAATAAAACGAATTGGTCTCAATTCTTTCTAGCGCAACTGTTCAACCAGTGTAATTGGAGAGTATTTTTTCACATATCGTATGGGTGGATCTAATGCAGCAGTTACTCTCCGTACTATGATAGAACGAAAAATAGCATACAAGCAACGATCACAGTTATGGATGACAACCAATCGAATTTCCCGTCGACAGAACACGCTGCTAGTCCATTGTGGAGAGGTTCGAATAGCTCACCACTCTTTGAAGTACATGCTGATGATGTTGTTCAGAAGAACAATGAAGCTTTACAGCCAATTCAGAGATCACAACAACTCCAACTTTCTCAAGTCTCTTAGACATGATTTTCTAAAACGTTGATATGACGTGCCATTTTTTCCTAAAACAGTTTCAAATTGCCTTACTTTCGATCACTGATATATACATTTCTAAATGATCTCATATGGAATAGTTAGTCTACCCGTTATAGTTCATTATATCTCTAATATAGTCGAAATAGTAGACTATTAAATAATAAATCTAACCCTTATTGTCCTAAAATCTATAGATTTAATTACTTTTAAATAACAATAGTCTAGAAACCAAACATTCAATTTTCGATTAAGATTTACATGAGATGTAAAAGAAGTTTAGTGACAGAGCTCAGTAAGGCTATTAATATATGTCTATCCAATTTATCTTTTTTTATGATCTACATACGGAGATAAATGACTAAGAGGCTAAATGTATTAAGACGTTTACATATATATTTTGTACAAGTCTTCATCAAGTTTTAAATTAATAATTTCACTAAGTATAATCACTTTTGTTGGGAGCTTTTTTTCTCACATATAATTGTTTTTTCTATATGTAATATCGTATTTCATTGCTGTTGAAATCTCTATAGATATCAGAGTAAAAAGGCTAAAGTTATTTTGGATTGTATATTAAATGTCCAACCAAAAGATGCAAACACTGGCGCATCAGAAACACGTGAAGATGTAGTACGTCGTATGGCTATGGACATGCTTGACAAATTACCACCTAATTATATACAATTTGAAGTGAATGAACGTTTGAATCAAATGGGTGCACTACAACCAATGAATATTTTTCTACGTCAAGAGTTGAATAGAATACAAAAGTTGCTTACAATAATGCGTGAAAATCTTGTTGACTTAAAACTGGCTATTGATGGTACGATTGTAATGAGTGAACAGCTAAGACAAACACTAGATTGTATGTATGATGCGAGAATACCCAATCAATGGAAAAAGGTATTACTGGATGAATTTCACGCGTCAATTTCCTTTAGTAAAGACTCATCCATATTTATGTAATTCATTATAGTGTTAAAACAGATAGAACTTTGTATGATTTTCTCTATTCATCGCTTGGGTTGGTCTGAATAGTGTGGACTAGAGACGATTCTCTGTAAAACTAGAGATATTGATGCAGTATCCTAATAAATGGGTATTAGAAGACATAATACCTACTTAAAAAAGCACTATTCATTCCATATTACGAGATTACACATATACAAAATAAACGTGACAGGGAATTATATACTGGAATCAGATTTCGTAGGTCATTTAATAACCTACAAAATTAAGGTCTGAATACTACCAGCTCCTCACTGCTCCCCATATCAAAACATATTATATTTAAGGAACTCTGATTATGGCTAATTTACTCGATAATTAATTTAAATTGTAATAAATTACCCCAGCGGGCGTACATCTTTTTATTTGAGGGGATAACCAACAACGCAACTTGAGGTACTTAGAGAATAGTAGTTAACAAAATTCATAGTCCGGATAAATCGGAATGACAGTTAAATTTTAAGAATATATTTTATTGAACAAATATGTGAGAGTTGTTGGCATTCCTTTTTTTAGTAAGAATGTTGTGTAATGAAAACTGTATTCTTCACCGATGACCGGAACCCATCAACTGATCTGTCAAGTTCACATAACCAGCTTGGGTCATGGGATCGCAGTGCACTGAAGCTAGTGTTTGAAGACACTCATCAGTAAAGCACACTTACAATCTCAACAAAACCTGTACTTGATCTCTTCGAATCCTCAGTAGTCTATGGAAAACAGATAATACCGCTACTTTTTTAACACCTTTATTGTCTGTAAATGAAGACTTTAAGAATAAGGATCAGGGTGTTTTGTTCATGATTGTTCTAAATCTGACCAAATGATAGGTAATCCCATTAGTTTCAGATCAACGAGATCTTTTGATATGAACAAACAATATTTGCATTAGTTGCAATTGTCTCTATGTGGTACTCCAGACAATTCTTTTTTCTATGAGACTGGAAACGTGAACTCTACTTATCACCAGGATGCAAGTTATCCTGTTGACACAGGTGAAAAAGTAGTCAGTAGGCATACTTGGGTTTATGTTTGGCTTGACTCTTTCGCTTTTATTTAAACAGTTACACGATATCATTTCTTAGTGAGAGGGCAACAGATGGAAGTATTAAATCTCAGTATAAAAATCAATTAGTAATATCCATATTTCTCTATCTTCTCTTTATTTCTTATCCTTAGCTATCATGGGAATCATCTACATTAGGATTTTGGTTTACCGAATTAATTGAAAGGAATCATCAGTTTTATGAATGGTTATACAATGGACGCCCGGTATGTTTTTGGATGACAGGTTTTTTCAATCCACAAGGATTTCTTACAGCAATCAGACAAGAGATAACACGTAGCCATAAAGGTTGGGCATTGGATACAGTTACATTATGGAATGACGTAACTAGATTTATGAAAGATGATATTCAACGTCCACCGACTGAAGGTGCATATATTCATGGATTATTTTTAGAAGGTGCTGAATTTGACCAAAAGAATTTGCGTCTAACTGAATCGAAACCAAAAATATTATATCAACCAATGCCGGTTATTCATATACAGGCTGTGGATATATCTAAGGACAAAGAGATATCCAAAGAAATGCTGAAAAACTTCTATGTATGTCCAGTGTATAAAAAACCATGTAGAACAAACCTAACCTATGTTACTTCACTTTATTTACGTTGTCCGCCTAACAAATCAGTTGATCATTGGGTATTAAGAGGTGTAGCCTTGTTGTGCGATATAAGATGAACTACTATTTTTCTTATCCTCCATTTCTATTGCTGTTATATTTGTTGATTCTGCGAATTATGATAAATAAACAAGTAGATAAATGTATACAGCCTCATCTTTTTGTGTGTGGCAATAAAAAATCAATTTATACTTCTTTAGAATGAGGAATTAGACTCAATCTTTGTTTTGTATAGAAACAGAACAGAGAATTTTTAACAAATATTTTGTTCATATTATTTGATAAGACAAGGTCCCAGAATCGTTTTTCAATGAACGAGTGAGAGGAGTTTGTATAGATCTGGCATCATTTAAATGACTGACAAAGGCCAGGTACTAACTCTACATTCTATCAAATCTTAGCTTGTTTGTACTGAAAAACTTTGATGAGAACAGAATTTTAGACCATGCAATAGTTTAATTAGACATTGGTTGACAAAAAAAACTTTTATTTGTTTAAGAAGTTGACACAACTTTCAATTCAATTAAAGGATACAGAGAGAATTCATTAGATGTTGATTTCCTTCATAATTAATAAAGTTTTATCATTTACACATTAAATTTATACGGGGTGATAAAGATAATCCACATATAGTTTTAATATCATATTGATTTTCAATAGCAACATCTCTATGGAATATCGTTTTCCATTAAATAATAAAGTAGTTTACGACTTGAGCATAATTGTACTGGAACAAATGATCAGGAAACTACGTGTAAAATTCTTGGTATCATATAGTAAGTAAATTATACGTATTTGCAGCGATATAGTTTAAGATGTGAGAGGTAGTGAAACTACCCAACTACTCAAACTGAAGTAGACGGAGCTCACTACAAACCTAAATGTTTTGGTGGAACGATAGAGGATCTACTGGTTTTAGGTATATAAAATCAACCTATGAGTAGAATACACATTTTAGAAACAGCAACACAAAAAATAAGAATATCTAGTTGAAAACGCAGAACTACCTATCTATAAGTTAAATAGAGCAAGAACAAAGATTGGTGCAGAATAATATGAATTCATTTTATTTCGTTAGGTTCTCATCAGCTGCTTACAACCTAAATTATTTGAAATTCAACATTATTACAGATATTGACATATTTATACATAAGAGTGTGATTAAGGATCAATACATGTGTATGATGATGTAGCGAAGATTCAGATAGAGTTAATGAGCTCATAAAATGTTTGATTCGAATAAATAAATAAAGTTTGAGAGGGAAAGTTCTGGAACATTGAAATAGTGATTAGAACTCATGAAAATAGATTAATGGTAATAAAGAAAATATGAATTGAAATCAATCAGTTATGTATGATGTAATTTATATTTCAGAAAGAGTTGCAATAATGACGCTACATCATGATACACATGTATTGATCCTTAATCACACTCTTATGTATAAATATGTCAATATCTGTAATAATTTGATTTTCAAATAATTTAGGTTGTAAGCAGTTGATGAGAACCTAACGAAATAAAATGAATTCATATTATTCTGCACCAATCTTTGTTCTTGCTCTCTTTGAGATAATAAAGGGAACTATATGTATGAAATATCTATAAGTTACTTTATAAATCCGACGTAAAATAAACAAAGATAAGCAGGAGATTTTAAATTCTTTTCCGAAATATTCGTGTTCTGCTAACTTGGTCTGCATTATTTAGAAGACAAAATTATCAAAGAATGCATACATCATCTGGTCAAGATAGTGAAGTTAAACAGCCTGGGAAGTTATAATAAACACAAGTAGATTATCACGATCTCATCTTTTTTCCTATAACTAGCAATGTTGCAACTGATTTAGGTACAAGACTTCTAACTAGGTGATAGGTTCTAACGTCACTTTGCTTACTGAACCTCAAACAACCAAGGAGATTATTAGTACTCGCACAATATGGTATGATAATCCTAAGAATGCGATGTGGTCTGCTTGATTGGTATATAAACAGAGTATGTTTGAAATATAACGATTCATATCTCAGAGGCTGAGACTTGCGTTCTGGACTCAATTGGCTGGGCTAGAAAGGGAAGCGAGACCAATCAGAACTATAGGCCGTTCTTACGTGTTTACGCGTCTTTGGTCCGATCGATGAGTCACTGCCCTCTAATCTGCAGTCACAGGTTATAACAATTCCCCAATACCCTACATCTAACCTCACTATTACTTACCCGGTGAGCACAGCAGATGCCAGTATTATTTCTAAAACATCTGTTGTCAAATACTAGTAGCTTACGAGTATCTTCTACTCTTAATGGTCGCGTTTCGCAGCCGTAAAGTAGAACAGATCGAACTGTTGCGCAGTTTACTCGTTCCTTAACTGGTAGACGGATATCTCACCTTCGCCATAGGTGACGTAAGTTAGCAGAAGTCAAACGAGCTATTCGAATCCGTGCAGAGATTTCGTCAGACACCAACCCATTAGGGCTAACTGAACTTCCAAACAGAACTATGTCATCTACGTATTCTAAGTTGATAAGTGGGCCTCCTCACAAAAGATCGATTTCCGGAAATTCAGTCGACGAGAACGTTATTTCCAGCGGTAGGTCTATGATAAAGTTGAACAAAAATAGAGATGGTGGACAGGCTTGCGGGACACCACTTGAGGTTGCAAATCAGATGACAGTTCGCCATAAGCTCTGACTCAATTGGTAGTTTTTGAGTAAAGAGCCTTCACAAGGTTAATTTACTTCTGAGATACACCTTTCTCTCAATGACAGACACTGCCACAGAACCACTCATTTGAAGCAACGTGTAAATCCTATATCAGACTCAAAAAACATATTTTAGAACTTAAGCTACTTATTCCATTTGAGCATTTACACTGTTCCAAACTATTTTTACAGTATTTTCCGAGGCAAAACAATATTGTATTTCTTATAAATGTCATTACTGAGAACAAGGATAACAATTCAAGATATATTTAAAAAGTAATTTTTTCGGATACTAGATAAAATGTCAATGTACATAATTAAAATTACATCAGTGTCACTTATCCGCCAAGCATATGTTTTATTCTAGACCAGCTTGTAACAGTAACAGCGATCGCACCAACAGCAAACCCAGCAACCCCACCAAAACAGCAACGTTTCCAGCCACCTGGTTTAAACATTCCTAGTGGTTTAAAGAGAATTAATTTAGTTCTGAAAACGATCACATCTGTTTTAAAATGTTTTTTAAAATTACTACTCATCACAATCTACAATTCTACCTTTCTAATAACGCGAAAAGATTAAAAGGGCAGATGCAGAAGAAATATTCAAACAGTTTAATCTGACACACTAAAACTTATTAAGAAAACAGATATGAAATTTCGGAAAGTGACGATACTTTTCTCTTAGCATACGATTAATATTTGCCATAACTGTGAAGAATAAAGTAGCACGAGGGTACTGGTTTAGTGTTTAAAGTATTCAACTTGGTCACAGATCCGAAAGTCGTTCCGCTTATTTCAGTTTAGAAAGCAAGGAAGTACAAGTGATAGACTAAGTCAAAAAATATGTGATTTTAATGGCAAATGATAAGTGGAAAATTTCGACGGGTTCATGCCACTTGTCAAGATTTGGTTTAATTAACCAATGGAGACAGTTAGATGCTATCGATCGAAAATCTGATTTAACAAACAGAAGGCCATACATACATTAATGACTGAGTTTGTGTATTTATATTGATTCGGGTTGGCTAATAAAAGCTTCCTACTGACTCTTGGTTTTCACGCTCAAGTAGATGATTGGGTTCGTAAATAAGACAAATGACATTACAACACAAAACTACCCAACTACCATTTGGGTGGTAAAGGAATGTAACAGTTGTTGATGAGATCCCCAAATTTAGACGATCAAGTGGTTATAAATTGTTGTTTGGTTTAGTTCGAAATTCCCCATAAGTTCGTTTATTCTATCTTCAGAATTGTAAGCGTTACATGACCTTTTTTTATCTTTCCTTCTAGACTTATTTCTTAATTTAGGGTCAATTTCGGATCATTTCCTTCGTAATGTTCTGATACGTACCACATGAAACTAATGTATTACGTGAACATTTTCGAATTATTGTGATTACATGGTATGCTTACATAATACAAGCTCTGAGGCGAGCCTGTAAATTAGTGGAAACTGCTGGGTCCTAAACAGATAGGTTGAAAACGGTTACACATAATTTTAAGAGGGAAAACAACTCAATTACAAAATGGTTGGTGTTGAAACTATTAGATAAATACGTTTCACTGATAACATGTTTGTCTGAAAGCTATGAACTTTCACATCTGATCTGGTGTGGTTTCAACAAATCTTGGCAGCTTATAGTTTGAAGTAAAAGTTATTTCCTAAAATTTCGTTGTAAGAAACGCACTTTCAATTTCTTACAAAATGTCTGTAAATAAACGGAATGTCGTCAATGTATTCAACTGAAGAGGACAACAATAGTTGAACGACGCAATTTCTTGATTATGCACTAAACAAACAAGGTATAGTTATATACATATTTACTATAATGTTTGTTAGCATGGTGTTTCAGAACAAGAGAACCTGGATGAAATGGGTCATTGTTCTCAATTTTATGTCAGCTGGTTAGAACGCCATAATTGGGGATTTAATAACTAGTTGCAAACTATCAGCTGAATTCGCTGGTGACTTCTAGAGTTAGCATTACAAATACAACGAGTGGTGCTCCGAATTTAATGTGATATTATTTTCCCAGAAACAATAAGGGTTAGAATGTTATCGCAGACGTCGCTGTGGTACGATGAAAATGACCAAATAAAGCAAGTGACGTATAAAAAGCACCTATCAGCAATAGATTGTTGCAGAAAAAGATTATTAATTCGCTTACCGGGAGAAGTATACACTAAACCGGTAGTCGTAGCTGCTGCCATTGTATTTATCTCATCTTCTGCATTACCACGTAATTTGTAGATCAAGAAATCTGCCACAGCATATATAAACCCTATCGAACCTGCAGTCTGAGCAAGTGTTGCTCCGGATTTAGTAAGATGATTCAGCATTTGAGTTCGTCTGATAGC